AAATGTTCAAAAACAAAAAAAAATTTTATCAGCATTTTCTTTGATCTAATTTGTCCTTATTTTAAACGTGACCTGATTTCATGTCTTTTTTTTATCGCCACGCTTTGCAAACGCTTCTGTGAAACTCTATGCAGCAAGCAACCAATTCTGGCTTCTACGAGGTGATTCAATTAAGCTCCTGTGATAATGTAACAACAGGAAGAAGACACGCCCCCACTCCATGCTTGAGAAACTAGAGTTTGATTGTTTTGTTGCACAGTTAAGTTGTCAAAGTTTAGAGTCAGACATGCTAAATACATCTGTTCAACTTTTTTAAAACAACGTACCTGCTGTCTGTTTTTGTCAAGGATCAGTACATGTGGTTTATGTGGACACTTAAAGAATTTAGGGCCCACTGTGACCGAGTAACAGCCTTCTGTACACGTCTTTGAGTTGGTACTAGCTTCAGTTCTTCTGCAGTGGTCACCATCTTTGTTTGGGTGTTTTTCCACCTCTGCATCCCACTGCACCAGTCTGCACCCTCCCTCCCTCCCTCCCACCGCCAATCAGCACAGTGCCTCATTATCATAGGATCCCTGCACACTCAGATTGACTCATGGGTAATGAAGGTTAGAAGGAAACTGCAGATCCTCTATACAAGCTGAATCTTCTATAATTGAATTCAAAACGAGAACATGTTGTAAACGGGTAAAAATATCATTACATGGGACTGTTATCCCGAATTAGGACTGGTCAACCACCTTACTAGCAGGCTCTGGTCAGGAGGTTTAAGATCTACAAGCAGTCGTGTGGACGGAGTTTGGATCCTGAACACTAACTTTTAACAAACATAATTTTTTTCTATGGTCTGTGGTGGTCAGGACCGACCAAAGTGGTCTAAAGTGGGACAGCTGTTGTTCAGGTCAGGGTCAGGAGAACCAGCTGACATTTTTTGGACGTTTTATTTCTACTGCCCTTAAATATAAAGTTATAAAATAGAATAATTCCTGTTTTAAAGCAGTTTTGTGTGAATTAGGGGGCTTTGCTTTGCTGTTCTGTCGTTGTTGGAAACTTTGACAGACTTCCAGTAATCACTATCTCTGAAGAGAAGCTTCGCACAGAGGGACTGGGGAAGGTGAACTGAGGCTACTCAGCTCCTGAGACCGGAAGATGACCCGCTAATCCAATACTGCTTGTAAAGAGTATGAAGGGGGCTGTGCAGTAGTAATCCACATTATGTTGTTAGGGGAGGCTTGGTTACATAATCGCCCCTAAGAGCCCTCCAGATGGGCACCTGCCAGGACACGACACAGCAGGATTTTGGGGGACAAAACGAGATCAGCCACTGAGAACATTAAGGGTTAATAAAAGTTAAATATCAGCTGATTTTCATTCCTCTATTCATAACAGAAACCCTTATCAATCTCATAGCCACCTCTCTGCAAAAAGAAGTACTGAATCTAGAGGAATCTGTCCACCAGGGGGCAGTCAAACCAAGTTTATAAAGGCATTAAAAAGTCGATTTGTAAAGTTTTCTCTCATAAAACGCTCCTAAATGAGCTCCTTCAGTCACATCCTCCTCCTGTTCGTATACATTTCTCAGCACTGACTGGCTTCCTCCCCAGTGGGACTGCAGATAAGTGAAAGCCATCTGAAGACCAATGACCCCCCCGAGGATTGCAGCAGCAGCCGGTCCCAGCAGCTCTAAGTGACATTTCAGTGGTTACGTTACGTTAAGCCTCTCCCAGAGGCTTTCTAAGGTTTCTGGCACGTTCCTGTGTGTGTGTGTGTGTGCGCGCATGTGACCTCTGATCCCTGTACAGTTAAACTCGGATCAATACAATGAAACTGATCTTATTTCAAGTGCTCAGTCCATCATTTTATGCATCATTTACATCCCATTCGTCTATTTACAGATGTTTAACCGTAAGGAATTCAAAAGCTATCACTTCCTGTTTCCATATAAGGTTTCCTTTCTCTCTTTTTACACCCCCTCCCCCCTTTTTCTGTTTTAAACAGTTTAGATGAAGCGGGACAACAGTGTCATTAGTCTTCCTCTCTGTCTCAGTTAATTGATGGATGACTCTTCGTTCGGCATATAATAAGCAGATTACACCCTCTGCATCTGAGAGTTGATGCTAACGTGTGTGTTTGTGTGTGTGTGTGTTTGCATTGGGGGGATGTTGGAGTCGCAGAGTGACTGTCCAGTTTGGAAGTCAATCCGACAGCCGTTCCTGGAGGCTGAGATTTTGGGAATAAGCAGCAGACACACACACAGACAGAGACGAGTGCGAGGGCATCTGCTGCTTCACTCTTTTCTGCAGAGAAAATGGGATGCATCTGGTGTGTGGGGGTCAATAGCTGGCAGCTGGGTGCTCTGTTACAGGCTGCGTCCCTCTGGAGCAGCATATCGAGCTCCTGTCTTCATTTCAGCCTAAGCGGTGTAAAAATATTTTTTGATGTTTAACTGCAGCCGTGCAGAATCAATTTTCATCTGATGCATTTCACCTGTTAACACTTCCGGTCAGTCTCTGGGTTTGGCTGTGATTCATGTAACTGTTCCTGCTTTACTGACGCTGACACAGTAGTTATAAAATTTTTTTACTTTTATCTGCCTTTGAGTTTATTAATATTACTTAAGCATTTGTGGGTTTTTTTCTTGTTTTAAAACATTCAAAATTATGCTTGTTTTAATGTCCAGTTGCACGTCCTCCAATAAGAATATAGTTCTGTCTCTCGGTCGCCATGTTCATATGTGCAAAATTTCTTTATCTGATTGAAAATCTGAGGTATCGGATAATCTGAATCCACTGTTTATATGGGTGCAAAATCAAATAATGTGATCATGACGTGTGTAAACATGCACCAAGTTTTATTAAGATTAGAAGCATTTGAACATGCGCAGAGTTGTCTAATTTCTCTGCAAAACTGTAACTGTCTTAATAATGGAGCTGGAGCTGGAGCTGTATGATCTGATCTTTCCCACCTGCACTTGTCATATATATGTATATTATAATTTAACAGCCAGCTGCTGAAGTAAAAGCCTCTGAGCGACATTAACATTAACATTAAGTCCTCTGATGGTTTTTTAAAGACCGGTTCTCTTCAGAGATAATGTTTCCTGTGTCACTTCAGGAGGTTTGATTTAATAGCAGCCCTCTGGCTTTTCCTCTTTAGCCGTGAGAGAAACTAAAAAAAAAAAAACCTCTCTTGTGGTCTTTTATTTGTACTTTCACTTCTTGTGTTTGCATGTGATTGTGTTAAAATTTTTTGTTTGCACACGGAGAGTGTGTGGGTGTGCGTCTCTGCTGGCAAACAGTTTTATGTGGCGCTTAATGAGATAAGGTTCGCTCGTGCAGTCTGCTGTCTGGCTTTTATCTAAACAGAAGATTAGTGCAGGTGATTTTATTCCTGTGAGGGGGTCATCTAAGAGCACGAGTCACAGAGATGAGGAAGTCTGGACTTTATATTCTTACTCGTCATGATTTGTTTAAAGACAGGCTGGATTTCTGAAGTTTCATTTGACTTTAAAGGAGAATTTAGATATTTTAAAAATTCCACGCTGTTGTGTTTCAAAACTTATGACTGGATTTGCAGGTTTTCTAAAGTAAATTGCTTTTCCTTCTTAACCAAACTCACTGTGACGACATTAAATGTGTTTTTCTCTCTGCAGAATAATGAATATTTGACACAGCACGTATGAAGGGGTTTATTTGTTCGATGGAAACAGGTTAAATTCATTTAGTCCAGAGTTTCTTACAGAGAAATAAAAATGGTGGACTAATTAGCTGAATTACTAATTGATATAAGTGCCGTGTTATGGACTGTTTTACCGAATTTTTGTTTTTGAAAAGCATTCCTATCACAGCGTAAGGCAAAAAAAATGAAAAATGGAGGAGTCTGTGAGGTGTCAGAACATTTGGAAACGTCCATCACAGACTCCTTGGGGCCTCCTGTTGGGACCTCAAAGATCTGTGCTTTTAAATCTGCGTTAATTATAATCTAAAGAGTTTTACAGTTTAAGAGGTGAAGAGTTTTAAATGGAAAGTTAAAAGGAGTGAAGGCTTACAGAGGGAACAAACATGTTTCCTGTAGGTGTTTTTAAAGCATCATTTTTGTCTATGTGTAAAGATGCTGCTTTCATTAAATTAACATAGATGTAACATGTATAGAAATACAAGATGAAGACATGCCAGTTTGAGCAATTTGCATCTTTACAGGTTTGATTTTTGGAGATCTGAGTTTTATCACAACTGTGTCACTGTAATATTTTTCAATTCAGCGATAGTTAAATGATATAAAATTGTAAGGAACACATTTTACGTACATTTTAAGTAAATCAACTGACTGTTGGATAAGTTTTTCTGCAGGAAATATATGTCCTCCTTTATCAGTTTCTTCTTAAAAATGAACACTTTAAAATATTTAACATGTTTTTTAAATGGTTGTATTCTATGATTTATGTTTAATATTATACAGAAACTTTAACCTTTTCCCCCACCATTTTGTTAGCCCACTCACTCTTTCGTTTCCAAGAACTCAAACTTGTTAATACTAAACTTCCTCTGTTGACACATCCACCTGTCTAGGAGAGAGGCGGCTCTCATTGGCTCTGATCTCAGCCAATCAGGAGCCAGGTCGTTGTTCCGGGGGAGGGTCATTCAAATAGTGCGGTCGTGTATTCATGAGGGGGAGCGCTTTGCTTGGAGACCCTGACCACAGACTAAAGCGGCCAGTCACAACAGAGAGGACTTCAAAGGGAGCCGGCGGGCCTCGAGGTGTGAGTGACAGACGGACAGACAGACAGAAACACAGACACAGACAGAGGGGCCATGAGCGGAGCTGCGAGAGCCGTCCAGCAGAGGAGAGCGCAGTAGATGGAGAGTTAGGAGGCAGGAACCGGAGAAAGTGAGGAGCAGCAGCGTGGACGACGACACCTCAAAACACGGACACAAGACACGAGCGGACGTCCCCGCGCGCGCACAGGTTTCTCCATTTCAGAGCATGGTGGCAGGGCGCACATGGATTTAGTCGACCTGTACCTCCCGGAGTGTTTCACCTACCACTCTGACTCGGAGTAAGTACTTTCACTCCGATAGAGCACTGTCAACACACATACACACACGAGCGCGCGCGAGCACAGCTGGGGTGGTGCGTAATTTCAAAGTGGCAGTTTTTCAAACTTCTTTATGACGTGAAACAAAAAAACTTCTTTATGACGTTAAAAAACTTCTTTATCATGTGAAAAAAAACTTCTTTATGACGTGTTGCATCGTACATCTGTCATTGATCCATTGATCTTTATTGAAAGTGTCACATTCTTTCTACAGGTAGAACTTGAACCGTTGATTTCCTCTCTTTGAAGATGAATCTATGATGACTGTGCACCTGCAGTTTAGCAGGTTTTAGGTCCTGTGTGCAAAGAGTTCCTGGACTAATCGGATGATTATCTCCTTTGTTAATCAATTAATCAAGAAGTTAGAATTTAGTGATTAAGCTTATCTTGTTTTCTCAGAGCCTGAAGGGAATTCTCAGAATTTCTTGTTCAATCTGACTGATAGTTTAACACCCACATATTATCACTTTACAACATACCAAAAAGAAAAAAACCTTCTCAGCTTCTTCTTAAAGCATCTTTAAATAAAAAGTTCCAGGTCCTCTGAGGCATGCTGGGACAGGATTCACTCTAAAATCAGCGTATTTTCTGGTTGACGCTATGGGGAAGTGGCGCTGAATGTTTCCCAGGCGTGGAGGTTTGTGTACATTGCTTACAGTCGGCATTGTTCAGCCTGTTTGTTTGTTGATGGTGAGTGTGAGTGAGGGGATGGGTATAATACCAGTTTGGAGGAAACCAGTCCTGCTGTGGGAGAACAGAGAAAATCTTCCTTGACAGCAAAAGCAGCCTGAGAAACAGATTTCTGTGTGATTACCCCTAAACTCCCTTTTCTGTGATGATAACATAAGAAAACACACATCCCTGCTGAGGCGGGATCACCCCTGAGAGGACGCCTCAGTGAGCACTTTTAGGGCTGGAGTGAACTCTCTCTCCCCCCCCACAGCAGGGAAAGATAAAGAGAATTCAGACAGACGCGGATCAAAACGACAGCTCGGCAGAGGACATGTGGACGCTCAGGTTTGCTGATTGCCCGTGACAGAAGCAGCCGGATAAAGAATGGGAGAAAAGGACACAGATGATCCCCTGTATGGCACGCTATCCGTGTTTCCAAGAGCCTGCGGGTCCATGCTGCAGCCACAGGCACCTCATCTCCCAGCTAACAGCTTCGTCCAAAGCCTGACTAAGACTCTTACACGGCTAGCTGGGGGTGCCACTGATCCCTACTCATCTCCTACTGGCTCATTAGGAAAAAAACACAACCGAGACCCCACTGACCTACATAGCTGCTCCTCGGGGTTTGGGGTTAGACTGGAAAAGTTAGACAGAGAAGAAATCTGGAGTTTTCACTCTGACTTTTCTCTCTGTTTGTTTGATCCCTCTTATTTTCTGTATTTCCTTCCCTCCCTGTTTCTCTCACCCTCCCTCCTCCTTCCCTCCTCCATCCGCCGGCTCATTGTCTGCATTATGACTCTGCTCATTTGAAAGTGAGTGTTGCCCCCTCTCCTTCCTTTTAACTCCGCTCAGGTTAATGAGCCACAGGCACTGCCCCCTTTCTTTCTTTCTTTCCTTCTTTCAGCCTTTTCACACTCCCTCTATCTGTCTGTCTCTCCTGTAATTTCCCCCGCCCTCTTCTTCCTCTCCTTTTTTTTTGTCTCCTTGTCATTTCACGCTGCATTTTGGCTTTTGTTGCCAAGGTGCAGTTATAGTTGTTTTGGATACTGCAGGACAATACACTCACACACTCTTGTCTCTGCGTGGGGGAAACCACTCCTGCATCTTTTCATGTGTTTTAACGCAGAATTGTACATTTATAATCTATTAGTATGAGCATGAGATCATCGTTAATTTCATTATAAAAGCCAACACACCCTCCTTCTCCTCTTTGTCTCCCCCTGAGATAATTTACAATGCTGGAGCAAAACTCGCGCTCTGCTCTTGTCAGTCTTGACACTCCAGCACGAATACCTGTGATTGATCGCCAATAAGCAAACGTTATGAGTTATGATAAAAGGAAACTGGGACCTCCTCACTGTTGTGTCTTTATAGTCTCCAGAGTGGATTGGAGGGTGAGTGATGAAAAGTTTGTAGTGAGGATAAAAAACCTCAACTTAGAGTTACTTTTTTTTAATAAAGGTTAGACATATTCATGACTTCCTTCTCTTTTTAGGGGCCTGTGTCCACTGCATGTGTTGCTCTGGCACCGCCCACTCCCTCAGTTTGTGCACAGGATAATTGAGCTAAGTTATAGCTTGTTCCAGTTTACATGTTTTGGATAAGAATTTGAATTATTGACAGAAGCATTTGCGCCTCTGTGACAGAAGGTGGCGTCATGCCTCCTTAAGCGTCTTACTATCCCGTCGTTTTACATATGGAAAGAGAAAGAAGCTAACAGGATGTGCGTCTTAGGATGAAAACACGGTCACTTTCGCAGCTTTGTACCGTCTGCTAGGAAGGTTTTTTGCAATGTCTTTGTTATCCTTTTTTCAACCCATTAAAGCAATTGGACATCCAGCTAAACTTAGAGCATGCTCAGAACACTTCAGCTAGTTTCAAGTTCGGTTTAATGCGATTTGAGTTGGTTTAATGTGTTTACATGTTCGTCCAGTGTCAGTTGAACTCTATTTCTGAAAATTGAAGGACCTTCAGCTGAGAGTGATGCCGAAAAGAAGCTGAAGTGCTGCTAGTGCTCCACTGATGTTGTTAGTGGACATAGGCCCTAAGGCATCACTATTTTGTGTCAAATTAAGGAGGTCAGTTGTGGTGACCTTTTTGATTATGTTACTATCACCTTTTCCACTCTGAACACCTTCACAGATTTACTTGAACCTGACCTTATGGATGTGTAGAGGGAGGTGTTCGCTTTCATGATCATTTAAACACCAGAATAAGAGACTAAATGTGAAACATCGTCATTTTCTGGTTCTCCTTCTGCAGATCTTCAGCTGCTGTCAAGTCATCCCTCACAGTGCGGCCTTGTGCCGGTCTTTGTGGGTTTGTAGAGGGGTCACTAGTGCGTGCCCATGGTTTACTTTGAGGGTGGTTAAGAGCAGCCATTCTTTTTGCCTACCAAATGACTTGTGGCCCTGAAAACACTGATTTACATGTCAGGAAACACAATCAACATCATAACCTCACCTGACGCTGAGATTAGAGTGGACGAGGTGTACGGCTGTGTGGAGCATATGTGTGTGTGTTGGGGGGTGTTTGAGACAGTTTTAAAGTTGGCCTGGCGACACACAGTTGCGTGCAAGTATGTGTTGGGGTGTTTATGAAGACGCTTGCTTTAAAATGTGTCTGTAAGTGTGTGCACACAGGCAGCATGAGCATGTCCCCCATCACGTGAATCTGAAGTGTGTGCAGAGACGTCCGAGCCCGGCTATGGTCTTTATTTTTACATGCACACATAAATGCCTGACGCCGCCATGCCAGCTCGTGCGTTTTTCCAGGATATGTGTGTGTGCGCAGTGGTGTGGATCACATGCCTGCAAGATAGTTTTTTTCACCTCGCTGGTGACAGGGAGTCTGTTGTGGTCACATCTTAATCCAATAGTAAAATAGTGATACAGTGAGACATGCAGGCCCAGAGGGACATCTGGGTGTTTATATGCTGAGTCTATTAATACAATCTCGATTTCAGAAATGTTCAGATGCTTTCCGAAATCTTTGTTAAAATGGATTTTGATGGTTTGTGAATCAGTTTGACTCTTTATCCAAATGAAAATTGTGATAAAAGTGAATTCTGCCTTCATTTGGAAAGGACAGTGGATAAGGAAAGAGAGCGGGGAGCAGCAGTTCTGGGATGTCATCATTCAGGTTTAAAGAAACTAGGACGAAGCTGAAAGCAAATACGGCCCAACAGACATGACTCTGCAGGGGAAGTCCCTGCATGGGCCCAAAATCAATCCTAAATCAGTGATCTGTGCACACAGCCAATTACCGCATCTATAATTTTAGGTCAAATCTGCAGCATGTGAAGAAAACAATATTTAAACAACTTCTTTTGGAAACTGCAGCCTCCACTTTTATTACAAATAGGTAACTTGTGCAAGTGTGAAGGCTGAACAATATCTCCAGGTTTAGGAGCAACATCTGCTGCCATCCAGACAATGACAAACCACATTCTGACAACAGGATTTACAACAGCATGGCTCTGTAGGAGAAGAGTCCTGCTGAGAAACTGGTCTCATGCAGTCCTGACTTGTCCCCCATTAAAATAGAAGTCCAGAAGCAGGTGTCTTTGGTTTAATTAGGGTGACCATATTCTTGATTACCAAAGAGAGGTGTTTTTTGGGTTGGGTTGAGTGTTTTTAACGCACTTCCAACTCAGTTAGTCCACACTACACAAACTCAAAACTTCCATACAAAACCCTGGACATTTAAAGGATTTTATAAATTCCCCTGAACAGCCCCCAAAAAGAGGACATGTCCAGGTAAAAGAGGGCGTATGGTCACTCTAGTTTGATTAGATCATTTTGGATAATCTTTCAACATATTTGACCTTTTCTGGCTGCAGGTACTGGTGAATTAACTCAATCAATAATGTGTACAAAGAGGCGTTAAGAGGCAGAGAAGAAGAGACAGGGATCTGGATTGAACTCCATATCCAGGATGATGCAGTAATCCCTGGTTTGTGCTATTTTCATAGGTTTGCTTAAGCAATGTTCTTCTCTGAAAACAAAAGCAGTGTAATGGCTCGCAGCTTTGCATATCTGGGAAACCTCAAACGGCTGGCTTAAATGGACGGGGATGGATGAGTGAATGAGTGAAGGGATGTGCAGACAGTCTGAGCGTCACACATCTATATCTATCTATCTGCTCTGTGTGTCTCCATGGGGTTTAAAAAACACGAGTTAATCCTTAAATTGATGATAATGAATTTCCCAAGATGCATATTACAAGATTGCTATCAGTGTAAATGATGCCTGACTTAATAAAACTAATCAAAGCTTACAGGCAGGAAGGTCAATTACAAATCATTAATATTTATAACAGCGCCAAGGTGACTCATCATATAAATCTGAGCTCAAAGTCAGACCCCTCCGTCATGAATATGGATCACAATAAGGCGCATTTACATACAGTCAAACAGGGAGACATTTTCGGCCTTCTCTTTTTTTCCTCCAGACACCTCGGCAGGATGTCACTGAGGGGCTTGGACCCCACCTGTCCCGCCACAATAAAGCGTGAGCCCTCCAGCCCCAGCCCCAGCTCTCAGGGCGACGTCAGCCCGGCTCAGCCCAGTCCTGGAAGCTCCTCCTCGGACACCAACTCCAGCTACGGCCCCCTGACTAAAGGACACAACCACAGCAATGGGCTGGACTCGCTCGGCCTTTACGGTCACTCTGCGGGGCTGGCGACCACCGTGGTGACAAACAGGTTGGTGTACGGATTATGATACCTCTTTCTTTTGTGTGTGTGTGTTGCTTATAGCTCCTCCTTTACACCTGCCTTCCTCTCGTTTCCGTCCAGGAGGTTTGGTGAGGAAGAAAGCCAAGTGAAGTGTGAGTTCATGCTCGGCACGGTGGCGAAGCGGCTGTGTCTGGTGTGCGGCGATGTGGCTTCCGGTTACCACTACGGTGTTGCCTCCTGCGAGGCCTGCAAAGCCTTCTTCAAGAGAACCATCCAGGGTGAGAGCGGGGCAATCGCACACGTACACACATACATGTTCATCCAAACTTAGTAACAGAGTTTATTGTGCATGACTGATAGTGCCGTCCTGCAACATCTGAACCTGTTTTACCAACAAGGAGCGTTTGTTTTGGTGTCAACAGCCCACAATCAGTTAGCTTGACGCTTCCGCCTCCTGCCCCCGAAAAGGTTTACAATAAAGTCGTGTTTGCAAACAGCTGATATGTGGTTAAACTTACACCATGTCGTGTATACAGTCAACATGTTTGGGTCAGGCTTTCAGGCCTCGGATGACATATGGAGCAGGATGAGTGTGCGTTCAAGAGCTGCTGCTGCTGCTGGTGGCGAGGAGGAGGAGGAGGACCAGCACACGGTGTGGGTGTTTTAATAGGATTGCCTCGTGTCCTGTTGGAGACCTGACATGCCGGGTAGTGTTTAGGCCTCTAGAGGTTGGCAAGGTTCAAGGGGCAAACAGGATGAGAGGATGTCAGATCAAGTGGGAAGATCTAAAGTCTGGCTCATCAGACGCTTCCTGTTTCTGATTGAGGGAGGCAGCTGAAAGCACCTGCAGCCGGCTGAACGCCATCGAGCCTCGCCTTAATGTTTTACTGCAAGTTTGGGAAACGCACAAAGGAAAATGAGCAAAACCAGCACATGTGACCATCCTGAACAAGATCTTTAACTTCTATTTGGTCATTCTTAGTACCTAAAACTGTTGTGGTGGGGTAGTTATCAGACTGCAGAACTAAAAAAGTTCTGAATGAGTGAAAACTTGAACTGTTAAAAGACGGCAGGAGGGATTTTTAGTAGAAAATCGGCTGAGAGTCAAACCAAACAGTTCTCCAGTTTCTTCTCCTCTTAATACCAAAGGTTTATGATGTTTTTAGTCACTTGCACGCTTTACTTCTCCCTTCCAGGTAACATTGAATACAGCTGCCCTGCGTCTAACGAATGTGAAATCACCAAGAGACGGAGGAAATCCTGCCAGGCCTGTCGATTCGTGAAATGTCTGTCTGTGGGCATGTTGAGAGAAGGTCAGTAACACACACACACAGACAAAAACACAGACTCAAAGTCAGGGTCAAATCATTGTATGAGGAGCTTTTTTTAAAGAGCGGATCGATCCGCAGACTTGGCTGGAGTTCAGAACCGGGTCTTTGAAGCACCCGGAGTGTGGAGAGTAAGACAAGTCTGACTGCCGTGTCTTTGTCCTGCATTCCTGGAAACAATGCTCTGCTCCTCCAGTGAAACCCAAAACTTTTGTCTGTTAAACTTCAGTCTCTTTGTGCCAGTCGGGACGTGTGTGTGTTAGAGATATTAATGTGAATCTAAAATGCATAAAGGAGACCTCCCTTTGTTAACTAAAGCCGCCTTTTTACGAAATAAAAAAGCTTTTATACACATTTAAAGACACAAGCAGCTGAGAAAGTCCAGCCCGAGTGCTGACATGTCTATACCAGACTGTGACAGCAGTCAGGTGCTCCTGTAGTCTGACTGTGTGCCTGTCTGGTGACATATTGTTGTCCAGATTTAGAAGTGACTCCAGAAGGAAAACATCGGCGACCTCCTGCAGTAACTCGCTGCTGTGAAGGAGGACGAGATGATAATGACGAGGAGATAGCGGATAACTCTTAGACTGAGGGTTTCTGCTGGCTGTGGATAGAGCTCAGTGTAAAAGCTGCCTTGCTCAAAGGGAAGGTATTAGCCTTGAAGACTTGTTAGAGATTTGAAACAATGACCCGAAATGTTATTAAATAAAATGTAATAAAAACCTGAAATGTAATAACTGGTCAATAATGTAACAAGATGCTGAGCCCAAAATGTAATAACTTTTTTTCCCCAAAATGTAACAACTTCTTACATTTCACGTTTTATTACATTTTTTATTACATTTTCAGGTTCAATACTTTTGTGACATCAGTAAGAAATTATCACATTTTAGTCTATTAAATTTCACGTCATTGTTACATATCGGCTCTAACAAGACTGAATGTAGGGCTGGGCGATATGGCCTCAAATCAATATCACAATACATCGATCAGTTCACCTCGATAACGATAAATTATATGATAACTACTCCACAAGCTGCTCACCCCCTCCCACATTCACTTCGTCTACCTCAGCCGCTACATCTTTTGAACCGTCCTCCATCTCCTCACCTGTCTTTCCCTCTTTGTTACGGACTGGATGGGGTGTAGTCACGTCTCTGACGTAGGACAGTGTCTTAAAGGGACACGAGACCATAGCCTACCTACACACATCCAAAAACAACTTTTATTTATTGTTTTTTTTTTGACACATAGTAAACCGATATGGGCAAAATGACGTTGGTCATTGTCATTAATTTCAGTATCTATAAATTTTCGTTTTATCGCCCAACTCGACTTTCGGGTCATTGTTACTTATCGGGCTCTAACGAGGCTGAACGGAGGACAAATTTATCAGGAAAGTTTGGGATCTAATTCAGGGGCGTGTGTGTTAGTTCACCTGTCAGATGGTCTATCATCCAATCAGCTTACGGTCTTACAAATGATTGACAGCTTGTGTCTTCACTGATCTTTCTCGTCAATAGTTGAATTTACAAACATGATCAGAGATTATCATTGGGCTGCGTCTCGTCTTTTATAGATATGATCTTATTTTAACCTCAAACTGAATTACACACGTATCTGTTGTGTATCTGAGTTGACCACATGCAAGTGTGCGTTTATTTCGATGCCCTTTCTCTAAATTAGCTTCCTCAACAGCATCCCGGTTGGTCTGCCTCTTCTCTTCCTCCTCCCCCTCTTTCTCCTCCTCCCCTCTCGTAAATTCCTCCAGATGCCTTGTGGGAATCCTGGACCTCCGTGAAACGCGAACTGCCCCTCATAACTCCCACCGTAAGCACCCTCGTAACGCGCTTCATCGTGTCTCGTAATGCACCCCCCTCTCCACTGTTCCCCGGAGAGGCCGCTGTAAAGGCTGAGACTGAGGAGCTGTGAGCTTTAATGGGCAGAGTCAGAGCCTTATTAAACACACAGCTAAAGACATATAGACCTCAGGCGGGGTTTGATGAAGCCCCTTTAAGTGGGCAGTAGTAACATGGATGTCCATGCTACTCTCTCTTTCTTAGAAATATGGTCAGTCGAGTTTCTTTTTTTCCGTCTCATCCCAGACGTCCTGTTCCTGCCGGCTGAAGTCATTTGGTCTCAGGTGTGATAATCTGTGTTCTGAGAAGAGAATCAGACCGTAGGCTGGTCCCTCTCTCTCTCTGTGCTGTCCTCTGCCAACTTTCCAAATCCCCTCATATGTTGACGGTGCAAAGGGGAACGTGACGCCACGGTAACCAGCCTTGTGTACATTTGTCACAATATCTGAGAAGCGTGGGATTGTTTATACAGGACACATGCTGGTGTTGCTGGTGGCGGGGTGGAGGGAATCGATGCCTCAGAGCACGGTAACACGGATCAGTGTGGATCAGCGACTACATGTCCCGGATGTTCCTTCGTTTTGGGGACCTGTGAAGATCTGGACACCCTCAACAAATAGGCGGAGGGATGAAAGCGGCGAAAATAGATCAATGTCTGAGCAGTCGGTGTTTATCGAACGCTGATGGGTGGAGGAGGGGGAGGTGTGTCTGTTTAGTTATCCGTCAGAGCTATTCTTGGCCTTTTGGTTGTCAGCACATTCCAGCATGAAGAGTTACACTTAGCTCTGATGTGTGTGTGTGAATAACCGTCATACACACAAATATAACCCGTTAACACACACTCTCACCATTTTTACAGCCACCAAAGTTGTTCTGATTTAATCCAGTGTTTGCAGACTTTGAGCTAAATCTGATGACAGCACACATGTAAGCAGACTTTCTCTTCATCTCACACCTTGGAGCGCCACCTGCCAAGTGCCTGGGATTATCCACACTTACTATTTGCCCCTCATGACATCACCAGAGCTTCACGGGGCACCGGGTTTGCCGGTCCAATCTCAGCTGTAATGCCGAGTACAAACTCTTCACAGAGAAACTGCAAACTCACGCTTTATCAGTTTTTCTCTGGAAGTGTCAAAACGGACGAAAAAGGAGATTGATCATCGTTACGACCTTGTTCAGGCCTGGACCGGCTCTTAGACCTGCTCTTTTCCATCACCAGTCTCGATCTCTCTCCTCTCCACACCCAGCTCAGTCTCAGCAGATGACTGTCCAACATCAGTCTGGTTCTTCCCAAGGTTTCTGCCTGTTTAGGAAGTTCTTCCTCAATTACGACCAGGTTCAGGCCTGGACCAGCTCTTAGACCTGCCTCCTTCCCAGCATCAGTCCCTCTTTCTCAGTCTTAGCAAATGACCATCTATCAGTCTGGTTCTGCTCAAGGTTTCTGCCCGTTAAAGGAAGTTCTTCCTTGGTTACAACCCCGTTAAGGCATGGACCAGTTCCTAGACCTACCTCCTTTCAAGCATCAGTCTCTCAGTCTCAGCAGATAACTGTCCAACATCAGTCTAGTCCTGCTCAAGGTTTCTGCCTGTCAAGGAAGTTCTTCCTTGGTTACAACCCAGTTCAGGCCTGGACCGGCTCCTTGACCTGCCTCCTTTCCAGCATCAGTTCCTCTCTCTCTCCTCTCCAAACCCAGCTCACTCTCAGCAGATGACTGTCTAACATCAGACTGGTTCTGCTTGATGTTTCTGCCTGTTAAAGGAAGCTCTTGAGTCTGGTTCTGCTCGAGGTTTCTGCCTGTTAAAGGATACACTCTCATGTACATAAAACCTCGGAAGTCTCTGGACTGTCTGGGTGTGTGTTTTTTAATCTAATTTGATTAACAGTGACCTGAAAACACGAACAAAGGACACGTCAACTGCCCCGAGCGTTTGATTCAAATCTTTCTTATCACCCACTGCTTCAGGGAAATGAATAAAATCCCCTGTTTCCGATGTAAATCCTCCCACTGAATCTCAGAACAAAGAAACCTCGTATGCAAAATCTGAACACGAGATGATGTGTTTGTCCACCGAGTCCACTGTCGCTCAGCGCAGGAAGCAGATTGAGAAAATAGGCTTAGGTACGGTGCTGTCTTTAAGGTCTGTAAGGAGCTTTACATGCAAAAATATACCTTCATACAACATCGGAGCATTATGCTTCATAATAGTCTTAGAGGGGAGCCTGCTGGCTTAAGGCCAAAGGTCATAACCTCTCACAATCATCCTTCTCTTGTCTCTGCTAATGACGCATTAACAGATGAGCTGGGAGTCATGCTTTTGTACTTGATGTTGATGAAAAAACTCAGTTTGGGTCTTGAAACCAGGATTTGAACACGTGAGGTCAACAGCATTTTAATGTGAGCTCTAGTTTGGCGGAATTGCCTTTTGGGACTCGATTGGAGCTGTAGGTTTTTGGACTTCTTCATGGAGAAGTCCCGCAGTATTAGAGCCAAAATGAAGCTACTGTAAGCGGTTTTTGGATGTTGAGGCTGAAATTCATATTGATGTAGGGCTTGGCGATAAAATAATACAGAAATTTACAACAATAACCGATGTCATTTTGCCCATATCAGTATATTCAGCGTCAAATCAATAAATAAACAAAAGTTGGTTTTGGATGTGTGTAGGTAGGCTATGGTCTCATGTCCCTTTAAGACGCTGTCCTACGTCAGAGACGTGACTCCACCCCATCCAGTCTGTAACATAGAGGGAAAGACAGGTGAGGAGATGGAGGACGGTTCAAAAGTTGGAGCGGCTGAAGTAGACAAAGTTAATGTGGGAGGGGGTGAGCAGCTTGTAGGGTAGTTATCATCCATTTATCTTTATCGAGGTGAACTGATCAATATATCGTGATATTGATTTGAGACCTACCCAAAAGTAAACAAGAGTATAGGGGATGAGAGCGACTGTTTGTATATCTTAAAATTTAATAGCTGTTTGTAAAATATTAGGGCCCGACCGATATGGATTTTTTGGGGCCCATTCCAATACCGATTATTTAATCGGCCAATTTTTAAGTTTTTTTGAATTAAGTTATAAAAAAATATTAATATATACTGTAGATATCATGAGTATACTATACTGTATATACTGTAGGCTACTTTTCACGCCGACAGGAAGACCGACTGATCAAACTTGTCGGGCCCTTGAAAATATTCTGTCTAAATTATGTGTTTAAGTGAAACGTTGTGGGTGTCTGAGCGTTCTCTCTGTAAAGCATTAGGAGAAGAATAAACAGATGGAGTAGTATCACAGTGAAGTGTCAAGTGGTTAAATAAAACGGTCCGAGTGTCTCTGTCAGCCGTGAGTGCTGTTATAGATTCAGGGCCACTCCGCTCATTTACACTCTGCAGACCAGGAAACCCGACCCCACTACTGAAGACGTCCTGAGTCACGCTCTCCGTTCCCTCATGAATGCAATCTCCTTTTTTTTTTTTTGTTTTCCTATTCAACACTGGCCCATACAGACTGTTGGCATGGCGACAAGGTTACCACAACGCTCGTTAACATGAGCAGTTGTCATCAGCTGCTCTGAAGTTGCGGCGGGGTGTCGTGTTACAGGAAGCGTGCCGCTGTGAGCTGTTATAGTCCCGGGGATTGTGGAGACAGGTGACAGATGATTAGGGAACATCCTGAAGGTCTGTCGGGTCTGATCGAAGCTGATCAGCTAATTAAGCTGGAGTCAGACCAGAGTAATCTATCCATGAAAAGAGTCCAGACTCTCCAGGTTTCTTAATAAGCTCCCCGGGAAGAATTTGGTTTAAATGAACAAGTTTATCAAAGTGTTTCTGTAACTCTGACTGAATCTGTGTTTGTCGATCTGCAGGTGTGCGTCTGGACCGGGTTCGAGGCGGCAGGCAGAAGTACAAGCGGAGGATAGACGCTGAGAACAGCTCGTACCTGCAGCAACAGAATGCCTTGCCACAGAAAAAGACCTGTGAGTGAAGCGACCCCGAAGCTTTAGTCCTTTAGAATCCAGGATCAAGTCTTAGTTTTGGTCGTTGAGTTCAGGTTTTGATCGGTGCAGATTTAAATGACTGTAGAGAGTTTTATTCCTGCTTCATTTCAGACTTTAAACACCATATACTGAGAAGATCCTTCATGTTACATCATTAATTTATATTTTAAAGAGGAATTAAAAGTGTGACTTTTCCAGGTTTTGGTTATGAGGGTATGTCAGATGACTCTTGTCTGATCTTTGAGCCGTTTTCCTGTTCTCCTCAGTCACTGTCGGCAGCGTGGTCGAAAACAAGGTGGTGTCTCTTCTGCTTGTGGCCGAGCCTGAGGGAATCTTCGCCATGCCGGACCCCACGGTGCCTGAGAGCGACATCAAGGCTCTGACCACGCTGTGCGACCTCGCCGACAGAGAGCTGGTGGTCAACATCGGCTGGGCCAAACACATCCCAGGTACGAGTCGGACGGCCTGAGTCAGTCTGTCAGTCAGTCAGTCAGCTGTCTGCTCACACACATTAGCTCACATTAAGTCTCTAATCTGATCACAGGAGATTGTTGTGACTCGCTGGTGCCAAGACACTCACTCCATGCCTGGAGGAGAGACGGCGTGTTGGCACGACAGAGTGCGTTATCTGTCCGTCATCCTTTGTGTCTGCGTGTGTGTGTGTGTGTGTGTGTGTGTGATCGATGTGTTTCCGGATATGAAACAACCGACGGTTGCTCTCCTGAACTTTTAATCCATTTCCTGAATTAACACTTTGTGACGGCATGAGAGACATCTAGGTTTTTATTTCCTCTTCGGATGAGAAGCAGGAATAGGAGAGGAGATGGTGAGCTCTCTGACAGATTAGCGGGATTAAAAAGTGTGTATGAAGCTGTTGGTGTTTGTAATCGTATGCTGTGGCAACAGAGGAGAGCACAGGTCTGACCACCACTCTTGAAAATGGAAAATCATCACTCTCTATAAAAGGCCGGTTTGACCCACAGGGAAGGAAAACAGAGTGACACCTGTGGTGCAGAAGCTTCATGTGCTCATAAGGAGACATTTTAGGATTCACTGTGGAAACAAATTAACAGAGAATGACCACGGAGTGAAGTAAAAGGAGTTATTCTGAGAGTAAATTAGAGGTGACATTTAGGGGGATTGGTAAATATGTCAATGTCAATGTCACGTTTATTTATATAGCACCTTTATAGGACAGGCCAGACAAAGTGCTTTACAGGAGAAAAAAGAAAAAAGCTTAAAATAATAAAAGCTACAAATATGGCAACATTTAAAAGTGCAATATACAATGACAACAATAAAAGAAAAAACGTACGCGAGTAAAAGCAGGTGACAACTCAGCCAAAGGCTAGGGTAAACAGGTAGGTTTTAAGGTGCGTTTTGAAGGAGGTGAGGCTAGTTGCAGAACGCACAGACAAAGGCAGGGCATTCCACAGAGTGGGAGCAGCAACCGCGAATGCCCGATCCCCTCTGCTTTTCAGCTGGGCTCTCGGCACATCTAAAACCATCCGGTCAGCAGACCTCAGGGATCTGGTGGGTCGGTGCGCCTTGACAAGGTCGGATAAATATTCTGGGGCCAGCCCGTGCAAAGACTTAAAAGAAAATAAAAGAATTTTAAAATCAATCCTGAACTTGACTGGGAGCCAGTGAAGTGAGGAGAGCACCGGTGAGATGTGCTCCCGTTTCTTGGTTCCGGTCAGGAGACGAGCAGCAGCATTTTGCACAAGCTGCAGGCGGTTTATTTCAGTTTGGCTGATGCCAAAATACAGCGAGTTACAGTAGTCAAGGCGAGACGAGATAAAAGCATGGATAACCTTTTCCAGATCTGGCCTCCTAAGATAAGGCTTGATTTTTGCCAGTAGCCAAAGCTGAAGAAAGCTAGCCTTCACAACGGAGCTGATCTGCTTGTCCAGCTTAAGAGCCCCATCAACGATGACACCTAGGTTTCTGGCCTGGGAACCTATACAGGGTACTAAGGGGCCGAGGGAGCTGGCAAGAACCTGGACGGTGTCAGGGTTGCCAAAGAGGACAATCTCAGTTTTGTTTTCATTTAATGTAATATGATCATTACAGAGCAATATAACTAATGAAAGTTTGTCTCTAGTTATCTTATTAAACCAACTCTTTAACCAAGAAAAAAATACAGAAAATTCTCACATTTTAAAAGAGAATTTTTGGCTTATTTTTGTTTTAAAAGGACTTAGATTAATATGAAAATTTCTAAAATGACGATAATTTTTTGCTGCTTCAAACCTCTTAAATCCGAAGACCGGAAACCTTTTCAAAATTTTAAATGACATAAATTAGAGTTTCTGCAGGTTTCAACGAGTCAAATTTAAGACTTTTTAAGAATTTTTTAAGACCATAATGAAAACAATTTAAGATCCATTTTACATCCATACTGGCAAAAAAGTACAAAAGACATGAATGGAAATCAGAACATTTTAAAATCTTTATTGGTAAGTCACATCAATACATTTTTAAGACCTTTCAAATTTGTATTTTAAGACATTTAATGATGTTTTAAGAGAATTTCAGACATTTTAAGACATTTTAAGACCCAGCAGAAACCCTGTAAACTTTTGAACTTGAGCTTAGAGCTCTTGGTGTTAGTTTGGTTTTGTTGAACATAATTTGTGCTTTAAACGTTTTTATTTAGAGTTAGGACAGTGAAAGGAAATTAGAGGGGAGATCAGGGGGATGAAATGCTGATGGATTTGAACCCTCACACTTTGCAGACTTTCCCTTTAATACATGCAGCGCACAATTTAACCGCTGAGCCAAACTGACACAGTATGACATTTATTTTTATTATACTCTGATGTTTCCATAAATTATGAGAAATGTGCTCTAGATATAAACATGTAGATTCTCAGTTTCATAGCTAATAAGTGGATTTTTCTGCGCTTGAGTATAACCACAGAATAATCTCTCTGTCTTCAAGTTTCATCAGCCCAAACATCAGCAGGTGAAAAAACACCTGGACTTTTGTTTACGTCTCTGAAATGCTTACAAAACACACACAGCAGGTGTGTACGTGTGTGTGTTTATGTTTCCTACCAAATGAGTCTTTCTCCTCCTCAGTCGTGGAGTTTCCCTCTGAGATGAGGAGAAGAAATGATGAGGGATGAAGGAGAGTAAAGGGTGGATGAAGAAGACAAAGATGTAGGGGATGGATATTTAAAAACAGAAAGGCCGCCCCCCCCTCTGAGCGCTGTGACGGCCGTGTCACATCAGCTCTGGGTGAGTGACGGTCCACACTGCCTCCACGGCTGCTAGAACCAGGGTCTTGGGCAAAGTGGCCCAGGCCATCTGAGTTCTTTGGCCCAGGGGGAGGTGAGTGTACGGGGGGCTACTGTCCTGGCTGTTCCCCCCTCCTCTGTGTCGGCTCTTATCAGGCACCATGACAGTGATGTGGGCTGAAGTCTGAGGGCCAGACAGGCAGATGAGCTGGCTAAAGACCAACTGCCCTCTTTGCTTTTGGCCTTTTTTAAGTCAGCGCTGCGAGTTGGCTGTCAAATATGAGCGTATGTGTGTGTGTGAGAGAGAGCGATTGTGGTGTGACTGGCTGCGTGTTATCTTTTCTATGATACGACTAACGCTGGCACGACCATTTTTCCTCGCTCAAAGCCCTCAGCGTCGTCCTTTTGCTTTTAGAGAGAAAATCATTTGTCTCTTTAAAACCCGCTCTCTCCTCTCTTCACTGAAGCTCGATTTGTTCTTAAAATCCATCGATATATAGTCTGAGATTTCATCACACGCACTCACACAGGTCCCTGTACCTGATCGATGACCCAGTGCCAGAATACTGATCCCTATCGACCAATGAAATTGTGCAAGGACGGCCTTTTCCAATCAGTCAGGGAGCGATTGTGGGGAAAGAGGCGCCACTGATGTCCCCGCGGTGATAGTAAAGAGCAATGGATCCTGATAACAATCACTGATGGTGTCAAAAATACAAACGCCCCCCCCTCCACCCACCAGTCTGTAAAATCACCTATTTAATTACAGTAAACCTGAATGTGTGTGTGGGGGTTTATGTGAGCGGCTTTAATCACGCTCCTGTGGGGTGTAATTGTCAATCAAAGGGGGCGTCTCCAAGAGGGGGGTGATTAAATCCACCACCTCTCCACTCCCCCTGTCCTCTGGTATGTCCTCTATGAGGCGCTCACGCTAACCGTCAGTGATGTCATTATAATTTAAACAAATCAGCGCTGTCAGGAAGACTCAGCTAACATCTGAAATTTTGATTTCTCACATTTACGTGATTTCTGTTTCCTCTAATGACGACTGACGAAGGATGTCAAACTTGAAATTTTGAAACTTCTCAATGCTGCAAAACGATCTGTGCAATTTTAAAATTTGGTCCAGCTTATAAAATATAGGGCTGTACCCATAAGATATTGATATCAGCCAAAAAAAAAACAAATATCGGATTATATCAGTCTGCATTTAAAATCGCCAATATCTACACTCCAATACAAGCAGTCCATTCCAGCCTCGGTCCACGTCAACTGATTTTCATAATACAAACCTCAGCTGAACCTGGTTAGAGAGCCACCTGCTGGTCAGGTGGAAAAGGTGTGGGGCTGCCTCTAGCTAGCAGTGCCTGGATCCAGCATGTACAGCTTACGTGATCACAACAACAGTGTGTACTAAGGTACTAGCAAATTAGCAAGGAGTAGAAGTGGTGTCGGCCTTGTGGCAGTATCCTTCGATATTGCAGCTTGTGCCAGTATCGGATCAATATCGGTATTGGCCGATACTGAAGGCTACAATATTGTTGTTGTATAGTAAGTAAAAAAGCTGTATCAGGACACCCCTAATCAAAAACAAGGTTCTGCTTTAATGCATGTGTTCATATTTGCATTTAAGCAACGTGCGTCTCGCTGCTCCGCCCTCCATCACACTCCATCATGTGTTGCACCACGAGTCCTGAGTCTGGGTCGAACTATTCACTTTACAAATCTACGAAGCTGCAGTCCACACTCCAACAGGAATCAGAAGTTAAACCGAATCTTTCTCTCCTCAGGCTTCCCCTCCCTCTCTCTGGCCGACCAGATGAGTCTCCTGCAGAGCGGCTGGATGGAGATCTTGATTCTGCGGGTGGTGTTTCGCTCCCTGGCGTTGGAGGACAAGCTGGTGTACGCCGAGGACTACGTCATGGACGAGGAGCAGTCCAAGCTGGCGGGGCTGCTGGACCTCAACAACGCCATCCTGCAGCTGGTGAAGAAGTTTAAAGGCATGGGGCTGGAGAAGGAGGAGTTTGTGGTGCTTAAAGCTATCGCGCTCGCTAACTCAGGTACTAATTTGACTTGATTTGTGCAGGATGTCGGCTCTTTATGTGGTTAACTTAAAACCTAAAATGATATAGAAATGAAAATAAATGCAGTACAGATATTATTTTTGACATTTAAGTCGTCCAGACTCTGTCTCTGCTGGAAACTTTGCGTCTCCTTATTTTCCGCCGCTCCTCTGCATCTAAATGAAGTTTTAAAATTGTATTCAAATCTTGCGCCGGGCCATTTAAGTGAATAATTTAATATTCCCTTACAGACTCAATGCAAATTGAGGACTCAGAGGCAGTACAGAGACTCCAGGATGTTCTCCATGGGGCCCTACAGGACTATGAAGCCACCCACCACCCAGAGGACCCTCGCAGGGCCGGCAAACTGATCATGACCCTCCCCCTCCTCCGCCAGACGGCCGCTCGCGCCGTGCAGCACTTCTGCAGCATCAAACAGGACGGCCGCGTCCCCATGCACAAACTGTTCCTCGAACTGCTGGAAGCCAAAGCCTGACACCGAACCGCCGGCTTCATCCCGACTTCCCCAGATTGTCGCAGGTGTGAGGATGGCGAGGAGCGGAAGATGACGGGTACTGTTGTGGTTTGGCACAATGCATTTGTTCCTTTCAGCTTTAGCAATAAAGTTTCAAACCTGCAACCCCCGGGGGTGTACGACATTTAGGAAAGCGGCTGGAGCATTCGTAGAGCAGCGCCCCTCCTTTGAACTGAATTCAATGGGACGCCGCGAGAGCGAGGACTTCAACACTTACCTAAGCCCATTGACCTGCTTCCTGTACGCTGAAGACGGAGGGACGAGGAGAAGCACCTCCCCGAGATATTTATGCCAAAAGTAGAGCTTCTTTTAAAGACCACCTGATACTTGAAGATCCTCCTGGATTATTTCATCCATCCTGAAGCCTGTTAATCTGCATTCTAGTGCATTTAGAAAGCCTTTAACATTGTTTGTCCTCTTTTGTATAAAAAGGTGTCCAATGAGGTAAGTCTTGCCAAAGAGTAAAGACTCGTACTATCGAATAATACCAGCATACGTCCACAATAATATAACGTGGCCTGTAAGACATTCACTTAAACCTACATCCCTACTGTGTTGTGTAGCGCAAAAGTATCTATCGATCTACCGCATCCATATATAGGCGATTAAAGAGAAGTTAATAACTGGTTCTAGTCTGGTAGGAATTTCAGGGAAAGAGTACTTAACGTCATTATACGACAGCAAAGTGATATTTATTATTTCAAAGTGGCTCTCTCTTATTTTGCTGTTTTTTATTTACTAATGTGGCATTATTATCCGAGTAGATGAGAGCGATTCTAGACAAGGATAATTTTTTAAAGATTTTTAAATATCCCTGTAAGATAATTTTTTACTAGCTTCTCTGCAGCAGCAGCAGCAGCACTAACGCATAGATGTAAATCAAACCCAGTCAGAGTGAGAATAACTGGTACTTGAAGATCATGCTGTCGTAGAGCTGTTGTAGATTTAATTCCTGCCATACCGTGTAATCCGGATAAGGGAGGCATTTGATGTCCGCAAAACGTAGGATGAAATTCGTGCACTACTTTTCATTTTAGCCATAAAGTTTGGGGAAACTGTTAGCGGCGCTCTGTTAGTCTGTTAGTGTGTTTTTGTGTGAAGAGTAGTTTAATCTGAAACCTGTTCAATGAGGGGATTTAACTCGGAAGGAATCTCAGTAAAATAAAAAAAAAACTCGCCCGAGTCCGGCTCTTTATTTTACTAAAGGTACTGTGACACTATAATGTGCATATTTTTGTGACAAGATGATAAATGTCTGTATTGTACGTTTTTGCTGTATATATACGTCATGTCTTATGCCAACAGAGATGTTTAAAGATGCAAAATAAGCTTTGTTTGGACGAGCTGTGCCGTGTTCATTCATTCTCAGGTGGATTCTTAGGCAATAAAGATGATCCCCTTAATGCAACTCTCAAACGAGCCCAGTGTCGTTTTTCTTCATTCAGACTCTGAAAGGAAGTCAAACAAGTTCATTAAGAGCCGCTAAAGTGGCTTCACAATGTGACTGTCGTTTCAAAGTAAACGCTCATTATGGCGCTTGGATGGGATTGGATGGAGACTCATAATTAACAGTTATAATGTAATGAGGTCCAACAGTGGCTGCAGGGAGAGCCGGTCATCAGGTCCTGATGACGGCGGTGGATTCATCGCTTCATCATACAGCTATCGTGACAGAGAGTGGATATAATTTCTCTATATTTAAGTCTATTTTTCCTGTCTGTTTTTCCGCCCTTTTATCGCACAGTGGTGTCGGTTAGCAGTGGCGTACTCAGACTGTTCGAGGCGCAGGGGCGAAACAAATCAAAAGGGCACCAGCTGTAAGCCATGGGGGACTCCACATAGAAACTGTGATCAGCAAAATTTTACCTCTTGCAGCATTTGAAGCCCATTTTCTGAGCTCTTCAGTTCCTCTCTTTTTTTTGTATCCTGTAAATATTGACTTAGTTCTCAGGAACTTAAAACTGCACTAAGGAACTTTTTGTTTGTGTCTTGTCCCACACATCCAAATTTAGTAAACAGGGTTCCTATGCAAGTATGGAAAGTATGACAAAGTATAGAAGTAATTTGATCAATTTCCAGGTCTTAAAAAGTATGGTAAATGGAAAAATATTTATGTTAACAGACTATATTACCACAGTTATAAAATACTGTTTTCTAAAATAGAAAAGTAGTTATTTTCAAAAATAATTCTAAAAATTAGAGTATGGAAAAGTATGGAAATTCAAACTGTGTAGGAACCCTGTTTAAAAATAAAATATGTCACTTATTGTTAATATTTAGTGATCTCAGTTTTAAAGAGTTAAGACAAAGGAGGTGCTGGTCTTGTTCCTGATGGTCTTGTTTGTTTTTGTTGGTTATAAACAGGCATCAGTATCAATTTCAACCTGTTTTTCCACCTGTTAAAACTCCCTACGGGAGCTTTAAGTCACAAACCATGCATACAACCCGTAAGACTAAATGACTAATAGAGTTTTCCACTTAAAGGCACTTGTGATTTAAACAGCAAGTCCATCTTTTATAGTGTTTTATCTATGACAGGGGATCTCACGGGACTGTTGCAGTATTTTGCTGGACACTACACCACTAGGGGGCACCACTGCCCCCTTTTTTTCCCCCTTTAGGTACACCACACCAGCCTTGATTAAATCAGGTACTTACCTTAGACTTCAGAAACCCTTAAATCTAAATTAATAATATTAATAATAATGACGATAAAGCCGCTGCCCAATAGTTAATACACTCTCTGTCACTGTGAAAGGACATTTTCTTGGTTTTCATTGTTATTGAATTAGTAAACAGCTGATAAAGGAGGCGCTTTCAGTATCAATCAGTCCTGATTTGATCCGTTACACGGAGCGTGTGATCCTGTTTATATTTACGAGCCAGAAACACCAGGACAACAAAGATGGATGGATTTATTAAAGGACAAAATCCTGGCTGTTCATTTGTCCTTCCTGCCCCCTCCTCTGTCAGGAGCAGCTAATAAACCCTGTTATTCACCTGTGGTTTGAGCCCACTGTGGGATTCAAGCTGAAGATGTTTCAACACATCAGCCGTCAGTGAGCGGGTTAGTGATGTGCGGTGATGGATCCCCCTCCTTAAATGAGTTAGTGCGTGTCTAGCGGCCGTGTCGCACAGACACCTGGGTGATGGATGAGGCCCTGAGGAGATGGGCTGTAAAAAAGGCTGATTCTGGCACTCAAGGGTGAGATCACTTCCTCAATAAAGAAGCATTGTCCCGAATCATCACGCCAAGGTATGAATGCTGATTAGGGCATTAGACGGAGGAGAGCTCGTCCGTTAGAATAAATCAAATGAGCTCTTAGTTAATGTTTAGGAGGGCTGGGGGGGTGGGGGGTACTCATACAGGGTGGAGATGTGGGGGCCTCCAGAAAATCAAGACAAGTGTTCTGTTTAGAGGTAGAAATGTTTTGTTTTGATTTTGGTCTTGAATCACCTCTTGAGCTCAGACATAAACCGAAAACAGTAAATTACTGCAAATCATAACCCGCATAAACCATCAGCAACCCGTCTACATTCTTAATAAAATCCCTCTATTTCAAGATCTTTCTTTTTTGGTTGGATTACACTTTTAACTCTGAACAGGGGCATGTCTAGACTCTTGGCAGGGTGGCCCTACTGGGGCCAACCAAGTCAGGGGTGTGTGCACACCATAGACTGTAGATACTATGGACAACTTGGTTTCACCTTTCCGCCAGTATACGGATTTGAAGCCGAAAAGCTCTCGGTAATTCCGGGTTTTTCTCCACTTCCTGAAACCAACATTGCGCAGTAGCGTTGTACGCACTCCACCACTTGCGCAGTAGCATTGTGCGCATTCGGTGGGAGAGTTGCTGTAATGACGCTCGGCTCAAACAGCGTATCCCTCCTTGCTTATCATATCTTCTTCAACAGTGCTTAACTTGTAAATCATATGGTGCCGAAACGCAAGGTACATATGACAGAGACAGGCACAGGTCCCGGAACATGTATAGAAAACGTGCTGAAACCAACATGCAAATGCCCACTTGCCACGCTGTGGCACTTACAAGCCTCAATTTCAAATAATATCTGTAGTATCTTAACTGTACCATCACAGAGGAGTCGGCTTTCTTCTCAATTATCACTTTTTAATACCAACTCAGGTAACATACTCTTTGTCCAGGAGGAAACATCTTTATCTGAAGAACAGCCGAAAAAATATTTCCCAGCGTACCAGCGCCCTCTACTGGTATGGAGTGGCGAAACAAGGAAATCACTTCATACAAATATCCACGGTATAAATGTTATGTCGATCATTTACAAGTATTTTAAGCTATACTCCGCACAGCACAGGCGAATGCCCACATCACCACAGGTGGAATTCACAGTAAACAGTCAGCAATTAATTTCTCAACAGGTCTAACTAATCAATCACTCAAATCTTCCATTTTTATTATTATACATAGATTGGCACGGCGGCCTATTAATAGTTTACTCACCATGTTTAGTTGTCCAGCACGAGCATGTCAGGATTATCCACCTCCTCATTTTTCGGGTTTAGCTCCGTGTGTCTGTGACAGTTCTGTGTCCGTTGGTCACCCACGACCTCCCGTCCCACAGTCCTCTCCTCCTCCTCAGTCCGCTCTCGTCTCCTTCTGAATCTTCCTGCTGATGTCGCGGTTCCCGCCTGTTGCTCCGGCTGTTGTACCGGGCTAACTGATGCCAGCGTACCCGCCTGTTGCTGGTCCACCTGGCTGACTGTTAGCTCTGTAGCTTGCTCCTGCTCCGGTTGGCGGTGAACCTAACCAGCTGCTGTCGCGGTACCAGCATCCTGCCCCGGCTAGCTGTAGCGGCGCGAGCCTCCTGCTGCAGCCGGTTTCGACCGGTAACATGACCGCTGTAGCAGCTGTCCTCGTCGCCGCTTGTGGAAGCTTTTCTGACTCGTTCTGAAGTGTCATGAAAGAAGACAGTAAATGTAACGGTCTTTTTGACGTGTTTGCATTGAAACGTTAACCGTGTTTTCCTCTCTGCTTGTCCCTCAGGTTCAGCGAATTTCAAATATTTTTTTTCTGTGTCGGGGGCGTGGTTTGTGGCCCGCCTTTTTACTGCGTCAGTGCGTCACAGATCTCCGACTTTTTCATATGACGTTTAAGCTGCGTTCGGGTTACCTCGGAAGTCCGAAGTCCAAACTGAACATGACGTCACACCGGAGTTCCCAGCGTTTCAGTTACCAAGTCGGAAAATAGCAAAATCGGAGGCCTGAAACAAGATGGCTACATCTGTGAAAGTTATTTTAGCGCTGTGTACGAATATAAGGCGAGCACTAATTTTTTAATGAGAGGTACTGGATCTGCCCAAATAAGTACCGGAAATCAGAGAGGCCAAAATTAAGAAGTGGGAAATCTTGTTCCCGCAGGATCTGGCTCAAATTAACCCTCAAAAGTTAAAAAACAGAATCTTTAAAGTTTGAGTCACGGTTTACAGAGCTAACACATTTACATGTCATTAAAAAAATTATTTACTGTCGAGCTCTGACTGAAACTGGACATTTGTTTTGTATAAAGTGTACATATGCATACTATTTTACTATTTTGTGTAATATATATAGCGTACATACTTGTATATCATCTCTTGATTTTTACTTATTTTACTTCTTTTATCTATTTATCTCTTTATTTGTACTTATTTTATCTATTATTTATCTCCTCTTTTTACTTTAATTGCACAGGTGTACTGTGACAAAAAGAAATTCCCCCCTGGGGTTTATTAAAGTATCTCTAATTCTGATTCTGATTCTGAAATACTATGTTTAAAGATGGATTGTCAAGAGAGATATCTATGAATATAAAAGCAGCATTCATTGTGAAAATTGTGCACAATAATTCAAGGTAAATATCTAATCAAACCCAGATAAGAAAGAACATTTTTGAACACGGTTCTGCAGGAGGACCATGATGTTTAATTTAAAGGTTAACTGCAGAAGAAGAAGAAGAGGACAAGAGCAAACACCAGTCCTGATGGAACCAACTAGAATCCTCCTGTTTTCATGTGTTTTAAAGTTTCATGCTCTCCTGCAGCACCAACACAAAGACCCCGACAAACTGCTCCTAAATCTGCTCCATCACCTCCCTGCAGCAGACGCACAACTGTACATGAACAGTCAGAGGTCAGCAGAGGACAGCAGAGGAAAGTGACTCTTGAGCCTCCAGCTCATTACTGCTGTGCTGTTTTAGTTCTGATAGAGGAGATAAAGAGATGTTGTTGGGGAGCATGCAGCTGCAGTTTGTTTTCAGCAGTATTAGTGCAGTAATATCTGGGCCTGGAGATAAGGAGCACTGCAGCTGGGCTTGCATATTTAGCTTCTCCTCATTATACCGGACACTGCATCAACAACAGAGCAAACCGCTGCAGCTTAGCGCCATCGTGTGGACAACAGGCACAATGCAAGTGAATTTTCAAACAAATCTTAAAATGCAAAATATTTTAGAAAAGTAGACAGGGCTGATGATACTTAGAGTCATCCATAAACCCACATGCAGCCCATATCTGTGTCTCTATCCGTGCATTCACCTTAATCTCATGAGATCACATATAGGGCATAGAACATATAGGGTCCCAGCCATAGTACTAGCCACCAACCATCTTTTTAACTTTGACTCATTTCTTTAGCAAAGAGACTTAATACAACTCACCTACTTTCTTCCAGCAGCCGCTTGTTTGTAGCGAGACCTTGTGCAAGTCCATCGACTGCAATGGGGTGACGCAGCTCAAGGAAGAACATTTATGATCATTTCTTCATGGAAATACAATCAGACCGAGACGCTAAGACAGAAGAACTACCGCGTCTGCAGTGCAAAATGATTAATATGGTGATTATTACTTCAAGGAAATGATAAAGAAATGATCATAAATGTTCTTCCTTGGGCTGCGAAACTCCGCTGTAGTCCGTAATGGACTGGCCTGAGGTCTCGCTACAAACAAGCGGCTGCTGGAAGAGAGTAGGTGAGTTGTGTTTAGTCTCTTTGCTAAAGAAATGAGTCAAAGTTAAAAAGATGTTTGGTGTCTAGTACTATGTCTGTGACCCTATATGTCCTGTTGATGAAGTTAGGTGCTGTTCTGAGCATTATTTGTGGCTATAGAGTGGCGTTTTGGTTGAGGTTTGTTTATGGCTCCTCAGACCGCTCTGTATTGCTATCCTGCGGTCGTTACTAAAGTTGGTAAAACTAGAGAAGCAAGTGGTCTGCAACATTCATCTCTGGAGGGGAAGTCTAACCCGGTGTTTTGGTGTGTTTGACCGGCGGTCCTGGTTTGATCCAAACCTGCAGCCTTTATCCCACATATCATTCTGCTCACTCTCTTTTCATTTCATGCTCTCTCCACTTTACTCTCTCTCAAAATAAAGGCACATATATAATTTTATCCTGTCTGTTACACTTCTAAAAGTGAACTCTTCACTCCTCTGATACATGTCAGGCCCATTAAGATCAAACAGCCTGATAACAATAAGAAGGTTTTTATCTTAGAGAAAGGACACACACACACACACACACACACACACACACACACACACACACACACTTAAGGATCACACTTGTAATACGGCTACCACGTCTCTCCAGGTAAACTGCAACCTGACACCTGGCTGTTACCATGGCACTGCTGAGGGACAGCAAAGGTTGATGGGAGTTCTGGACTGTTAGAGGAGCATACAGCAGTCTTTTTTCCTCTGATACAAAAGGTTGGTTTAGTTTCTTTCCCCATGATCATTTGGAAGCATCAGGAAAAGGACATGAGCAGACTAAAAGTCTTCATCGGTCTGTCTTCATCTGTGCGCCGAGTCAAAGTATCAGGTGTGAAATATTGATGTGGCGACAGGTGTGATCCTGAACAGACTGCAGGTCTTCTGATCCATGTGTCGCACAGTGAGGGGCTGCAAGCTCCCCCGACTCAGGACGAACCACGGACCTCAGCGCTGGTGAGTGACTGTGTGACCAGACTTTTAACCAGGACTTGGAGATAAAGAACCCCCCAAACCATATGTGCTCCTGGGCCGACTAGAGCGGTCTAATCTACCGGTGTTCAACAATAGACCGGATCACCGAAGACTGCTGAAGTCCACAGAAATATAAACGGGAACAAGCGGATGATTAAGAAATGTGCAGCTGGAATCTAGGCCACGAGAGCGAGTGTGTCTCCAGTTACAGAGTTATCTCTGCTGCACTTCATGTCTGATCGTCTTTCTTCTTTGACTTATGAAGTCCTGAAGAAAAAAGAACAAAAATGTCAATAATGTTCAAGAAAAACTGCAGTCAGAGCTGAAACGTTGACATGGTGCTCTTTGTTCCAGATTCACAGAGTCCCACTCCTCCTGGAGGAGGGGTCGGAGCTGGAGGTGAGCGGGCAGAAGGAGGTCAGGATCACCCGTCTGTGGTCCAGGAGCTGTGGTTCATTGTGGTGATGGCAGCCATCGCTCTGCTGCTGCTGGCTGTCGTCTTAGGTGTAGTCCTTCATAAGGTGAGAGTTGGTCCTCAGTTATAGCACAAAGTTAGAGAAGTATTGGTTTGGAGCTGAAGTTTTGTCTTCTTCATTCATGATCCTCCTCTGCAGGCTCTGAACAGACCCCCCTTCACCAGAGAAAGGCCCCCCCTGGTGGCCCTGCCCATGCAGAAGAGAAGCCCCAGGGCCATCTATCCGGCCAGCAACTCCGTACTGGTGAGGGGACGTTAATGTCTTAACCAGTAAACTGTGTTTACAAAGACACAAAGTACAGATGGGAGAAAACTGAAACACTTACAGGCAGAAACCTTGAGCAGAACCAGACTCATGTTAGACTGTGACCCCCAATTTTAACCGCATCCGGAACGGCTCCGATCTAGAATGGCGCCAATTTTGCCATCCGCCAATTCCTACTGAATCTGTTTGTGAGGCGAATTTCATGGCGGATTGCAGACAGCAGGAATCGCGAAAACTCAAAAGAACCCGCGGATTCACGTGCAATCGTGCGATAACGCGTTGTCTCTATAAAGACAGACACATAGACATATAAGCAGTAGATTGTGTCCTTCCAGAGGAGGAAATCTACTTCTAGACTTCTAGAATCAGCATCTCCTCGTCCATGGTGTCATCGGGGTGAGATGACGTCTAAAAACCTTTCACTTGTTCGTCTCCGCCCGTTTGCATGGTGTGAAATACGATCCTCCTGAAACACGGAGTGTTTTATTTTGAAAAGAAGCCGGATGTTTTATTTTGTGTCTGTGCCCGACTTCCTTTCCAGCACGGGTTAATCTGTGCTGAATTTATCTGGTATGCTCAGGCGTCTGGAAAAAATAGAACTCTTGCGATCAGCTTTGGAGTCTGGCGATCGGGTGGAAATTAATTTGAATGGTTACGATCAGCAGATACAGCCTTCTCGTAGCCGTTCTGGATGCGGTGAAAATTGGGGGTTGGGAAGTGAACTTTCTTTTTCTCCTCAGTTTGATACGGTACCTGACACAACAGGCTTCTCCAACAGCGTGACGTTGAAGGGCTTCACCATAAAGATGGAGGTAAATTAACGCCTTTACCAAAACAAAGAGTAAAGATCAGCTGAACGTGAGGACACACGTCTATCCTCTCTGGACAGGAGGTGCTGGAGACCAAATGTGAGCCTGTGGATGGAGAGGTCCCCCCACAGGGCGAGCTCGGGATCCTCAGCGTGAACTCTTTGATGCGCAGCGTCAGCCAGGTGATAGACGGGAAATCATCCACAGGAGACGACGAGGCGTGGGATCCAAACATATCAGGCCATGACAGCGGGATGGTAAGAGACACTAAACATGTGAATCTGGTCCAATCAGATCTTCTCCCATCACATCTTCAACCTCATGAGTGAAACGCTTTCACAGAGATGGAGAAAGTCTCGTTAAAATAACTTTAAAACAGGTCAAAACCTCAATTTAACGAGCTTCGTTCTCCCCCCAACAGTTTATGGACGATGAGGAGTTTGTGGACACCATCAAAGGTTTCAGCACGGTGAGGAAGGAGCACACCATGTTCACTGACACCAACCTGTGACCTGTGAGGATGACCTTTGAACCTGACAGGACGTTGGCCATGCTGGACGTTTTAGAGAGGCCACCCACCCGCTTAAAACCCCGTCTGAAGTCCTGATCGGCAAATGTGACACTGGGGCACGTTCAGAGTCGTAAAGAGGTCGGACAAAGGTGAGGTGAGGTTGATCCTGTTACGCAGTAAAAGGTGGAGGAAGGCCGGACTCATGGAGGAGGGAGCAGATCAGATGGAGGATGGAGGAGTGTGAATACGAGCAGAAGAGAGAGCTGTGATTGAGCGCAGCTGCAGAGAAACTTTTACGGGGATGATAAAAACTGAGAGAACTTTGTTTTGTGAAGGTTGTACCTGACGTTATGTACTCATTATTTTGCTATTTTACATTTATTATACGAGACACTGTTGTAGAAAGTTGATAGACGACTCACTTTTGTTAAGAAAGATCGAAAAAGGATAGAAAAAGTTTTGAAAATAAACACAAGCTGAAATTTGTCACTAAGGAGAGCAGTGGTGTTTTTCTCTTTTAGCAGGTTGTTGCTACAGGACAGATTTAACAAATAATGTGGTTTATAAGTCATCTAATGGACACAAACCCAGTGACTGGTCAAGGTCTTTCATTCACTTGTCCCCAAATATGCTTTAGACTTGAATACAAATACACACTTTCTGTTTTTTGGGCACTTCAGGGGACTTTGACTTTGATTGAATTCTTGGTAAATGGGTACCTGACTTTATTATGGAAATTTCTCCTCTGAAAGTGAAACCATCTGAAAGATTAATAATAAGAGTAACTTTCTTTATCATGGAGGGGAAATTCAACAATTTTATTTTAATTTTAAAATCCAAAAATTTTACTGGTGGAGCAGAAAAAGTCTTTTGAAAGAGAGCCTCATACTTTATTTTCTAGTTTGACCCGTTTCCTGTTATAATGGACTTTCAGACCTATACTACAGCCAGCCACCAGGGGGAGCCCTAAAGTCACAGCTCCACTCAGATAGATGTTGTTGTCTCCATACTTTGTACAGTCTGATTACTGGGTATAATGTAAGTATCTGACACACTCTCATACTTGTTTTCATCACTTCAGAGGACAGAAACTCGATTTAGATTAATTCCGGGGACCTTATTTTTCACACACCGGTCACATGACTCCAAAACAACATCGTCATCACATATTAATTTATTTGAAATGAGTTGCAATTCAACGAGGGCACAAAACACTTGTACCATTACAGTCAATAATATGGTTACAAAACAAACATTTACATAATAAATTAATATACTGCAGTACCACATGAGACGGTAAACATAAAACCCCAAACTGGGAATTATATTGCATTAAAAACAAAAACAAAAAAATTGGTTTAATGTACAAAAATCTTCAGGCATTTACAAAGGCAGCCTCTTTTTTCTGTTGCTTGTTCTGCTGTAAATATATAAATATAAATCTCTAAATTGTAGTTACACAGATATGTCTGCTAACAAGGAGCGCTGCGGAGACACAGCCCTCCTCCATGCTGCCGTTTCATTATAAAACAAAGACCGATTTACAAAGTAGTCGTACTGATCGTTTACTAAGTTTATCAGCTACTTTTTACTCAAATGGCTGGCGTGTTTTTCAAGTCCAACTTTACCCTTTTTGATTAAATTCAACCATTAATAACAGTTAAAATATCTGCCACTTCTTTTTCTGCACTTACTTTAATACATGCGTGTTTCCCTTTAGTGTGACGTTAATATTTCCGTAAAAAACAAAAAAGTAATCAAACTTGGATTATTAGCAGTAAAGTGCATGAAGCACATGCTAGGTTATGAATGTTCGAAGGGAAAGAATAGTTACATATAAATAGTTAAATATGATACAACTTTCTTGACAAAAATAATGACCTCCTCGTACTGACGCAACCGTCCCCATTTTTCACGTCCTTTATCACGCCCCTTATCGTCTTCTTACTCGCTCTCTAATGTGGCTACATGCATTAGACACATGCATGACGAACTCGAACGAGTAAAAGTAAACTACTTTTTCAAGAAGAATTAGATCGGGTTTTCTAATTTGCATCTACGCTACTGTCACTAGACTGCTACACTAAGCGGACGCTACTGCAGCCGGCTACGAATACGACTGTTACGATTAAGCGGGGTAAAGACTTCAAACTAACGACATAATCAACATTTGTAATGCTACCCTGATTCGATCCTAGAGGCTACTGTGATTCCTCAAGGTTTTTCGAGTGTAGACGATAAATGCGCAGCAGGTCTAGCTGATCGAACGTCGATAGAAATGTACAAAGGCTCAGGAATGTCAGTACCGTTCAGAGTAACACTGAGGATAGTACCTGAGAGCTAGACTAGACCTGGTCCGACAGTGTGTGGTGCACCTGGAGTCGCTGGTGATCTGAGTGATATTCCTGTCAGATTGTAGGCGTGTAGTGCGAGAGTCGATGTTTGTGGTTTTTAAAGGGGTGCTGCGGTGATTTATCGCATTTAGAGAAAGTAAAATCAAAAAGATATTTACGTTGTTATATATTTAGCAAGTAAATTATTTTTTTTTTTATAAATCAATTCGGATTTACTTTTTTGCTTGAATTATTAATTCAAAGATACCTTTATATTCTACGTTTACATGTGCCCGGCTATTTTCATGAACGGACATTTCATCCTCTCTGTTTACAAAAAACACTGCTACGTTTCTTAGAAAAGTTTTCAGTCACACTAACACTTGTATATATGCCGTCAAGAGCATGCCACACCTGTAGGTGGCAGTGTAGCGAGAAGCTCAAGCCCCCGTTAGCCAATCAAAATCCCGCCTAGCAGCAACAACAGCGTCCCTTTCTTCTTTCCGGCGCACAATCTTCCGTCGGCTACCGAAATCTCAGTCTTTCTCGGTTTACATCCAAACAGAGTTTTCCAAAATCTCCTCTCTGGTCGAAGTTTTTAAAAAACATCTCTTTCAGAGGCGAATTCTTTGTTTGTGGCTAAATGATGGTTAATGTCTCTGTTTTTAAAAATGACCAGGTACATATAAACGGGGCCTAATGCTGCGTTCGAGTTACCTCGAAGTCAGATGTCTGAGCTGGGAATGATGTCACACCAAAGTTATCGATGTTTCAGTTACCAAGTCAGAAAAAAGCAAAATCGAAGGCAGAAACAAGATGACTACATCTACAAAAGTTAGTTTAGCGCTTGCCTTGTCCTTGCTTATATCGGACACTGGTAACTCGGACTTCTGACTTCCGAGGTAACGTAGTGTAAGTCTATAACATGAATCCTTAAAGTCCCCAAAGGAAGACCACATTTGTTTGACCCGAGTCCCTTCCTTAAATTTGTGACTTAAGTTAAAAACATTTAGCTAAAAGTACTTCACTGAAAAAGTCTCTATATAAAAACTAAACCGACATCAACTGGAATAAAATCAGCGTAATACCCCTTTAATGTTGTTTATCGTCTATGACGGCTGAACGGATGCACGACAACAATGTCTCATGTTGACTTACTTTTGGCACCGCTAATTAAAAGCGTCTAAGCTTCGTCTAACGCTAACCTAACGAGGCGAACCTCCGCCAAATTTTTCCACTACGACACAATCGGATCACTGACGGACAAAAGTGCTACCATGAAATGATCACAACGATTAAAGGGTTCACCCACAGTTTTTAACAGAAGCTACACAATTATAATCTCCACTAGACTACTCATGTTACTAAACGCAGTTATGTTAGACGAGGTATTTCGACGTTAAGACGATTTCGGGGGGAGGTGATAAAGCTGTCGGGGATGGTGGTCACTACTTACGGGGCTTTAGAGGTCAAAGGACAGGATCTGGTCACTGAAGCCGGTTCTGGACAGTCCCTAAATCTCACAAAAAAATAACCTCCTCCAAAAATATGCTTTTACGTGTTTGTTCATCCAGCTTTACTTTCTCAAGTCGTTTCCATCCCTTTTTGCAAAAACAGTAAAAAAAGTCGCCTAAACTGTGCAATTTTCTCCTCCTCTTATACAAAATATTTCATTTGAACATTCAGCTACTTTCCAGCATGAACCCCGAAAATCCACATGCAGAGACGGGTGGGGCAGTAAGATCGGGGATTTTTAAGTTAAAGGGTTTGCTCTTGAGAATCAACGTTTAATGCGATCGAACAGCTTATAAGACAGGAAGGGAAAAACAGAGCGCATGCAGCGTGGACTTCTAGACTCTGACAGATCTGCGTTTTCACACCGATCCACTCAAATAATCCGCTGACCCCTCTCTATTCAAGACTGCTGGCAAATCAGAGAGTGACGTGTTGGTTAATACTGATCACTGGCATCCATAGATGGGTTATCATGCAGTCAGAGTATACAGGGTTATAGCACTCAGGCATTAAGAAGTTAAGATATGAGGAATAAAAAGTTAAGTCTAGAGTTAAAACAAGTCTGAAAATTTAAAAAGATAAAGTCTGTGTCGAAAAAAAGGAAGGAAGAAGGATTTGGAAATCCCCTTTCGAGGTTCTTCCAGATTCCCAGAACCCTCTCGATGATCCGCGGTTCTGGAAACAGGAGGCTCTCCTATGGCTTTATGTGGGACAAAGAACTGCGGAGACAAAAGCAGATCAGGCGACGATTAATAAACCGACGACGATTAAGACACATGGAGGAGAGCTGGAAAAATGGAAGAGCAACTACCGAGAAGGGGAGAACATGTGAGAGAGGTGAGAAGAAGCTGCTGAGAGAAGCTGGGGGTTAAAGGTGAGTGAGTGAGGGGGGCTGTGTGTGTCAGGGTTAGGCAGAAGCTGCTCAGCACTATGGGCGCTACGGCGACGAAGAGTGAGTGAGTGAGTGAGTGAGTGAGTGAGGGAGGCTGCTGCTGTTTTTGGAGAGGGAGAAGAAGAAGGTGATGCTACGAAGAAGAAGAGGAAGAGGAGGCTGAAGGTGGAGAGTTGTGTTAATGAGCCAGTGCCTCACAAACCTTGGTATTCCTCTGCTCTCATACCAGAGCTACCCAAAGGACAGTGCAGCACAGACGAAAGACAAGGAAGGTAGAGGTCAACAGTGAAGCCTTCAGCTAAACCACATCAACATCTTTCTACTGTAACTCCTCTGATGACCACGTCTACAGAGCGCCGCTACCAACAAAACTTCTCAGAAATCAACGACTGTGTGTGTTTACCTTTGAGGATGTAGTCTGTTAGGAGAGCCGGAACCTTCTCGCTGTCGTCCCTCATGGCGTGGAGGACTAGCAGACGAGGAAAAAGACATTATTTATGGAAACGAAACACGTTTGAGTGACTTCAGACTGCTTGTGTTGCTTTCGTCAACGAACCTTTATCACGTGATGAAAACGAGACGGAACGCAGATGGCGGTCTTGTGACGATAAATATATGACCCAATAATGTTGATGAATAAAGACGAGACGAAAGGTTGTTACACACCAGGAGCGTTTTTTTATGCGCGATTATTTCAGACGTCAATATTTTTTTTGTATAGTCAGGTGCGTCAAAATTCACCTCAGAATATTTCATTATTTCGTTCTATATTCGCGTCGGCCCCGGTGTGTAAGGACCTTAAATGTGGTTCACAAAATAATCCTGCTAAAATGTCTCATTTTCATTGACTAAAACAAGATGAAGTTGTTTAGTCACGTTGTTGTTGTTTTCTGTTTCCTTTGGTTTTAGCGATTTTATACTACACTATATTAACTGGGTTAAACAGAAGTACATTACTAAGAAGAGATTAAAATTATTGACTTAAACTGGACTAAAATGTCATCAGTTTTCGTCGACTAAAACTTGACTTAACAAAAACGAGTTTAAACGTGACTAAAACTAATAAAATCTAAAATGACAGTTTGACGCAAAGACTAAAACTAAAATTAAAACAGGCCACCAAAAACCACACTACAGACTGCAGAGGTGGACTCACTCTTTGTGAGAATCTGGAGATCTTCGACAGGTGGGGAGCCCGCTTTCTTCTCATACGGGATGACTGTGGTCAGGTACTGAAAGAAAGAAAGAGAAGATCGTTTAATCGTCGTTTATATTTTACTGTCTCGAAACACAAAAAAGACTCCAGAGAAGCATGAAGGGGATTAAACATGATGGTCCGAGAACAAAACGAAAAGCTGCAAAATAAAGACTGTAAAAAAAAAAAGTCAGAAAGAAAAGAAAGAAGATGAAGGCTGAATAAAAGACAAGAAAAGAAAGAAAAGTGATTAAATGGACAAACACCAGTGTCAGCCTGGAGAAGGAAACATGCTGCTGATTAAAAAAAAAGAAGAAGAAAAAGGGTGTGAGGCAGAAAAAAGAGCAGGGGCACCTGTTTGTCCCCTCCTGTGTTCCCAAAAGTTTGACGGAGGCCATTTTGAATGACATTGGAGAGTCCCTCCAGAGTGAGGAGCTACGAGCAGTGAGAGGAAGGAGGGAGGAGAAAAGAGAGAAAGAGAGAGAGAGATGAGGAGGAGGAGGAGGAAGTTTCTATATTAAGAGGGAGAAAAGGTTTGACACAGATCCTGGAAGTGTGTGTGTGTGGAAGCGCCCGTCTGTGTTCTCATGCAGCATGCACCTAAGTGTGTGTGTGTCAGTGTGTAACTGGTCATGTGTTTAACAGTCATGCTCGTGTGTTTGTTCGTGCCGCGCTCCGTGACTCACTGTGCCCGGTATGTGCGTGCTGGCCGTCCTCTGGCCGTTGGGTCCGGTCGTGGTCGTACTTCGGATCTTCTTCTTCTTCCTCAGCAGCTCGCGGTGTTCCTTCTGCCTGTTCTGGACGTCGATGAGCAGAGAGATGAAGCTGTTCTTCACCTGGTTTCAGAGACAAACATCAAATTATTTACACTCTCTAACCACAGAGGAGGTTTTCAGACTGTTTCATGTTAATATTTGGTGATAACAGGATCAGAATCTAAAAGTACCTCTTTTTCATAGTCCAGTTCGTCCCTCAGGGCCAGAGCCTGGATCAACTCCTCGCTGTAGCGGCGAATGGCGGTCTCCACCTCCTCCAAAGTCTCTGTCAGCTCAGACACGGACAGCTGACGCAGCCCTGAGGATGGCGTGAAGATAAATCAGGAGGAAGTGACACATGATGCATATATCTGCGTCCTTGTGTGGGCGTGTTGACGAGTATTCAGCATGAATAGACTCCATTAGCTCTGCTGCATGCACGCCAAACGGTAACAAACAAAGCCCTGATCTTGTTCCTGTATGTTCTGAAATTCTCCTTCAAGTTATTTTAAATAGATCCTTTTCCCAAAGAGTCGCCTCTTCAGGTCTGAAAATCAGGAGTCGGAGCTTCTGATAAATTCTTTTTTAAATTTATTTACTCGGCTTTTATCGGCCAGTTTTATGGCGGCGCCTTGTTTGACCTTTGCAGATGATTTGGCTCCGGGAAAATAAACACGTGAACTACAAAAACTAAAAGGTCATGTTTGAATGAATGTTTACAGCCGGGTGCTTGGACACTGAGGAGCCGCTATTAACAAATTTAACATGCAAGTGGACCATTATGAAAATAAACAAAGACTATAAAGTTAAATAATACTGTATAAAAAAGGACTAATAAATGAAAAATGAATGAATAATATGAATAAATAAATAGAATAAAATTCAAATAAATAATAAAATAATATTATATAATAAATCAATGGATAATAATAAATAAAATAAAAAAGATAATAAAATATTGATATATAATGAATAAATTAATAATAAAAATTTTTATAAAAAATACAGAATTATATATATATATAAATATATACATATATATATATATATATATATATATATATATATATATATATATATATAAGTAAATAAATAATAACATAAGAAAGAAAAATAGTAATAATCATAAATAATAAATAAATTAATTAATTAAAATAATAAATACAATAAATTATTAATAAAAATAAAAAATAAATAATACAATTATTAATAAAATAATAAAAATAAATATTAATAAAGTAATAATAAAATAGTCACAAAATCATAACAAATAAATAATAAAACAATAAATAATGAAATAAATTCTAAGCAAATAAAATAAATAAATAATAAAATATTTATAATTAATAAATGAAACATTTTTCCAAGTCCTGTGTCCATCCTGTGTGTCTCTCAGAGATCCCTGAACTCTAGACTGTAGTTTACTTACGTAGATATTTAAAACTAGATCTACAGCCTGAAGGTAAACTGGCTGCAAACGCTAAGTCCACACAAGTTCTGCAGCAGAAACTGTTCAAGCCCGATATATACGCTGTTTATTACATAACGACTATGAACAACAGAACCGCTGTCTGTTTGCATCTATAACACATTATATAAGAACGTTACTGAGCGCGTGCAGAGTGCAGAGCGTTCTTTCTTCATTAGGGATTTAGATAACCGTCAAAGAGCGGCACAGAGCGACATAATACTGGAACATTCACACTCGCACAGACACACGACATGATGTATACGAGTTTGGTGGTACTCACGGTCCTCGTAGCTGGTGTTGGAGCCTGAACGTTTCAAACCGTGGAGGTCCTGAGAGAGCATGGAGAGGTCAGACTGAGAGGGACTGTCGTCATCGTCCGGGTCTGGAGACTCCTGCATCATCTCCTCGATCTCCTCTATCACCTGACAAACACACACAGTTCAGTTTTTCTAACACTGAGTACACACTTCAGTCTGACTGGATATTAAAGGGTTAAAGCGCCTCGATCCACCCGTCTGCTCGGTTATTTGTGTCAGGACACAGTGACTTATTTTTTCAGGTTTCTATTTCTGTTCTGGTTTGGAGTTTTTGTCCTTTTGAAATCTATTTTTGGGTCATCACAAGATTTCTAAAAACCTTCCTGGAGAGAAAATATCCTCACAGTTCAGGTGAAATATGAGCGTAAATTAATCAAACTGATGAAATACTCTTAATATTCCTCCGTTAGTCGTCTGTTTTGTGTCACTATTTTCTCATAAAGCCTCTTGCCACACTTATTTCTCTGTCTGTTGTGTTATTTGTTGATTTTTTGTCGCTGTGAGGTTATGTTGTTGACTCTGGAGTTGTCGGATGTGTAATTACCTGAGAGCTTCGTTTACCTAAACGGACCTTAAAGGCACATGAGTAAGACCCTGATGTGACGCTCTAGTGTCATTTTTGCTCTTTTACCGTGAACCCCGCCCTCTTAAATCCTCTTATATCTAAAGCTGGTGTTGTTTTGAAAAGTTGGTTGATGTGTTTTTGGAGGATTTCGTCTCGATGAGGTTTAAAGATCACCTGCTCAGCCGTGAAAAGCGGTTCATCGTTGATGCAGGACACGATGATGGAGTGCATGTCCATCTGCTCCCTCAGCTCCTCGTCGTCTGACAGATCCAGGGATTGGTTATCCAACTTCTGTCAATCGCAGACAGAGAGAGAAAAAAAACATGAAGTAAATGCCAAACAGGTGGTCAAGCAGATTGAAGTGGGAGGAGCAAACGGGTTCGATTTGACTCTGTTCCTGCGAGGCGACACCGTGACAGCTGTTTGAGTATGAAAATGCGGCCGGCCTGTTTGTCGACCGCTCCGTGTGTTTTTTCGCCGTACCTCGTGCTCGATGAGGTTGAGAGTGGGCAGGTGTAAGGAGCGAGTGTGCGATGTCTTCCAGTCCACCGCCATCACGTTGCCGTAGTTATCCGTCAGAGCGTTCCACACCCTGCAGGAGAGCGAGAGAGAGAGGTTGGAGTTTTAATAAAACAAAGAAATGACAGGAGGTGAACGATAAGATCAGACAAACCAACAAACTTCCTTCTGTTTTGAATGTGACGCAGCATTACTCTGCAGATCGACTCTGATGTTTCACAACAGGAAATGACCGAGAAATTCAACAATTCTCTGAAAACAGAGATCTGCAGACGGTCCTCTCACACATATGGTCGTTTTTATCACACACCCTCCCTTTGTTGACAAAAACGGCTCATTTAGAAACAGTGTCATCTCAATTTCAACAGACTGTTGCGTGTTTACAATGCTGGCAGAGGAAACATCACAGCTGAGCAGATGGTGGCGGAGAAAACAAGTTTGAAGTTGAACTGTGAAATCCGTCTTCTCTCTCTAAAACTTACTGGCGACCAGACCTGAGAAAATATGTGCGACGTATGATTTTAACGACTGTGTCCCTGTGAGAAATATTCACAACAAGACGTCGAGTGTTTGTGAAGCTTACTGGGTGATTCACAAGGAAGCAAATTTATTTCATTATTTCACATGAAAATATTTTAACAGACACGCATTTGCATTTTCAGAATGTACCTGCACTTCTTGGCTTTTTTGTTACAAAATCAAAACTGAATAATTTGACTCAGAAAGGAAATTAAGGATAAATAATACAAACTGCATTTTCATTTCAAGAGAAACCAAACAGACCATTGCTTTTACATTTTCATGTCTGCCTGTTGCTGCCTGATCCGTCCCAGAAGCAAAATTTCCTGCCCTCCTTCGCCTATGATTGGCTAGAAGTGCTGGGCTCTGATTGGTTATTCTTTATGGCTGTGAAACGTCATCGTCTGTCGGGTTAAGGTCTTTACAAAGTATTAATGTTTTATATTGCTATACATTTGATACAATATACATTTGAATTTTGAGATTTGACATTTCGAATTGAGTTTTGGTCCATATTTACTGTGGCGTATTTTGAAAATTAAATCTAAAATGGATTTTTCTTTCACATTTGAATGAAGTTACAGAATGAAAAAGAAAAAGCAGTTGCAGTTCAGATTATTTATTTTTAATTTTATTTATGAGTCACGAAGCTGAGCTACATTCTGAAAATACAAATGAGTTTCTGTTGATCTATTTTTATTTAAATAATGATACAAATTTGCTTCCATAGATTCGCATGATTGTGTTTAGCTGTTTCATTCAGTTTTCACGAGAATAGAAAAATTATAAAATCAATAATTGTTCAGGAACATTTAGAGCTGAGATCCAGGCGCGCACGTGTAGCGGGCCAACGTTTTTATTCCTGGCTCTGATCGCTGCGAGCAGAACGGGGATGGATGATGCTGTGAACCCATGTGTCAGAGTGACTCTGCATCGTCACGCACTAACACACACACACAAACACACATGAATGTGGACGAATGTTTATGTAACTAGCATGTTTCTCCCCGAGGTGCTCATCCACAGCTTGGCGAATGGGGGGCTGAGGGGTCGTTCTAAATAGGGCAAAGGCTGGCAGGAGGATATGTGTTTTGTCTCTTCAGCAGGGACGCCGTCTCAGGCACGTGAGCGCACGCCAAAATACACAAATTAGTCTCAGTTGCGCAGAGAGCATTTGCATCTGAAAACACGGCTGATCTAAATTTCAAGGGAACAATCTTCTTGTTTTTGTCCGACGCCGTGCCAATTTGTCTGAACGACTCGCATGAATTTATTTATGCCAATGATGTTTTATCACAAGTACACACACATGATCCACCCCTACAGACACACACACACATTTTGCTTTCTCCAGGCATTCTCACACAAACACACATTTCCTTCCTGTCATCCCTGTTGTTCGTCTCGGCCGTGTTGAAGTCTCGCTAAAGAAGGGAACTTGTTAAGCGCCCGAGCACGTCCTGCAAAGAGCAGTCATCCAGAAAAGACTCTCGCTGAGCCTGGCGCTGCTTTTTGGGTTTCGCCAGGCAGCAGTCCAATTATTCTGCCCCCTCCCCGCCTCTGTATCTTCACCTAACAACAACCAGAGATGCTTCCCTGACAGAAAGACCAGCCTCTCTAAACATTTGGAGCAACGTGAACTGCGAGTCGCCTCGACTCTTGGCGATGAAAAACCTGCAGACAAACGCTTTTGTGTGTGTTTCCAATGTGCAGTGAAGTTACACAATGGTGAGCTATTTCTGTCACGAGTAATTAGTTCCCATTTCCAATTAACCAGCTGATATGATTACTCTCGTTAATTCAAACCAGAGTTCAGCTGAAATGATTGGTCCACGGTCAGAAGAAGGAGATGGTTACCATTAGAGACGAGTATGTGAAGGAGGAAAAAGCAGATTTCTCTTTAGAAATTAGTTTATAAATTTTACAGATAAGAATTTGAAGGTGATAAATTTGGTCTGTAGTTTAATGTTTTCATTTCTTCATGGAAATTCAATCAGAGACGCTAAGACAGAAGAACTACTGCATCTGCACAGCAAAATGATTAATATGGTGATTATTACTTCAAGGAAATGATGAAGAAATTATCATAAATGTTCTTCCTTGAGCTGCGGCACCCCACTGCAGTCCATAATAGACTGGCCTGAGGTCTCGCTACAAACAAGCGGCTGCTGGAAGAGAGTAGGTGAGTTGTGTTTAGTCTCTTTGCTAAAGAAATGAGTCAAAGTTTAAAAGATGTTTGGTGTCTAGTACTATGGCTGTGACCCTATATGTCCTGTTGATGAAGTTAGGTGCTGTTCTGAGCATTATTTGTGGCTATAGAGTGGCGTTTTGGATGAGCACACGGCTCTCTGTATTACTATCCTGCGGTCGTTACTAAAGTTGGTATAACTAGAGAAGCAAGCGGTCGGCAACATTCATCTCTGGAGGGGGTGTCTAACTCAGTGTTGCTGTGTTATTGACCCTAAAGTAATTCTATGTCGGAATATCCCTTTTAAAGAGAACAGTAGCCTAAATGACAGTCTTTAAAGACACCAATTCGAGATATTAAAGATATTATTAAGCTGTAAATCATGTAAAGTTGCTAACTGAACCATCAGAAGGACCCCATAAAGCCTAGAAATGAGCATAAACCTCCTCTATAAATGACTTTAACTGCTTCAGACAAACATTTAAGACAAGTGGCTCAACCATTCACAGTCCTGTTATCTCTTCCTGCCACTGACACATAATGTCATGTTTCATACATGTCATCATTACTTGCTAGAAAGGTTACACTGTCAGCATCGGCTCGTACCATCATAACAGGCCCTGTTATCTCAGCCGGGGGTCCCAGCAGTTACTGTATCTCATCACGGTACACATCCACACGACTACACAGAGTTACAGCTGATACAACACAGCAGCTGGCTGCATCAATCCCCTGATGTTACAGAGCTGTGTGGGCTGCATAACTCACCCACCTCCTATCTGTTCTACTTGTCAGAGGATGACACTGTCAGATGTTATCGTTTTTTAAGTTCCCTCTGCTTCACTAAAAGGGAAGTTGTAAATGCAGGTGTCATTTTTATAACTCCTGTCTTATAAATGAAGTTTGTAAACTGTAAGGGCTGACATTATGATCAAATTAGGAAAACAAATGCATTTGCTGCTTTTTCTTGCTTTATGTCTTTAAGTTTTTGGGGTTGTTGTCTGTTGAAGACCCCGTAAAGTATCATTTTTGACTCAGAGAAATTGGGGTTCATCGTTTTAGATTAGATTAGATATTCCTCTATTCATCCCTCAGTGGGGAAATTAAAACTGTTGACAGCAGGAGTACACACAACATACACATTCACCTCAGGTGCGAAAACAAATTAATAAATAAAGATAGAAGAATGAGTCTAAAATAGAGCAATAAATGACTGGTATAAAAAAATATTAGATCAGTGCCGACAAAAACAGGTATGGATGTGTGTAGGTAGACTGCAGTGTAGTTGCTGAATAACAAACTTGATGATATTCCACATGATTAATAAATAAATTAGGTTGTATGTAGAAGTGTTGCGCTTATACTGTGTTGGTGGTGTTTGTCTGCGAGGAGCAGGTCTGGTTGAACTAAAATAAGCAGGTTTTGGACAAATATTAGGATATTAAATTAACATTTTTATCAGCTGCAGCAGCTATGTGGATTATTTTCTTAATGGATTGAAAATTAAAAATATGGGAATGATAGAAATGACATTTGTACGTTTACTCAGTCCGTTTATATGACACTCTAGAAAACCAAATTATCATCTTACTCCGATTAAGACCTGACAACTGAAGTGCATGAAAACACCTCAGTCTGACTATAATCTCCTTCACTGTTGTTGTGATTAAATTAACATTGTTCTTCCATTCAAAATAGTCAAATATAGTTCGTCTTCATTATGTCTGTTTCTCAAGTACATACACCTTATTTTTTTACTCGAAACAGAGTCTATCTTGCATCTAATACCGCTTTACCCTCATGGTGACTGTACTTTAGAAACCTCCTTCACTGTTGCAGTTCTGAAAAGTTGTTGTTATTAAATTAACATTGTTTCTCCATTTGAAATAGTCAAATATAGTTTGTCTTCATTATGTCTGTTTCATAAGTACAGTCACCATGAGGGTAACGAGGAATTAGATGCCAATAGACTATATTCTTAGTGAAAAAATAAGGTGTTTACATCGATATCAGTATCGATGTTGGTGTTGATCACAATCTGCTTAAATTTATCGTCATATTAACAAAATTCAGCCCCTAACAATGACATTTAACCAAGTTAAAAGCAAGTTGAAGTAGTGTTAACGTGGCAAAACCTCCCTCCCTCCTCACACACACACCTCATGAGCTTTAATCCTATAAAACATCCTTCATAACACCATATTATATCAATATGACAACGTGACGTATCTTATATTTTTAACATTTACTCTAAATAACAGGATAGTATATGTTAATATCAGACATGTTAAGGTATATTCTACCTCTGTGAACCTTCATTAACTGTTAGCCAAACTCTGAGCAGCAGTGATTTCAGCTAAACTAACATTAACTCACCGCTCAGTGTTAGCCTGCCGAGGCTAAAGCTAACTAGCTAACAGATTAAAAGTTCGCGCCGTTAAAATGAGAATAAAAGTCCAACTTACTCGTCATCTTTCAGGTAATTATCCTCCGTGATGGGTTTAATGGGAGCTATGTTCTCCGTGGTGGTGTTGTAGTTTCGGAAACACACCGTTAGCTTCTCGTCGAAGTCGTGGACCAGGTCCTCCATGGATTTGAAGCTGCAGATCTCCCCGGAGAAACTGTTGTCCAGGTCGGAGAAATCGTCGAGGCCCGACGACGACGAATCGGCCACATTGGAGTTGAGCTGGTCGAGCTGCTCTGCCGTCGCGGAGGTCGGTTTAAACTCGTTAAAATCCTGCCAGTCCTCGTCGAAGTGGGCTAACGGCGCCGCCATGACTGATGACTGCCGCACGGAGCTCGGTGGACGACCCGGTTAAAGCCCCAGGATGGTGCTCTGTTTTCGGCTTCGGTGTGTACTGATAGGCGGAGGAGGATGGTCACGGTGGTGGTGGTGAGGGGGCGGAGAGAGGGAGAGAGAGAGAGGGGAGGTGGGAGGAGTCAGTGACGTATTATAGACGACCCTCCTCCATATGTAGCAAAACAACATTATTATTTCCCTTTTCTTTCTTTCTTTCTTTTTTTTTCTTTTTCGTTCCCTTTTTCTTTCTTTCTTTCTTTCTTTCTTTCTTTCTTTCTTTCTTTCTTTCTCAATCATTATTTTCTTATTAATTATTTTCACTTGTTTTGTATGTTTCACGTTTAAACATTTTTATCATACCACACTTTGACTTTTTTTTTCTTTCTAAAATATGGAATTTTTTAATATACTACACTATGATTCTTTATCATACTAACTCTGACATTTTTATCACACTACACGTTGATCTTTTTAACAAACTATACTGCATAAGAAACATAAAAAAATATGACATGAAAGGTACCAGCTAAAAAAAAACAGTTGGCATAAAATTTGGTCGTTTTTTGTAGCCTTGGCCTTTGGGACTTAAGTATATTCACAAAAATATAACCAACATCCAAAAAATGTGATTAAAAATAGTGTTTTATCCAATTTGTTCATAAATTCAAAAGCAGAAAAACAGAAAACACTGAAAATTGATGACACTTATATGTCACTCTAGGTTTTTTTTTTAAATAAAGAATTATTATAATATCAACAATTTCCGTCCGTCACTGAAAAAGCTGGGTCATTATGTCAGCTTAAAGTGCATATTCTTACTTGACAAAGTCCATAATATCACATTTAAATGGCATCTAATTCTGTTTTAATTAAAAATACACATCTACTCTTTGTCTAGCAGATTTTGATGGACATGTCCATCGGAACCCTCTGTTTTCTTTTTTCTATATCTAAAAATGTCACTAGGTGGCGTCACAAGCCTGATATTGCAGCAAACCATGACCCTTAAGTGAACTACATCAGATTAACTCATAAAATTTAAGAGATTCTCTTACTATACACAGTGAACTGGAACAGAAAATATACTTAATTTCTGTTTTTTTAATGATATATTTCTGCAATCTAGACATGTATGTCATGGGTCATTTTCCTGAAATGTGACTATTTCCTCTAATAATCATTTTTCTGACAGTTTACTTGGTTGTAAATACTTTATAATGTCTTATTTTTCATACTAGATCACTTTTTTTTGGATCTACAAAGAAGACACTGACACACATTTTACCTGCGCCGTCCTCTCCAAACTGAATTCAAATTGAACGATCGACAACAAAGCTTACTGAAAATAACGTCACTTTATTGGCAAATGTTCTTATTATTCCTAATGGCATTGAAGTTAGCCTTTTACCAGGTGGTGTGGCTCCAGACACTGCTTTCAAGAAACAAATGACTGAATACAAAGTAAAATTCGGACACAAGATCAACCCAGCGTTTCCCACCGCAGAGCCCTTGACACATGCTTTGCCAAAAGCAGTGATTCAGGGCCGGACTGGGCTCCCTTTTTGCTCTTTAGTCAAAGGGGGGGGAAGTTTTAGGGGCCTTCACAATCTCTCGCCCCGTCAAACTCCTGTTGGCCTTTTTTTTTCAAAACCCTGAATGCTTTATTGAAAATATGCATACATAACACTTTTCCTACACAACAATACAAAACAGTACAATCACTTTGTAATTAACACATTGAACGCAAAGCCACACATCATCCCTTTTTCCCCGGCCCTCGCCCAAGGAGCTTAGAGATGCTACAGTAAGCCCTTAGTTTACTCCCACCCAGCCCCCAACCCAACACCACCACCATCAACACTGACTCCGCCACCTTCAGAGAGAAATAAGACAAAGAGAAATCAGAAACAACTCCTTCAGGAAACTCAGACAAAAGAAGAGTGGACACCAGGTTGCATACAGACATAGCATGTGCCACCAGCAGGTGAATTATGGGCTTTACTGTCACTAATTTTGAGTTCTTCGTTTATGATTTACTGTTGTTTTCAGAGAGAAGATGCAGGATGTGGAGAAGGAGGAGTCCGTTCTTGCAGTCCAGGTGCGACACATGTCACCTACAGAAAACACGCGTTTGCCGACAACTTCTGATCGGCAACAGAACACAAAGAGAAAGATCCGGTCTTATCACACACAGACATGCGGCGGTAAAGTCGATTTTCACATGAAGGAAACTCTTTTAAAGGCGAGGGGTGGAGACTTTAAAACCTGATTTGATTGTAGGTAACACACTTCCTTTAAAACAACAACAACAACAACAACAAAAGAGAGAAAATCAACTCCAATCCCACTCCGACAGGCATGGGTGTTCCTGTGCATATTCATTTGGATAAAAAACGGAAATATTAAGAAAGTGAGTAAATGAAAAGAAAGATAAAAGGGTTATAAAGAGAACTCAAAATAAAATGAGGACTCAAAATGTCTGGTTATATTTTAATATGATCATACAGGGATAGAGGTCAACCAAAAAAAATGATATAATGTGAACAAAAAATTTTAAGTAACAAAAAAAAAAAAAAGGTTCAATAAAAACAGGCAGAAAAGCACTGATTTTAAACACATTTTAACTGTATATCAGTCTGTAGCAAATAGTCATTACATACCCTGAAAAAAGGGAGGAAGAAAGCTTTGAATGGTGCACTGACCACTGAATAACTTGGCTGTAGAGCGACAGGGGAGGGAGGGGGGCGTTAATGCTGAATTCTCTCTAATATGCGGCTGCTGCTGCTGCGCCTTCATGTGCTGCGAGGTTCAGGTTCTTTTTAGTTTGTCGACGAGAGAATGATAAGTCACTGCTTTTTGGGTGCATAGAGGCAAAGTGAGGGCTCAATTCCTTTTTTTTCTTTTTTAGCAAACTCGGGGGGTTTATTCTTCTGTGGATCGATGCAGTCGGTGCAAAAGAGCTGAGAGACCACTCAAAGTGCAGAGGGGGGAGAAGAAGAAGAAGAAGAAGAGGGGGACGTCATACATACTGAAAGTTTGTGTGCAACTGTATGAACAGGAGGAAGGCAGTTTGTGTGTGTTTTTCAGATTCATCATCGTCACACTACTCCCATATGCTGACAGTGGTCCTACTTATCGGTGCCCCTTCTCTCTAACTATTCATCCTAATAATTTACAATTATTCACTTCTCGTATTAATTAGGTCGTGACCTTCTCACTAATATCACCGCAGATTAAATTTCTGTCTTTCCCACGTCGCCGGTGACTCGACTGTGGGTTTAAATGCCACGTGGTAAAAGGAGAAATGAATCGTAATGTAAAAATTAAAGCCCCGGATTAAAGAAAAAAAGTGTTTTCTATTACAAAATGGCTCTCAAGTATTCTTTGTTCCACAGATAGAGGTCCCTAAGGGGCTTTGGATAACTTAGAAATGGTTTAAAATCCTATTTTTCACAATTTGGACGATGGGATTAGGAGGATAGAGGAGGAGGAGGATAGAGGGTGGGTGGGGGTCTTCTGCTGGTGTGAATAGAGCACACATACAAAAAAAACACGCTGCAATTAAACCTGCACCCACAAATGTCAACTCACAATAATGTGGGCATGCATAATCGCTCTCACTCAGTCTCTCACGCACACGCACGCACGCGCACATACAGGGACAGCGGTTACCGGTGTGCATCCAAGTCGCACTTTTTTTTACGTCTTTGTGTGTGTGTTCGAGAGCCGCGCCTCGTTTTTCGTTGATATGTGACCCGTGAGTCTCTCCGGCTCCTCTTTAGGCAGATGTGATGGAGTTGTTGTGCGGTAGCTGGACAGAGGAGTAGGGGGGGTCGGACACGTTACGGCGACCGTCCTTGTTAAAAGTTAAATTAAAGGAATAAAAAAAGTTCCTAAATGTCGAGAAACAGAAAGTGGAATCTTTGCGCCAAAGCTTTCCACGGGCACTACTCGAGCTAAGATTCACCTCTTAAATGAGAATTACGCTATGTCTATCATAAAACAACTCCAACATTTAGCATAGCATTTTCTGAGTGTGTGTGTGAGTGAGTGTGTGTGTTTTTTGTCAGCTGGTCGGTCGGTGTTTCCGTCGTGGGTTTTTTTTTCAATTTGAAGAATATAGCAAGAGAGCGGGGGGGAGAGGAGAAAACACACATAAAGAAGAGTTGCTATATCCCCCCCTGCGCGCCATCCTCCCCGAGCAACACCCCACCCGTGTCCATGGAGACATTATACAGGTAATGTGACAAACAGGCAAACAGGCAGACAGATGTAGTCCAATAAGCAGACGGCTGCCCCTGCCGTGTCCGTCTTGGAGGCGTCGTGGGGGGGGGGACGCTCCCAGCTCGAGGTGGAGGTGGGTTTCCTGGGTCAGATGGAGGAGAAGAACAGCCGTTGAAGCTCGCCATTGGATGGCACTCGTAACCCGCTGGGGCTTTGACTGGTTTGTCCTCTGGGTAACGACCAGGTTTTTTCGTGGAGGTCCTGATTTTTCATCGTGTCCATCTTTGACTCCACCGTTCCGTCTTGGGAGACCGAATTTTCTCGCTTTAGTTTTTCTCGTTTGTCGTGGCGGCGGCTTTTGTTTGTTTTTTTTTCTTCACTTGCTTCAGGTTGGTGTTGAATTTTCGATCGCCCATGTAGGTTTTTGTTTTTACTGTGGGGTTCTTGGATTGTTGGTAAAGAGAGATGTCACCAGGCCTGAAACTGACCATCAACTGTCCATGTTACTGCAGTTCTCTGTGGAGAAGACAGACGTGAGAACAGTAAGACGACTTCGGTTTAGCAAAAAAAAAAGAGCTGCACTGTCGGGGTGAACGGATCCGGCTCTTACCGTTGAGTCCGTCCGCCTCTTGCGTCTCGAGGAAGGGCGCTGGACCCCACACGCGCACTGTGCCGTCGTCTGAGGCGGACGCCATGAGTCCTGGGATGGTTGGGTTCCAGCTCACACAGTTTACGGTGCGTGTGTGGCCTGTTAGCTCGGCGATGGGGAGTTCGCCGCGCCGATGCCAGATGTACACTTTGTGGTCTGAGGGAAAGAAAGGGAAATGAGACAAGGGTATTCAGGGACGCATGTGAGGACACAGCAAATGGTAACTGAGCCCACTTCAGGGGGTTACTACGACAACGAGATTTGGACTCCCGTAGAGTCAGATAAGCGTACATTAACTGTGTCAGCCTGTCAGTATGTCACCGTTAATCCTGTTAACACTAAGCTAGCTTTGGTCCTCTTTGACTGTACCTTCGCTGCCACTGGCAATGAAGTCTTCGTTATGTCCTCCGAAGCAGGAGTGGATGGTGTAGAAGCCCTGGGTAACACCTTGGTACTTCCTCACCAGCACCCGGTCCTGAAGGTCCCACAGGTGCACTCCCTACAGCGGGAAGCAGAAGAAGAGCTGAAGGGTCTCTGAACCCGGGGGTGGGCTGAAGAATAAACTGAGGGTAGTGATGGATGAGAAAGGCTTACCTGAGTTGCTACATTTAACAAAGCTAATCTTCCGTTCTTTGAAACAGTAAAAGACATGATAGGGTGATCCTCCTGAACTCTGTGGAGGACATGGACACGAGACACAGTCAGGCACCAGGCGGAGAAGAGGTCAGAGAAACAAATATCCACAGAAACCTGAGCTACAAAGTGCTCAAAAACAACAACAAGATTAAAAAACATGGGGAGAAGTTCTCCAGGAAGAACGGGTCCAGAGATTCAGAAATTCATTCCACAGTTTAAGCTTAATCCAAACCGTCCGTAAACATTGACGGCGCGGCGTCTGATACCTACATGTTTCTGTCTGTAAGGTCCTCGAAGTTGTACCCCCGGATGCGTTGGTGCGTGTCTGAGGCCAGTACTGTTCTGCCGTCGCTCAGGCACCACAGGCACTGCACCCGCACACCCTCCCAGGAGTCCAACAAGTTACCATCCAGGTCCTGGAGACACAGAGGTTCACAGGTTAAAGTCCACCCCGGTTTTATTTCTCCTCATGATATTAAACATCTCTTTAGATTAGACATTAAAGTCAGGGCTCAACAGTGCGACCGTTTCACTCGCATTTGGGACTAAAAATAGACGTGTGCACATAAAAAAAAAAAAATCAGCTGAGGTAGCAAATGTTTTTTTCATGTAAATACGGCGGTGAAGTTAGTTTCAGGTTGGATATCTGACGGACATTCTCTGAGGATCTACCGGTGTCTTCTCTCTCTCCATAACCGGGAATAACAACAGCAGCACTGTTAAATCTACTCGACACCCTCACTGTCAACGTTGGTGTTGAATAAGGGACCGTCAATAAATTACCGGTTGATGTTCTCAGAAAAGGCTGTTTTCTTTCAATAGCCTCCATGTCATGTGACAGATCGACCTAAAATTGATTTCAAATAATAGAAGTTATATCGACCAATAAGACACACATTATTTGATCAACTTTCATAGTGCCCCTAAAGTTCTTTGTGTGCTCCTTACTTTTTCAACTTGAGAACATGTGAAAAAAGTTTTTGTCGAGCCCTGAAAGTATATAATTTTAGGCAAATCAACGCACATTAACCCATTTAAACTGGTACAACATGAACGCATTCAACCTTCCAAGCCGGCGGCACCACTGCGCATTTCTACCCTTTAAGCCGGTGGCATGGATACGTCATTTTGTAACATTCTGTAGTTTTTAATCACTTCTGGAGTCATGGCGAATCAAATCATCATACCCATTTGCCTCTGATAGACTAATAAAGCGCTCGGATTCATGCTCAGATCTTGCTATGTGCTTGGTGAGGAAAGTAAACAACGACGGAGGCAGAGAGAAGCATCCAGCAGTGTGAACAACCTCTTCATATTGAGGTCTTTGTCTCACACTATCAGTGTTTTCTGTGAGTGCTGCATGACTTTGGGTGAGCACAGAGATGAACACACTATCAAACACTTATTTATTTATTTTTTATTTTTTAGTTCTGCTTTTGTACTGGCACTATACTGGGACAGCTGTTTACCCTTTCAACACTTTATTTTTTACATTTACATTTGTATTGAACGGACACTTCATCATGACTGACACTTGTTTTACAGAAAGCAAAATGTTTGTTATTCTCCAGTGCAGAGTCTTTACTTTCTCTGCAGGTCTTAATGGGTTAATATCCAAGTGTCTCTCAGTGACCTCTGTGGGGTCAGCCGTCACATCACAGCGTCCATATGTCGCTCCTTCCCCCTCGATCCTCCTGAACTACATAAAAAAAATAAATAAACTCACGCATTGGTAAAACTGTCCTCTCTGTCCCCCGGTGACAAAGCGCTTGCCGTCGGGGTTCCAGGCCACACTGGTCAAACTGTCTTCATGGGACTGGGACATTTTGGTCCGCAGCTCCCCCGTCTGGTCGTTGGAGGGATCGGCAGAGACGTGAGAAAAACAGAGCAGGAGAGAGAAATTGGGGGAAGGGAGAGAGACGGCGAGAAAGAAACATTAAGTAAGAGAGGGGGGAGGGGTGGATGAAAGGAGAGGGGAGGGGGAGGGATGGGAGAAAAGGAGAGGTCATTGAGTACACACAGGATCTATGGAGAGGATGTTTTTCTCCTCCTCCTCTTGTCAACACAGAGTCAATGATGCATCTGTGGTCCACGACAGAATCAGAGGATGTTTTTGTTCAAATGTTCACGAGCACAGAGGGAGGAGAGGTGGATCACAGCGAGAAATGATGTGAATCTAGAAATAACTCGGTCTAAAACGAGGATCATGTCACCTGAACATTCCAGAGCCAGAGCTCAGAGCAGTCGTCAGGTCCACAGGCAATCAGGTAGGTGTCATCGGGACTCCAGGCTAAGTAAGAGACTCCGTACGCGTGACCCTCCAGGGTTCTCAGCAGCTTTAACTGGTGGCTCTCCTGCAAAGAGAGAGGAGGTGGAGGTGATGAAGGTGAAATCCATTTTATTACCCAGGATGGTGCAGCAGTGAAACCAGGAATTAGAGCTTTCAAAACACAGTCAGAGAAGTGAACACGGACCGGCAGGAGGCTGCGTGACATTAAGAGGAGAAGTAAAAAACAGTGACGAATTAATTATCTCCTCCAACGCCTGCGGGGTGTTGATTCAGACAAGTGAAGAAAGTTTGAGACGGAAAAAAGAAGAACTAATCAGACGAGCAAATTCTGGGATATGAACAGGAGCTTCTCCTTCGGGCTCTTTCTGCAGACATGGAGTAAAGAGGAGATGATTCTCTTTACGAGACGAGGACAAACCAAGTTTAGATGTGAAGGATGAAATGAAAGACGAAGTGTTTATTCTGTTTGACTCATCTAAGACTGCGGATGATCACGTCAGAGCTGGGATTTATGCTGCGTTTCGAGTTTCCGCGGAAGTCAGATGTCGGAGCCGAAAAAATGACGTCACACCCGAGTTCCCAGTGATTCACTTACCAAGTTGGAAAAAAGCAAAATCAGAGGAAACAAGGTCGCTACATCTACGAAAGTTAGTTCAGCACTAGCCTTATATTCGGACGAGGCAAGCGCTTAAATAACTTTCGTAGATGTAGCCATCTCCAATTTTGCTTTTTTCCGACTTGGTAACTGAAACACTGGCGTCATTTTCAGCTTCGACATCTGACTTCCGAGGTAACTCAAATGCAGCATTGCTGTATTTTTCGCACTATTAGGGGCACCTGATTATAAGGCGCACCATCAATGAACGCATCTATTTTCATACATAAGGTGCGCCGGATTATAAAGCGCATTAAGCCAAACAAAACAGTCAGATAAGTCAAACTTTATTTAACTCATTTAATAACTCCACGAGGCTACGGTAGCCATCAGGCTGTGTGGCTTTGTAGTAATAAAACGTTTTGACAGAGCGCTGAGCGCTGTGTGCCACATAAAATCAGTTCGAAGTTGGTAAGCACAACCAGAATTCATACATAAGGTGCACTGAGGATTTTTGAGAAATTTAAAGGATTTGAAGTGCGCCTTATAGTGCGAAAAATACGGTACTGTAAGGAAGGTTTCCTCATATGAGAAAATTGCGTCTTTGATTTTCACTCATGAACTCTGGACATTTTGGGACATTTTTAGAAACTTGACGTTGACTCTGGCACCTCACAGCAGGAGACTTCATGAGCAGGATGATAAGGAGCAGTTCTGGGGTTAAATAATTTCACTTTATGTGAATATTTCCGGAAACAAAAACATGCAGATTGACAGGCTGCCATGACTCCGCCCACTGGCCCGCAGCTATTTTTTCTGACTCATACCTGCTGCGTTCTCTCACACTGTCTCATCCTGACTTTATCCATAATTCTTAAAGGAGCAGACTAAAAAGTTCTGAATAAAGTCTGCATGAAGAAGTTTAAAGAGACTCTTTCTCTGAGTTCTGTAAACTTTAACTGCAGAGCTGTCCGGTTTGACTATAAGACAGTTCCTGCTGGGGAATGTGAACGCGCCCTGAGCGCCACAATCACAAAGTCTGTGTTGACTTGGACCTCTGTCTCACTCACCGGGTCCACTTGCCAAATGATGACAGTAGTGTCTTTGGAGCCGGTGGCGAGTTTGGTGCCGTCGTTCGAGAATTTGCAGAACCACACCTCGTTACAGTGCTCTGTAAGAATCTGTTGGGTGTAACAGGGGAACTGTTTCCTGTGACAGAGAGAGAAATACCAAAGGTTCAACTCGACTGTAGTGGATTTTTTTCTTCTTACGTGTCGAAAATAAAAACTTTCAGAGAGACTGTGGAGGTAAAAACCGATGAACATCTAAGTTTTAGCAACAGGTATTGAGCTGGGAAACACCGACCTGCTGCAGACATGATCCAGGAGGAGAGAGACCGAGTCCAGGTTACTGTCCAGCTTGGTGTTGTGATAGAGGCAGCGGTCCCTCTGCAGCTCCACCGCCTGCCGCAGCAGCGTCTGCAGCCGCCGAGGGGGCAGCATCACAGAAGGGGGCAGATACGCTACGAGAGGAAGGGGACACACGGGGACATGAGTTAACCTTCACAGACTCGAGCGGGGACTGTGCGTGCTGCTCTGAGGTGTCAGGACGCGGTGGTGTTTGCTCACTCTGTAATTTGTCGAGCAGTCGGCAGCGTGAGGCGGTGCCCTTGCCCTCCCACTCTGCCTTCGCTCTGAGGTCCTCGGCGTGGCTACACATTAAATACCTGCAGAGAGAAACAGACCGTACGATAACGTTAGAAATAAAACATGATATCAGGTAAGACAGGGGCGCTGAGTGCAGCTTCAAACTGAGTCAAGGACATGTTTGAGTTCAAACCAACTGATTGACCGAAGACGGGACGTGTCAGATCAATACATTCTTCTGTCAATGAAGTGACGGACTCGAAAAACAAACAGACTCCTCTGCTGCGCCGAGTGATCAATGCGGACTAATTGATTAGATAATGGATCGGAGGGATGTGTTGGAGGAGAGCGAGGGGGGGGGGGCATTGTGCTGCGATCGGAAAACTGAGAGGACGATTCACGACCTCCGACATCCTCACAGGGTTCGACAGAAACGCAAAAGTCAAATTCACTAAACTAGAACATGAATTTTCAGCACAAGGATAAAATTTACATAAAAACAGGGTAAAAAAAAAACAGCATTAAGGTCCTCAGACCTGCAGTCAAGAGTTTTATTTTTCTCATAATCTCAGATATTCCCCTTAAATTGTAGCTGTATGAGAAATATGAACACACAAAGACTTGAGACTTATTTCCGATCTGGGTCTTTTTTAAATCCTGATTAAAAACGTACTTATTTATGCTGGCTTTAATACCCAGTAGTGTGGTGACACTTTATTTTATTGCATTATATTTTATTCTTTTATTTTAAATTGCTTTTATTGTTTTATTCATTTTTATTTTCTAAGTACTGTAAAGCACTTTGGTCGACTGAAAGGGTTGTTGTAAAGGTCTGTATAAATAAAGAACATTTACTTTTACAAAATCATCTCCTATATCATGTTTATAGTGTTTGGTCAATAACCAGTCAGCGTCCAGTACCAACCCTGGTCCTGGACTTGGCTCAGCCCCAGTTATGGCGGCTGTAGCTTTAATGATTACAGTTATCTGAGAGCTCCACGGGAACATGAAGCTGTTTGTGTAGACCTGCAGACCCTCTGAGGATGGATAATGACAGAGGTGATAGTGACATGGAAATCGTACCCGCTGAGAACGTGGATTCGGTCTGTGTTGTACTTGAGGGGGGTCAGCTCTCCTCGCAGCACCTGCAGAGCCTCCAGGACTTTCCCGTCCTCCAGGTACTCCAGGTACTTCTGCTGCAGCAGCAGGAACTTCATCCGCTTAGAAATGAAACAAAACGAGAGTTTATAGAAACAGAAGAAACTGACACACAAACTCCAAACATGCTGATACCGAATAAAGCGACGTGTCGTATCAGGAGTCTCTGTCTTATCTCAGGTGTGCAGCCCTCACACCTAAGACCTCACACTCCCACCCACAGGAGTCCACAGAGCTAGTTTAGGGGCACACAGACCTGGTTCCTGACTCTTGAACCAGGTCTGTTACTTTAGCAAACTCTCCACCTGAACTGCAGAGAAGTCATGTTGACAATGAAAACACAGACCTGCGCCGACTCAACACCCAAAACGACTCGACATACGTGAACAATCAACAGAGACACAGAGGGACGTTTTTGAGGCTCATCTTCTCGGCTAATTATCATGCTGGCTGTGGCTAATTAACTGGAGCTACTCCCACTGAGCGATTCGTACCACGCTCCGGCACGCCTGACCTCTAATGACCCTTAAAGTCCAGTTTGTTTGGCCAGTGTGAAAGTTCAGGCCCGGTACGCTTCCTCGGCCCTGGCACGGTTGGCAGAGTTGGACTTTGGCACGGCACAGCTGCTCGTACACGAGCGGAGAGCACCTGATTTTGTTTGCTTTGACCTAAACAACGCACGTCACAGAATCTGAATGCTGCCGGACTGTGACGTTAACTCCATAAAAAAAATCCTGACTTAAAATGTGAGAGGAAAGGCGGTAAAACTCAGACTTAGGTAAAAGGATGGATAACGAACACATGTTTTTCTTTTTTCTTAACTCCAAGTTTCTTTATACTTTAATTTCTCTTTGTATGTCTGTGGGACTATTAAAGGAACATCTTATCTTTAAACTGACGACTGTACCAGCGCCAGGAAGACATGATCACAGTCTTCTCCTACAAGCTGATCAGGATCTAATTCAGAGAAATTTACACCACACTGATTAACATGAGGGATGAGGAAAAGGCTTTTATCTGCCTCTCAAAGGATAATATACTACAGTAAGAAAAACTATATGCATTAAATAATAACAAATGAAACATCGAAAATACTGAAGTTGAACAAATAATGCTCAGAACAGCACCTAACTTCATCAACAGGACATATAGGGTCACAGCCATAGCACTAGACACCAAACATCATTTCTTCATGGAAATACAATCAGACCGAGACGCTAAGGCAGAAGAACTACCGCGTCTGCAGTAAAAATGATTAATATGATGATTATTACTTCAAGGAAATGATATAGAAATGATCATAAATGTTCTTCCTTGAGCTGCGTCACCCCGCTGCAGTCTGTAATGGACTGGCCCGAGGTCTCACTACAAACAAGCGTCTGCTGGAGGAGAGTAGGTGAGTTGTGTTTAGTCTCTTTGCTAAAGAAATGAGTCAAAGTTTAAAAGATTTTTGGTGTCTAGTACTATGGCTGTGACCCTATATGTCCTGTTGATGAAGTTAGGTGCTGTTCTGAGCATTATTTGTGACTATAGAGTGGTTTGGTTGAGCTCGTGGCTCTCTGTATTGGTGGTCGTTACTAAAGTTGGTATAACTAGAGAAGCAAGCGGTCGGCAACATTCATCTCTTAAGGGGGTGTCTAGCTTGGTGTTACAGTGTGTTTGACAATAACTTAATTTCATGCCGGAATATCCCTTTAATAATTAAGTCAAACAACATCACAGTAATAAAATAATCATTCTAGTTCAGGGATTTTGTTCTCATTTTTATTATAACATTATTATGTATTATAAGAGCCTTCAAAGTTTTTTTTTTTTGTCTCTATAGAGTCGAGTAGGTCCTTTAAATTCAGTGTTGTAAGATACGGGTATTTTGCATGGACACTCAATCTGTGCTACAGAGTACATCTACAGTAAATGCAACACTTCTTCAGCAGCCTCTAATAAAAAAAATTAAAGGTTGGGATGACAACCTGTTGAATGGAGACAGTAAAGATCTGCAGCTGACACACAGTCCAATAGAATACTTTAAAATACAAAATAATATCAGCTTTGGTTAAAGGACACGTGCATCATAAATGAAAAATAAAAACATCAACTTATTCTAAGCCCCAGGTGCAGTTTGGTCAGATATCAGTCAAATCTGTGGAGTATCGTACCTGTTTTTTTCTTTTCTTTCTTTCTTTTTACATATTGTCTGTTTCTCTTAATGTTGTCATGCTATTGGGACTTGAGCCTGTTATAAAATTCATATCATATCTATTATTATTAATCAGTTATAAGGCCATCATTCATGGTGTCCATTCTAGCTGCACACCCAGAGCGTTTGAGCTCCGCGTTTCACCGCTCGGACCTGCAGAACCTGCATTTTAATGGCACACAGTTTCTAGAACCTCCAAAAACTGAGCAGCCATCATTCAGCCCCGGTTCAGGTTTGGGCAAAGGGAGCTTACCACAATAGCATTGGGAGAATGCATCAGTGCTCTCAGCTCATTGAGATCATTCTCAGCCTGGACCAAAACAAAAGGGAGGGTGATGGAGGGGAGAGAGAGAGAGACACAGAGAGAGAGAGAGACAGAGAAATAGTTAGCTCAGCAGTTTCCATCCACGCACAGGGAAAAAAAAGAGAAAAACTAATCACAGGAGCAGTTACACAAATCTTACGGTCACTTCTTCTCTAAGATGACTTAACTGTTCAGGTGACGCACATGAATGAGTCATTATGTTTGTAAAAAGACGACATAACATCTCTACCTCTCTGATCACAGATATTTCATATTTCCTTTCTCTATGATAAGAGGGTAAAACTTTAAAAACCTGGCTGCTGCTAACTTTCCATCCTGCAGTTATGACCCACGCTCATTATTCCAGATGATTCACCAGAACAAGAGTCACTCTGCGCTGGAACCAGGGTTAAACGGCTAAGCCTGTCGATTTAAAACCCACTAATATATGTAAAAAGCTCCAAAATAAACCTAATAAATGTCTAATTCGACCTCACTGGGCCTCATGGAAACCCAACAATGACCTGGATAACTCTCTGCTGCCTGTAGGGTTCCTGGTAAACCTAAATCCAGTTCTTTTAATATTATAATGGGTTCCTAATGAGGCTTGTGCCTGGTTATTTTGTACTAAAAGGACAGGATGTTTGACAGGTTTGGAGAGGTTGTTCACACACACTCTTACTAAAGATATCAGGAAATGATTACTGAGCAAACACTGCTGGTGATTAGATTTTCTTTAAGCTGACAGGCGAGAAAAAAAAAGAAAGAATTAAATCAAATTGGAAAATTAACCCTGGCACCATGATGGAGGAGCCAGATGAGAACTTCAGAATAAAATAACCTGTCAAATTCTTGTATACTTCTAATTTTGACACTTGTTGGTGCGCGATAAAAGAGGCCAAAATCAGATGGATGTTTTTGACCACCGTCCGCCATGGTGAACGAAGACCTACCTTGTCCCATTCGCCCTCCATGACGTGGTTGCGGAACTTGGTCGCTGAGGAGTGTTCCAGTCTGCAGCCAGATTCCTGCATCAGCAGGTCCACTGTTTGACTACAGAGACACACCCGATGAGAAAAGGGGTCAGAGTTAGGAGGACATGTGGACATCATGGATCAGATGGGACACAACAAGACTGGAGAGGATTAGTAAGATCCAAAAACTACCTGAATAGAGCACAATAAGATTATTTCGGGGTTCAGACATTTAAAAAACAATGTCAAATCATTAGCTTGATGTAGGGCTGGGCGATAAAACAATAATGATATATATCTGAAAATTAACTTCACCCTATATTGATATAAGACATGGTCAATATGCTTGTCAATAGTCGGCATTCTGCCATGTTTTCGAAATGCAGACGAAGACTCAACAGACGATGACATCGTCAACAACACTGGCACGAAAACATTGGTGGTGTGGAGGTATTTTGGTTTTTTGAGGTCAGACATTTAGCAAAGTAATGTGCAAATTATGTCGAGTAAATGTTCTCGCAAAGTCTGGGAATACCTTAAAGAGCCCATGGCGCCTGTGCAGCCGAAGTAGCTGACCATTCAGTCCGCTTTCTCTAGCGCAACGCCTTACGACTAAGAACTCACAGATGCAGTAGCTTATTGTGTAGCAAAAGACATGCTACCAATAAGCACTGTTAAATTTCATTCAAGAGTAACGGGGAACATTTAAGATTTACAAGTATTTTTTATATCATGATATATATTGATACTGATATGAAAACAATATATTATGATAAACTTTTTCCCATATCGCCCAGCCCTAGCTTGATGTTAAACGTTAACACAAAATATAATTTCATGCTTTTGATCATCTTCTCTGCATTTCCAAGCAATCATGCCACGTTTAAAAGGACAGATAGATTATTTTGGATGATATTGATGGCACACGGTTGAATGTCAGCAGTTGGAGATCGGAGCATCCAAGGGTAGCAGTGTTGTCAGCTGAGTATTATTAGTGACAGTCGGAGGTTCACTCACATGAACTAAGCCTCCATCATATTAGCCTGTCAGTCACGGCCATCTGTCCAATCGCATTTCTCATTTACCACCACAAACAGGTCTGCTGCTGAGGATGTGTATGTGTGATTATGAGAGTGGGTTGTGGGTGGGGGTGGTGGTGGTGACACCTTCAGGATGATGACATCATTCTCAGGTATCAATGGAGTGGCGCAGCAGCTCTCCTCCTGCTACAATGATTCCTCTTGCATTTCCTCAGCTGAGATATGGGGGCTCTGTTTCATACCAACCCAATGCCATGTATCCCCCTGACCCACCCTCTCTGTAAACATAGCGTTTGTGGGGCTGCTTTTTATAAGCCTTGTAATGGCAGCTCCACTCTCTCAGCTGGATACCACAGATCTGCGGATCTACCACCACCACAGAAACCCTGAAGAAGGCCAGACAAAGATTTCTTGAAAAACCCCACCATGCTATATTTAGATCCAAAGACGGAGCGTCCATCTAAAACAGCTGGTAGAAAGCGCATTCTTCGGCCGCCATGAAACAAACCATTCTGCAAAATTCAACCACCAACTGTCGCCCACGGTATTGACTGCTGTCTTTAAATAAATACGCGTCCTAACACTGTTGGAGACTGGCTGATCACACACATTAGCCCTGACACGGTGACAGTGGCACAAAGATAAAGCACAATACTCCAAGATTAATGTGATAGTACCTTTCAGAGAGAGCAGTTGTGAATTGTGATTTGATTTGACTTGTAAAAGGACTAGCAGAGAAGGACAGTTCAGAGGGTGCACTCGGAATACTAAAATAACCAGGGCAGTTTTCATAACCAGGCTACTTGTGTCAGTCCGTCCAAGCTATTACGGTTCCTCTAATGCGATTCTGCTAAATAACATCATTTTTTCCCCCTTAGGCAGCTAAAGCTGGAAAATCGAGAAAACCACCATCCATTCAGGCGAAAACCAACACTGACAACCCGCACATCGAGACTTCCTCCGCATTTTTGAACGCAAAAATGGACACGGTCGATCATCCTGCGTGGAGAAACGAACTTAAAACCTTTAATTTCCATGACATCGGTTCACACCATAACAACCAACTGCTCTGTGAATAAACGTTACTAATGTTAGATGATGTAATGTCTTTTATTCAGTGCGGAATCCCTTCGGTTTATTAACGGATCACGGTTCCACTGTCACATCGAGAAAAACACTCAACGGCGACGATGAAACGTTGAAACTGCGGCTGTTCGACCCTGTTTCATGGTCTGTTTGACGGTTTAACATGAAGGCTAGTCCTGTTAGCTCTCCAGCTAACTGTTATTGTGCAAGATGGACCCCTTCTTCAACCAGCAGCCGAGCTCAGAGGCTAACTACCCCATCCCCCCATGTTTGTGTCTGTCAGCCGCACTATTAGCGCTTTTACCAGCTGCTACCTGGAGATTTCTCACGATCTACCGAACATCTACCCAACACTTCTCGATCAGTTTCAACCTTGACATTCATTTTGAGTGTTTTTTCCCCCCCGACTTTGCATGAACTTACTTCAGCCCTAGTCCGTGGAGATGTTGCCCTATTAATCGTATGACATCTTCCTCCGCCTGCGATAGTCGTTTTTTCTTTTTCAACGAGCCCACCTCCGAGCCCGAAGCTGTGGAGGCGGCCGAAGACCCCGAGCCGGGCCCTGCCGCGGACCCGTTACTGGTACCGACACTGTTCCCGCTGTCCGTGCTGGAGAGGAGCCCGTTCGAATGGGCTCCACCGGCCGAGGATGATTCCCCGTTTTGTGCGCTGTTCAGGCAGGAGAGCTCCGCGGATTCTTGTCCCTGTCCTGCCCCGTTTGCCTGCATGCTGCCGCCGAGGTTGTTGACCACACTTCGGTTAAAGTGGATGGCAGAGGTGGTTTGAGAGAGCGGGGAGTGTGTAGCAAGTCCTAAGACAACTCCAGAAAGGCCTGTCACAACTGCTGAAGCCCCGGGCTCTCCTGCTCCCTCCGCCGCCGAGGCTCGGTGCTTCTTCCGCGGGGGCGGCGACGCTCCGCCGGTGTCCGAGTCGGAGGAGGAGGAAGCGGAGGCCAGAGTTTCCTCACCGAGAGCGGCCGTGGTTAGTAGCCGGCGAAGCTCCGGGTGGGAAATAAAGGTTGAGCTCCCAGGTTTGAGGCCTCGCTCGGAGCGGACTGTCACTGACAGTTAGCTCGTTTTTGTTGTTGTTTCTCTACAAACAGCTGCAGCCCTAATGGAGTCCTGACGCCCTGACGTCACCGGAAATTCCTTCACTACCAAGCTTCCGGGTAGAATTATAATCCGGGGGTGGTGCACGAGGAACTCGTTAGCATAATAATTAACAACCAAACATCAAAATATTCACAGGGGCCTCAGGTAACACTTGATCTTTGACTTTGAGATAAAAAAAATAGCATACCGTAAGACACTGACATTGACTCTACTTGTCTCCAGCTTTTGGCATTTCTGCCTAACCCTGATATTAAAATAATAAAAATAAAAGTACCGTAGTGATTAGTCCAATACTGTTCATTCTTTCTATCATTGACATCTGTCATTTTGTAAATTTTTTTCTTAAAGATATGTAGACCCTTCATTTAAGTAACTGATACCTATTTGTTTTGCTCCGCTAAGAATTTCAAGGAACTTTTGTGTTGTGTAGAAATGGAGATAGAGACTTGGTTTGATGCCAATAAATTATCTTTAGATATTTAAAAAAATAATAATATGTTTTTTGGGAATCTAAATAAAAGTGATTGTAATGTTAAATAAAGAATCTGTTATGCTGACACTGAAAGATCAGTTTCCCATCACTCTGTTGACTATACGTTAACATGGAAACAACACACTGAATACATTAAAAGGAAAATTTCAAAATCACTTGCAATCCTGTACAAATCGAGGAAAGTATTGAATTCCAAGGTTTTGCATTTGATCTAATACTCATGGATTGTTCCCTATATATCTTACTCATAGACTGTATAAAGAAAATATACAGATTATATACAGTCTATGGTCTGCACCGACCCGTTTTTGTTTTTAAATTCTTAAAAGAACCACTTAAATTAGTTTTTTTCACATCAAGACTTTTTGACTTTGTCAGGAACCTCTATTTCAACAAAATAAAAATACAAAAAATTAAATCGACTAAATTATAAAATGATGGCACTTGTCATATTAAGGTCGCTGTTGACCCAGTTAGATCAATATCTAATAATTAGAGCAAAAACTGAAATCATAAATGTACTTCAAATACAGTGTACAAACACATATTTTATTAAACAATATAAATAAAAGCCTCCTGATGTAATTATACCTGATCTTCAAACCTGGAAAAGAAAGATATCAGTAACTCCAGGCCTTTAATCCTCATGCACAACTACACAGAGTCTGTTTGCGCTCATCTTTGTGTCTGTGTGATGGTATGTTGCAGTACTTATTATAGAACTATTTTCTGTGTTATTGTACTTCCATAAGATTTTCATAGCGACAGAGCGTATGAAATAAATATAGATAAATAAATAACCATTGTATACAAGAGAAGTTAAGCACATTGGAAGTCTGATGGAGGCTTTTCCTTGAGTTAGAGGTACTTCAAGAGTCAAGAGAGGTCCCCAACTTGGTGTGGAAGAGCAGTAGTCACTGGACCACGATTGTCTTTGGGTTTGTCCTTCCCTTTCATGAAGAAGGTTAGCAGCTCCCCCTTCCCTTTGACAAAGATGGGCCCTCTTCTGATGAATCTGAAGCCATAATCCTTTAAAATGTTGTAACAGTCCTCCACCACCTGGGGGCAGAGTGGGGCGTAACATTTAAAGCCAAAAAGGGAGTAAGAGAACACTTTAGTGAGTTGCATATCAGAGTTTACCTGAATGTTTCCCATCACTCCTGTTGACTCCATTCTGCTCGCCACATTCACCGTGTTGCCCCAGATGTCGTAGTGAGGTTTACGAGCTCCAATAACTCCGGCCAGAACTCCCCCCTTATTTAGACCTGGAGGAAAAAACACATGAAAATATTTACAGGCTTTAAATTTACAAGAAAAGCACAGTCTCTTTATCCACTCACCGATTCGGAGCATGAAGTTGTTGAAGGACTGTTTGTTGAGGTTGGTCAGGGTGACTTTCATTGCCAAGGCGAAGTCTGCCAGGTCTGCGAGGTGCTGCCAGCGCTCCACCATAGACTGGTCCTCCGGCTGTGGGGCAACAGCAGAAACGTCATGCAGCCCCAAAGAGTTTTTATACCAACAAGGTAAAAATCTGAGATTAGATCGAAGCTGTTTTCACCTTGCGGCAGGTGTATCCGTTGGTGCTGCTGTCTGGAGTGAGTCCCGATGCGGCCATGTAGGTGCTCCCTATGGTCTTGATTTTAGTGATGCAGCGGAATTCCTCCCTGTCTAACAGCTGGATGAGAAAGCAAATAATCATTTATCCAAGAGGCTCCTTTTGCATTTAAAGGGATATTCCTGCGTGAAATTAATTTAGGGTCAAACACACCACAATAGCCACAAATAATGCTCAGAACAGCACCGAACTTCATCAACAGGACATATAGGGTCCCAGCCATAGTACTAGCCATCAAACATCTTTTAACACAACTCACCTACTCTATTAAGGACTACAGCGGGGTGAAGCAGCTCAAGGAAGAACATTTATGATCATTACTTTATCATTTCCTTAAAGTAATAATTACCATATTAATCATTTTGCTCTGCAGACGCGGTAGTTCTTCTGCCTTAGCGTTTTGGTCTGATTGTATCTCCATGAGGAAATGATCATAAATGTTCTTCCTTGAGCTGCGGCACCCCGCAGCAGTCCGTTACAAACAAGCGGCTGATGGAAGAGAGTAGGTGAGTTGTGTTAAGTCTCTTTGCTAAAGAAATCAGGCAAAGTTAAAAGATGTTTGGTGGCTAGTACTATGGCTGGGACCCTATATGTCAAGCGGTCCGCGACATTCATCTCTCAAGGGGGTGTCTAACTCGGTGTTACGGTGTGTTTGACCCTAAATTAATTTTCAGCGGAATATCCCTTTAATGCCTCAGTGTGTGAACATTAGAGGGACTCACGCTGTCAAAGTCAGAGATAATCTCATTGAGGATCCTCAGACACTCTATGCCTCCGTTGTTGATGCTTTCCTCAGTGTAGAAATCAGAAAAGTTCGGTATGGAGGCGAACATCACACCTATTTCCTCGTAGGACTGACTGTACAGCTCCTAAAGGATCACAAAGGATGGGTTAGTTTGAAAAACAGAGAAAAATAGAGAGCACTGAACTGCAATTACGAAACAGACCACAAGAGGGAAGTGAAGTGTAAAAAATGAGAAAATTTCACTCACACTTTCTCTCTCGGCTCTTGTTCACACGTACCTCATCCCTCTTCTTCGATCCCAGGAAGTGTTTGGCCACATGCTCCGGCAGCATGTTGGTGACCAGCGCCTCGTTCCAGCGCCTCATCTCAAACACTCTCTCCTTCTGGTCCCCGACACCGATCTTCCACAGGAACAGCTGCCTGGACTGAAGCTCCAACTACACAAGAAGAAAATAGCAGAAGAAATGCCGGTTCGATGGAATAGATGAGAAAGTGACAGGTGGATCATGTGCCCCCAACTGGCCATACATAATAGTGCAGGATTAAGCGCCTCAGTTTTGGCTTTGCTTTTTGAACCAAGATGCTCTGTCCACCTGTCACACCGTGTGAGTGTGCTACTGTATGGGTGTGTTGGAGAAAGTGGACTCACATGGCGGGCGAAGAAGTAGAAGCCGATCATCATGACGATGATCATCATGGTCATGAGGTATTTGGACGGCACCATGGATGTTCTGGAAACACAAAAGTTTGACTCAGAATAAATCATGATGTAAATGAAGCACATCACGTCCAGTTCTTCGTGTTAAACTAAAGATTAAGACACGGACCTGTATGAGGCAAACTGAGTGTAGTCATACAGGTCGTAGATGTCCCGCCAGCTGTAAATATTAACAGCTCCGGTTGCCGTGACAACCAGCACCATGAGGCCCAGTTTGATCAGGTGGCTGACCTGGACCAACATAGCAGTGGCGATGAGTGACATCACGGCCATGAAGCTGTAGTGCTTCGGATTCTCCGTGCAGCCTCGGTCTCCTCGCGACTCCAACACCGGGCCTGAAGAGCTGTTGGAGACTTGGAGGGACGGAGGAACGCAGCTCAGCTGTAAACATGAGAGAGGAAGAGAACAGGAAGTTTGTTATGATGGATATGATGGTAACTACGTCACATTCTGATTGGCTGTAGGTTTGTGCAGGTCAGAAACAGATCAGTTAGTGTTTAGGTTTAAATACTGTGTTGATAACAAGCGGCAACCCCAAAAACTGCAGTTCCAGAAGTGTCCACTTGAGGCCTTCATTAGCCAAGGAACCCGTGTTAAAAACATAGACTGTCTATAGAATGGACAGAGTCTGCCTCCTGGCTGGGTGAAGCCACTCCGAGAACAGCACCCTCTGGTGACAGGCTGCAGTATAGGGCACAAATCCCGCCTCCGCCAGCAATCCCTATGGAGCTGTGGACAAACTTTAGGAATTAATGACACAGAACATAATTCCCCCCCGGTTTGCGATGTTGACATGTAGTTACTGTCGGACCGGTTTGAACTCTAGTCCTCTTTTTTCTGTGAAGCAAAATTTAGACCTTCAAAGACTTTGTCTAAATTTAGACGTCTAAAAAACTTTAATTTTTAGACCTGTGGTAGCCTGTATTTAGACCAGTCGTCTCGGCTACATTTAGACATCTATTAGACCTCTTTTAGACTAAACAATGCCTTACAGTGTGTACAGTACAAACAGAAAAATAAGGCTCACAGATCATCTGATTATTCATCAAAACATCTTTCAACATGTTTGTTTTCTGCTGTCGCTGTTTGCTCCCTCACTGTCTATTTTTAAAACCCGTCTAAAAACCCACTTTTATTCCTTGGCTTTTGACCAAAAATGAGACGGCATTTGTTTTATTGCTTATTTATTGTTGTTTTATGTTTTTATGTTATTATGTAGAGCACTTTGTGTCAGCTTTGTTTGTATTTAAAGTGCTCTATAAATAAAGTTGAGTTTCTTAACATGTAGATTCTTTGTTATTTTGTTTTTTCACTCTGGAGGTTTCTATCCTGGTCTTCACGACCTATTTTTTGCAACAAATGTAAATCAAAATCCTTTTTTATGACTTCTCTGTTTTGATCGTATTAAAGCCGAGGGTCTGCGGTTGAGAATAATCATCTAGTAACAACAAAAATAGCAAAACACACTCCCAACATTTTTGTCCAAGTGTGACCGTCACCTTCACACGACAGCCCTGACAGTTATAATCCAACATGTGTGTTCATGTCAGACGTCGGAGCAGCGGTGTGTGTAACAGGCTGCTCCTGTGGGGCTGCGACAAATGAGCCAGCAGGCAGTGAGACAGACAACTAATGGACCCCACAGGGAGTGTTCAGGCCGACATGTGAAAGGCAGAGAGAGTCTGACGGTGATGAAACGGCAAGGAGAGACGCGCACAGACTAGAAGAGTGATGATATAAATGAATAGAAGCTCGCAGTCTTACCATGTCAGCGATGATAGCCATGGTAAGAACGAAAATGGCCGCCATGGCCCAGGTGTTTCTGGCCCACCGAGTGTGATCGATCCACATGGAGAAGGACACCAACCTCTTTGAGAACATCTGTGATGAACAAACAGCAACAAACCATCATCCAAAACATCATGATATCAAATTAACTTCATACATCTGAGTTTTAAAATGTTTTATTATAACTTAAACTTCAAGATAAGGTTGAAAATGTTCACAGAAGATGAAACTCTGCTCTCCAGCACACGTCCATAGATGCTAATTTGGTTTTCTCACCCTGGGGAAGATGGCCGCCAGAGAGCAGACCGTGAGGATGAGCAGCAGAACCTCTCCTATAGCCAGAGTTACATAATTCACCGCCAGCCTACGAAGAGAGCACACCTTCACATCAGTAATGAGTTCTGCTTATTTTAGATTTAAGTGTGAGTGTTTGTTTGGCACATACACCGGGTCTATGAACACCTCCATGGCGGTGATGAAGAAGAGCACGATGATGCAGCAGCAGAAAGCAGCGCCGCTTCTCTTCTCCTTCTCCGAGGAGTAATGCTTCTCCAACTTCCCGTCCACAAAGTGCAGAGACACGTGGTTGATTTTATGATCCTTCATTCTGATGTAGAAGAAAAACATCAGAGGCGTCAGGAGACACACTTCCACACAGTTTTCTGTCTGATCAGGTTCACGTTTCTTACATTTGCTGAGTTTCTCTCTCCAGAAGCTCCTGCTGAAGTCGTCGGTTGATCACTTGTTCCTCGATCATCCTGATCCTCTGACGGTTGTTGATCAGACATTAAAGGTGAAGTAGGCAGGATTATGTTAAAAAAGCATCTTTAGTCAATAGTTATTAGTTATTGATGACATTTGGTAATATAACGATATCTCTGTGTTCTCTTATGTCTGTGTCGTCAACATTTGAACATTTTAGAGTGGTCCGCTCTTTCTGACTGTAAACAAAGCCGTTCTCCACCTCCTCTAACCTGATTGGTTGTGAGGCAGACGCTGCTCCCCCGTGTCGTTCAGGAGCCCAAACAACGTTAGCGTGCTACAATATCGGACAGTAGAAACCAACCAGAAAGTTCTGAAAATTGTCTGAATCCTCCTTTGGCCACGACTGCCGACACAAGCAAGAAAACAAAGTAAATACCGGAGACTCTGGAGGAATAACGGGCGCTTAAAACGGAGGTAGACCGGACAAGAGCTAAAAAGCCGGGTCAACATAAACGATGGGGGACGCTTGGGGATCTTGGTGACCCTGTAACCTTTCTGCTGGACAGGTAAACCGCTTTAACAAAGTAAGACAAGTGTCTGTAACAGGAGTGTTTCTTGTCAAACGGACCTGCTGTAGCGTGTTGTAGCTCCATCGCTAAACTGTCCTCCCTCGGGTCCTGGACTATGTCACTTTATCCTCGTTGTAGAAGTCCTGCGAACATTGTGTTTGCTGGTAGTCTGTTGGCATCTACAGTAGCACCAATGCTTTTGACTTTCACCTTGACTGGGCCCCATTTGTAATGATCTGAAGTATTATATCTGAATTTAATTGGAACGATACGAGCGAGCGGGAGCGTCTGTTTGTGGGCGGGGCTTGTTGGAGAGGAGGAGCTGAGGGGAAAACTGGTTGGGAGGGGTAGAGTTTACATTCAAGATTTCTCCTAAAAACTGGAACTTCCTCAGATCCTGACTACCCCACCTTTAAGTGTTTAAATTAGTTGGATTTTCAAAGATATTGTTTGATGGATTACACGAGTTTATAAACTCACCTCCTGTTTGGACTCAGTGGGCGTGGACTGAGGCGTGGCCGAGCTCCCGTTGGTTGCTGTGGTGCTGATCAGCTGGTTTGAGTTCCTGTTGGACAAAGTTCCCGGTTTCTGAGTGGAGAGACCAGATTAACTTTTATTTACCTCATATAAATCAGTGCGTGGGTGACTTTGGTCGTATTCATCACTCACATTTCCACTCAGCCCATTTGTCATCTGCTGTGACACCAGAACCAGGTACGTCTCGATGCCTTTCTCCAGCAGGTACTCACACCTCTCTCCTCCGCCTCCTGGCTCCAGCTCGAACTCTCCGTGTAGACTGTCTTTGGTGGTCTGGGAAATGTGCACTCTCCTGTACCGCCACATGGAAAATTACAAACGTTTGTAAATCAATGCATATTTAATTAGATATTACCTCATTTACATATTCAAACATAACATTTGACAAAACTTGTAATACAAAAAATATTTGTCTTAATGTAAGTTATAAACTTGCAGAGTTTCATGGTGATATCTGTTTGTTAAAAATTTTACCCTATTCACCTGGGGTGTCTCCTACCCATCATGGACGCCATCTTGAAAATGACGCATTTCTCGTGGTCAAACTTTGGTAAACTTTAAGTTTGTTATTGAGGACATCTAATACTATAACAAAACAGTTGAGAAACCTTTTGTTAGAGTATTTTTTTTCATAAATGGACCCGCCTAGAACTCCTTTTAATATCGAGGAAGAAGGATTGTCTGTCTAACATCAGTCTGGTTCTGCTCAGGGTTTCTGCCTGTCAAATGAAGTTTTTCCCTCCACTGTAAATTGTGAAGTGTTTCAGAATGACTGATTGAAAGTATCGGCTAAATTTCTAATGAATACAGATTTTTTTGTTCATACCCGGGGATCCCTCCAGATTCCATCTTATTGGCGACGGTAACGTCTGTGGACCAAACGTCAAACTGCCACCGCTTCTGCCCCAACACTCCCCCTAAAACGGTGCCCGTGTGAACCCCGACCCGCATGTCCACCTCCGTTCTTGTCTTTTCTCGAACATACCTAGAAAGAGAAAACACAGTCTGAAACACAAAGTCTAGATCCCTCCTTTTATTCAGTTTTTGGTTCTTTTAGAGTCTTACGAGATGGCTTCGACCATGGCTAACCCCATCATGATAGAGCAGACGGCGTGGTCCTCTCTGAAGTCGGGGAGACCACAGATACAGTAGTAACAGTCACCCAGGATCTTTATCCTCAGCTGGTGATATTGCTGGATTTGGAGGTCAGAGAGTGAGAAACAGGATATTTAGAGAAGCTGCTGAATATAAAATATCAGTAATGGATGTCAGTGTGTGAGAAAACAAACTTCAGCAACTTCAAATCAAACCCGACACTCACAGCTGCCAGTTTATCGAATCTGGCGAAGAGTTCGTTCAGCAGCTTGACCAGCTCCTGAGCGCTGCAGGCCGAGGACAGCTGCGTGAAACCCACGATGTCAGCGAATAAGATACTGCAACGAAAAAAAGTGAGAGAGGTTTCAGCATCACTTTTAAGAAACTGTGACGGCAATTCAAAAACCAAACGGACAAATCCAGACCTGACATTTTCATGGCGGTACATGTACATGGTGTTGAACTGCTGCTGCTGAACCTCCTTCTGGTCGGCCTCGTTCTTCATGCCCTGCAGCATCTCGTCTGCGATGTGTTTTGGAAGGATTGAGAGTAACAGATCTTCCTACATGAAGACAGAGTGGAGAGAGAGAGGAGGGGGTTTCTTATGATCGCAGTGTGGAAAAATAATGATCTGACGGCGTGTTGATGCGGTAAAAAGATCCCAGCTGTCTTCAGGAGATCTTCTGATTGGTGCTCTGGATGGTTGGCTGGTTTTATGGTCTCTACTGTAGAGACACTTCAGGGAAATTCACATCCTCTGTCTAATTTCAGTTACATTCACCTTTAAAATCAAAATTCAATCAAAAATATTTCACTTTGCACCTTATTTTTGGAAATATTGCAAATTTTGTGTTTTTCCCATTAAAAAAATCAGGAGTTCTCATGACAAAAGACACTTAAAACCTAGAAAAAAAATATAATTAACAATATATTTGGACAGGTCTGAAGTTGTTGATAAGATGTGATGCTTTAAAAGTGAAAAAAAATATGAATGTAAAATATTTTTACTGCACTTTTATTAGACGGACCGTTTGTGTACACGAGGTTAACAAGTGTCAGTGTTTACTTAAAACTGTCATTGTGCCACTAATGATAATAATGCATTAAAATCAATATTTTTATCAATTATTGACATGGTCAGGGCTGTTATATCTTTATCAAAAATATTTCACCTTTACTCATTTTTGGAAATTTTGCAAATTTTGTGTTTTTCCCATTGAAAAAAATCAGGGGTTCTTATGACAAAAGACACTAAAAAACTAAAAAATATCAAAAAATTATAATAAACTTTATATCTTTGGACAGGTCTGAAGTTGTTGATAAGATGTGATGCTTTAAAAGTAAAAAATATATAAATGTGTAATGTTTTTGCTGCACTTTTATTAGACCGTTTGTGTACACGAGGTTAACAAGTGTCAGCTGGAGACAGAATGTAGAAAACTAAGTGTAACAGACTTCACTATAATGAGTGTGATCTCCTCTTTAAATGAACGGTGAATCTTCTTTCGTCGGTCATTACAGAGTTTATTCTCAGCGTACGGAGTCAGGTCCCTGATGGAGGCTCTGCTCGTGTGAATTAGAGTCTCTCTAATCGACCTATTAGGCCTGAGCTGAGGAAAACACGCCGTAATGAGGAGGAAGCTCAGGTCATGTTACAACACCAACAGGGTGTTTGTCCACAACACTGAACTGTATTATCTCATTAGGCACAGTGTGTGAATGTGTGTTTGCTTTCACTGAATATGAGTTTTAACTTATTTAATTAAGATTTAGTTGGTATGATTTTCATCTTTTATTAATTTTATAACAGTATTATCAATGTCTAGAATTTCAGTCAGTTTCATACACATCCAAAAACTCCCTATAGGTGCTTTAACTTCTTAAATTCTCCTGGAGGAGGAACAGATCCCTCTTTTATCACTCATGTCTCAGTGTGTTTAAATGAACCCTGTGCTGTTGTTGTTGTCAGAGGTTTGTGACTATTCCAGTTCTGCCTCCTCCAGAGGGCCTCTTGCAGGACTTACACCCAAACTTTTCTGCACCCACCTTTATTTATCGACTTTTAGAGGAAGTCCTTCCATACCTGCTGGGTGCTCTGCTCCTCCAGAGTCAGTTTGACCTCCAGCGATTGACGAGCCTCCAAAAAAGCCGTCCTGTACTTCCTGTCCGCCATGTAGTACGACATCACACCCACCATGGCCGAGCACAGGTACAGCATGATGTTGGCGAGGAGCTGAAGGGAGGCGAAGACAGAATATCAACTTAACTGCACCTCCAGATGACATGCAGTGAAAATATTGATGTGAAGATAATTGTCTGCTGTGCAAAATAACAAAGTAAATCAATCAAACTTTATTTTTAAAGCACTTTCCATACATTGAATGTGGCGCAAAGTGCTGTCCATTCGCACAAGATATTAAAAACAATGAAATAAAATAAATAACAATACAAATACCAACCCCCATTCAACACATGCAGCACTCACACACTCATACAGATGACTGAGGAAACACGATCTTGAGTTAATGAAGATGAGGAAACACTGGATCTAGGACTAAAACGATAAAAACCATGATAAAATATAATAAAGGTGATAAAGCTTTAAAAGTTAATTAAATAAAACAGTTTTAAAATCAAACAATAACAGGAAGTAAATCAAAAAAGAGGTAATAAAACAACAAAACAGCTACTCTAGGACTAAAATAGGGTAAAATATAAAAGAACACCAATAAAAGAACCTTAAAATCTAGTAAAAGTGTCAGTTTTGCATTTTTATTAAATGAGTTTCCATGTTCAAACCAAAAGTTTCTACTTTTTTAACTCGTCTGTTATCACTTAAACTAAAAGGCTGTACCTGTCTGACAAGCATTGGCCCCTGCAGGCCGTCCTCGAACCTCTGGGCCACGATGACCCCCAGGACCAGCGTGTGAACCCCGCAGGAGAGCGCGGTGAGCAGCAGGAGCGGCACCAGGTTGAGAGGGAGCGTCAGAAAACAGGAGAAGCAGAAAAACGCCTGCCAGCCCACGGAGTCGCAGGCCTGAGGGAAACGCTCGAAGTTCAGACACATGTAACACAGCACGTGCACGGTTACCATCAGCCACAGTATGTGCGGCACCGCGCCGCGCCACACGGGGGACGCGGGGAGCTTCTGTAACCAACACAGCGCGCAGACGACAACATCCGCGGCCAGTCCCACCGCTGCGACCACCACCATCGCTCGCTTGTCCTCGGTGTACACCACCGCACACATGATGATGATAAAACTGTTAAAAAGAGCGGCGAACATCCCCAGCACGTGCAGGTTCTCTTGCCTCTGTCGGCGGAAGTAGCTTTGGTAAATCCTCTCCAGCGACTCCGGGGCGAAAGCGAGGCGTACCGCACGCGGCAGGCAGCGGCAGCAGCCCGTCTGCAGCACGGTCACCTCGCGCGCTCGACCCGACGCGTCGCTGGAGTCGCTCGGAACCTGGATGGAGTACTCCACCGAGTTCTCCACGGACTGTCCGGGCTCTGTGGCGTGGACCCGGTTCAGAGACATGGTTGTTTAGATAATACTGTCACCCCTGTAGTTCACATCAAACCCAAACCAACACAGAAGTTCTGATTAGTCCATCCATCCCAGTCTAAAAGGTCATCAGAACAACAGAAAGTGATAAAATATGTCATAAAAAATCCCTCGTCCATGTTCTTCATTTTCAGGCCCCATCTTCAAACGAGGGTCTCAGAGTTCCTCCCAGATCCAGGCCTGCTTTCGCTCTTGGAAAACTTCTCCCCACTGCAGCCAAAGTCCTCTGCGCCTCCACAGTCGACGACCAAAACCCTGAGGAGCAGGTGGACCGCCATCTCCGTACATGTCAGAACTTCAGAGATGGTGTGAACCAGAAGAAAATCACCTCATTTCAAAGTCTAAAACCATATTTTCTACTTCACTCGCTTTAACTCTCTGATAACCTGTTCTCCTGTCTCCTGATGATATCCTCTGCTCGCCTCTCCTCCTCCCACTCCCTCCATCCCTCCTCTTTCCAAACAGCGAGTCCTCTGTTACTGTTGCTAAGATGAAACCAAAGTAACTGTCTGCGGTGATCATGTCAGGGGAAAAGCAGCGATGATCATGTGAAGTGGAAAGAAAATAGGAAAGGTTCGTTAACTTTTAAACACGTCAAAAAAACGACGATTGAGTGACTGAGTTCAGAGGTTCAGGTTGAGTCATTTATTATCCAACAGATTGTCAAGAAATATAAACACAGTAGTCAAGTTTGGACAACAAGGATCTGTTTTTCATGTAAAATCAGGACATTAAAAAAAAGGCACAACATTCGTTCACATTCATTTGACGGTAAAACTTCTCAGATCGATCCCCACACCTGTCCACAGGTGGGAGAAATCAATCATCAGTCTGTGTGTTCATCATCTTCCTCAGTCTGTGATTTTTCTGTCACAGCAGTGAGCGTACCGACCAACGCCATCAGTATGGCCACCGCAACTCCCACAGTTCCCAGTTTCCCCAGAGCCGCAGTACCCAGCGCCGCGGCCCCGAGTGCCCCACTTCCGACCGGCGCCGCTACCCCGGTGACGGTCTCCATGCCGATTTTTTGAAGCAGCTCTGACCCTGTGAGGAGGCCCGTGGATCGTAGATTCACCACAGTGTTGAACGGGCTGTTCGGTGCGCCCAGGATAAAGGCCACCACTGCAACAAGGATAATCGTCACGAGTTCTGATGTCGTTGGTGTGGAATATTTCAGTCCCAGATCGTGTGTTGATAGAAATGCACCTCCAGCAACTGCACCCAGAACAGCCAACGCAGAGTTCCTGGATGCAAAAGCTCGATTTGCAGAGATGCTCGCAGCTCCGAGTGACACCCCTGCAGCTGTCGTGGCTCCCAGCATCCCCCCTGTGCTGCTTCGGGCCCCTAGAGACGCTGCGAGAATGACTCTGAAGGCAACAGATGATAACACGGCGGCTCCTACGGCGACCTTTCCAGACACTTCTTGCCCGAGTCCGACCATGGCCACAGTTCCCAGACCGGCTCCCAGCAGCCCTCCGAACAGAAACGCCACCCAGAGGACTGAACGCAGCATGACAACCACCTCTCCTTCAACTCCTCTTCCTGTAATACCTGCGCTCACTCCTACGAAAAATCCCAGAATCCCGACAAACACGGAGACGAAGACGACCCCCTCCAGCAGTCTGCACCCCCTCTTAGATAGCGGTCCGATGTTAGTCCTCCCCTTTACGGCTTGTCGAACGCCATAAAGCACGGAGATGGTGAATAACATACTGAAGAGTCCCGCTATAAAACCCGTTCTCCCGTAAACGACGCTCAGGTAGAGCGTGCTGAAGATGATGAGGAGCGCCGTGGTCATGTCGTTCATGTTGGAGCGCGAGTAGACGACGAGGACCAGAACGCCCTGGGCTGCGAAGTAGATCCACGGTGGAAGGAGGCCCACTAGAACTCCAGGTCCAACAGCGCCCACCACGAGTGACGCTCCTGCTGTGACCCCCAGTAACCACGGCAACCTCACTCCGACTTTAGTCCCCAGCTTCATCACCACCGCGGCGAGGAGGAAACCACAGCCCAGAGAAATGAGCAAGGAGGTGAAAACAAGGCACATGATCACGACCCCGACACCTGTGGAGCCGATTCGTTCTGCAGCCGCTGTGGCTGCGCTCAACAGGACGCCATCTTTAGTCAGTGTGGGGTCTAACGCGAATAACGCGGCTTCTCCGAAAGCAAAACCGGCCGCTGCGCTCTGAAGGATCATCTTCACTGTAGCAGAGACACCTAAAAAAGAAAACATGGAGGATAAGAAACACAAACGTGAGCTTTCACAATAATAATAATAATAATAATAATAATAATGATAATAATAATAATAATAAAAAGACAGATAAAAACAAAAAGCTCATTTTGCTGATATACTCATTCTCATTCAACTACTAAAAGTTGTCAAAAAAGGAAGACATGTATTTTAAACTTCATTAAACTGATTTGATAGCTGTAGTTTTCTGTTATTTTGTAGATATTGTATTAAATGTAAATCAAATACTGCTGCATACATGCTGCATGCATACCTTATAGTTACACATTCAGCTTTTACAGTTGGTACGAGTTTAATAACATAATAAATCTGAACTCGACTTCTTCTGAGTGCAGTACTTTCACTTTTGACACACTTCACATTCTGTAATTGTTCAGTTTCTGTGTACTTCTTTCCTCGTTTGAATAAAAACACAGTTTCTGCCGTATAAAATCCTGCTGCTGTCTCTTTAAGAGGACAGAGGAAACCATAAATGTGAGTCCATGCTGAAACTTAAAACCAGGAAGTCTGTCTGAAATTAGAAAAAACAACAATCATTTCAACAGACCGTTTCCTTCTCCACAGACCGGTGTCTCTGCAGAAACTGTTGTTCATACTCATTTCTAACTCTAAATGGTTTTAAGCAGCACATCAGAAACTCTGTCAAGGCTGCAGAAGTCTGAGACAAACTGAGTTTTCTCATGAGATCAGTTATACGGTTAATTAATGAGGTGTTTAATAAAAGTTCTAGTTTTGCTGTTCTCTTAGTTTTTTTTTTAGTTTATTCTGAAGTTTAACTCACCCAGATTTGTGTCTGCCATGGCTACAGGTGACTCCTGCTTGTCCAGAAATACTCCACCTTCTCCTCCTCTTCCTCTTCTTCTTCTTGTGTTGTTTATTAGTGGTTGACAAACAGCTTTGAGGTGCTTCACTGCCCCCTGTTTGAAGTTACCTTTAACGTTAGTTGGAGTCACTTTAAGTAATTTTCCAGCAGTTCCAGTCAGCATTACTGAATGTGTGTTCATGCAGTGCTTGTAGAAACTAATATGCATTTAGCTTCACAGAGTGCAATGCATCTTATATTACATAAATTCAAGGACACCCTAATACGCATTTTATCCTCTTTTAAGTGCACTGCATCGTTGTATTTTTGCACATTTGCCTGCAGTATTTTCTGCAAAGTGTTTCTAAATCATAAGGAATGGTTGAGATTAAAATACAGTTTAACAAATTTAATTCTCCTCAATTTATTCTTCATAGTTCTGTAAATTATCAAGCACTGATTCATGTACAAAGGTCAGTGAAAACAGAAGCTTTGACACCTTTTTTTCTGGTGAAAACTGGAGCTGTAAATTCTGTTGTTAACGCACAGTTGCTTGTTGTAATCAGTCATAACATGTTTTGTTTACATCTCTGCAGCAGAAATACATACTGCACTGAGGAGACTTTGACCTAAAACCTGGCCATAAAGATTTATAGTACAGGAGAGTTTTATCTAAACACTGTTCCCACGTGGACTTAATATGTCCCACTTTAACATAGAAACATATAATTGTTTAAATCAGATTAAAATGGAACATCGATATCTGCTGTTACAGCTGGATTCACTTTCAGTTCAAGGCAATTTAATCAACAACAATAAATATAACTAATATTTTGTAAGAATAAAATAAAAAAATAAATAAAAAAAATGATGGCAAATTAAACAAAACAAAACAAAGAAAAAACTAAACTTACCAAATTTAAAATAATAATAATAATAATAATTAAAATAACTAAATAATAAAAAAATAAACAGCCAAAAAAAACAACAAAAACAAACAAACAAACAAACAAACCCCCCAAAAAACAAAAAAACAAACACTTTACTCTGTATTTATACGATTTTGTTTAATTTTTATAAACAAAAATAGCACCTTTGAATTAACTGTACTTAAGATCCTTGAAATAAAAAAAGGGGGGAAATATTTTCTTCTAAAAACTGTCGTTAAATTATTCCTGTGTATAGCAGATAAACCATTTTGATAAATTTTATCTCGATCTTTTGAACTGTATTTTATCGTAGTCTTTTTATTTCCCTAAATATTTTATTTGTTGTTCCCAGTTTTTATTAAAATATCTGATATGCAAGCAGTAATTCTACATGTTTAAACCGGTTTTGAACATTTTGGATAATCGAAGTAAAATAAAATTCAAACCGCCTCTTTCGCTTCCTGCTTCGCGGTCAGCTGACTCGTGTCACGTGGCTCACGCTTCCTTCCGTGTTGGAGCAGATGTGTTTATTTCTTTACAGACTGTCGAAGAGGATTTATATCTCAACATTCATGAACTCAGACTGAGTTTAGAGACTAAAGGTGCAGAGAGCTGGAGTGGAAGGAGACTCGACATCGTTTCTTTTCCTTTAACGTCTGAAGTGGACTGTCAGTGAGGAGGTTAGTCTGAAGACTGTGAATACGTGTTAAAATATGAAGTTTTAAAGAAGTTTAAAATCAAATCAAACAAAATTATCCAGGTATTTACTGTTTTTGTGCATAAACTTAATTATTCTATCAGCCAGTTAATGTTTTTTGTTTCTTTCTTGTTTTATTTTGTTTTGTTGTTTTTATGTGTGTGCTGTATGAAGTCAATGTAGATTTAGTTTGTAGTAAAAAGTCATGAATTTACTTAATTTACCTCTAATTATCAGGTACATTTTGGTTTGCATATTCGAAATAAACTTCAATCAATCAGTCAATCAATCAGTGTTTCTTTAAAAAGCTAAAGCTGAGAACAAATTAACAGAAATCTTAAAAAGTAAAGTAAATTTTTTGATATTGTGGGTTTATTTCTACTTTATTTTGCCGTTGTGTAAAAATGTGTCTGAGGTTCTGAGGGTTAGTTGAGTCTGCCAGTTTACTGTCTGATGAAAGAAGTCACCTGTCTGGTTGTGTCTTCACAGTCACGCCCTGTCAGGTGAGAGTCAGGTGGTGTTTGTCAGACAAAGGATGATAACTGATTCATTTGGACTTTTATTTGATTTACACATGAGGCTGAACCTCATGAACACCTGAACGGTTATCCTCCTCCACCGTGTTAAACTAACTCTCATATTCTTCCTTCTGCAGAAATGTATTTCGCTGTGTTTTTATCTGCACTGGCGCTCTCTGCGACCACCTTCGCTCTGGACAATGGACTCATGAGGACGCCTCCTATGGGCTGGTTGGCATGGGAACGGTTTCGCTGCGACATCGACTGTACAGACGACCCCAAGAACTGCATCAGGCAAGCTGGAATGACATGAATATGACACACTGAGATCTCTGAAGCTTCTCTGGTGATTGGGAATAATTATGATTATAATCTATGATAATGACTGTTTATTCTGGACTATTTAGGTGCATGTTACTGTGTCACTGACTCTTTAAAGTGAGGGAAATGGAGCCAAAAGATAAGGGAACCTTCATAAGTAGGAATGTGGGCCAACATGTCTGCAATCAGGACATACAGTTCATCATTAATACTCTGATGGCAAACATTTCTTAACGTAGGGTGGAGCTCTGAGAACAAATCCTGTTTAGCAGCAACGGAAACCCTCCTGTTCATCTTCAGCCTCAGTTACGGTGTTGCTTTGTACAAACATATAAGTACAATATTCACACCTGCAGCTCGGACTTAACATGTGCACAGAGCGGCACTGCCTTGTCCTTTTTATTGGAGATGATCCAGAGGTTTACTTCAGCTTTTGTATGCTTTATTGTTTTCAGGTACAATTTCTCGGTTAGTAACTGTTCAAAGCAAGAACCGTAACACTTCCCCAGCATCAGATTTTGGTTTATCGGGTGGAAACAAAAACTTTATTCAGAGTAAATTCTCATGCTGATGGATTTCTAGATAAGCAACTACCTCAAACAAGCTGGAAATATAAAATTTAAAGTTAAGATTTATTTTTAAAGCTCTCTCTCTCTCTCTCTCTCTCTCTCTCTCTGTCTGTCCCTCTCAGTGAGGATCTGTTCATCGACATGGCCGACAGACTCTCAGAGGACGGCTGGAGGGAACTGGGCTACGTCTATGTGAACATCGACGACTGCTGGTCCTCCAAGCAGAGAGACGAGAAGGGGCGTCTGCAGGCTGACCCTAAAAGGTAACAGCGCTGAGTTCATCTTAGGCTAGAAGACTGGATTCATTATGTGCAGAATACCGAGAGAGGCCTGCGTCACAAACGGGTCAATAAAACTGTGAAAGACGGTGTTTACAATGTGACTGTCATAAGACTCAGAAAACGACGAGTCAGTAGCTCCAAAAGTCTCATGTATTCTGTTTTAATGCAGCCTCAGCATAAATCTGATCTCCCCACAAGGTGGAAGTGATGAAAAATCCAGACGAACACAAAATAACCACACTGTAGATTTCTCTTTATACTTTCAAACCTTCACTCTCCTCAGATTCCCAGGAGGCATCCCCAAACTGTCCCGGTACCTGCACGACAGGGGTCTGAAGCTGGGCATCTACGGGGACATGGGCACACTCACCTGCGGGGGTTACCCCGGCACGCCGCTGGACAAGATCGAGATCGATGCTCAGACCTTCGCTGACTGGGAGGTGGACATGTTTAAATTCGACGGCTGTTATTCGAACGAGACAGTACAGGAGAAAGGTGAGGAGAGGAGAGGCGGCTGTGATCTCAGACGCTGCCGAAAAAAACAACAACAGCTGATAACCTCATTTTCTTCTCCTGGTCAGGTTACCCTCTGATGTCAAAGGCTTTGAACGCTACAGGCCGCCCTATTGGCTACTCCTGCAGTTGGCCCGCCTACCAGGGTGGCCTTCCACCAAAGGTACAAACTATCCAACTGAACGTGTCGTCAAATGAAAGGCAAATTTTAAATATTTAAATATTTAAATATTTTAACTTTTCTGTCCCCGTGTTCATGTTTCCAGGTCAACTACACCCAGCTCGGCGAGATTTGCAACCTGTGGCGTAACTATGGCGACATCCAGGACTCTTGGGGCAGTGTGGTGAGCATTGTTGACTGGTTCTTCGATAACCAGGAAGTCCTGATACCTGCAGCCGGACCTGGAAGGTGGAACGACCCGGATATGGTGAGTTAACTCCATAATTCACATATTTACTTAAACTTTTTAGCATTTAGTCGATCAATAAAAGTGGAAAAATAAATACAAGTTAAAGACGAAGGTCGAGTTTTCAGGTCTGGACCTTCACGGCTGTTTTTGCACATTTTTCTTTGACGCCTTCGTTGGTGTGAAGACGTATCCTTGCGTCGCCAGAACCCGCTCATGAACGGTTTGTCCTTGACCTTTCAGCTGATCATCGGCGACTTCGCCCTCAGCATGGATCAGTCTCGCTCTCAGATGGCTCTCTGGGCGATCATGGCCGCTCCTCTCTTCATGTCCAACGACCTGCGCACCATCAGCAGCGGCGCTCGCAGCATCCTGCAGAACAAAATGGTCATCAGCATCAATCAGGACCCCCTTGGGATCCAGGGACGGCGTATTTTAAAGGTGATGACTTCTGACTGAGATCCTCATTTTGTATTTGGACTCTTTTAACACGTTTATGTTTCTCGCCATCAGGAGAAGAGTAACATCCAGGTGTTCTGGCGCCCCCTGTCGGACGGTGCGAGCGCTTTGGTGTTCTTCAGTCGTCGTTCTGACATGCCGTACCGATATAAGACGTCCCTTAAAAAACTCAACTACACCACAGGAAGTTACAAGGTGAGTCCTCGCTTTAAGGTCAGGCCGGTTCGACCACGACCTCGGTGACTCTCCTGGTGTTTTCAGACTCTCTCTCTTTTCCTCGCCCTCAGGTTTACGATGTCTTCACCGACAAAACCACCACGCTGAAAGACTCCACCGACTTCGTGGTGTCGGTGAACCCCTCAGGTGTGGTCATGTGGCACGTCTCTGCGCCTGCCAAACTAAACCAGCGCCATTTCGACCGAAGAGGAAACGCCATGGAGTCCGTGTTCGGAGGGGATGAAAACGCCATCCCTCGCGTCTTCCTGTGACGGCTGAACAAATGAATCCCAAATCAAATCGCTGATTCTGACTCAATCAGGAGCTGAAGGGACGTATTTTCTCTTCTTAACCGTAACGTGCCAATGAGGAACTTTAATCATGTTATCTTGTCCGAGTCGGGAAACTGTTGCGAACTCAGGGATCGGAAATTCTCGATGTGATTTTGGGAACATGTGAAAAAGCTGATGGTTGATTGAAACAGATTAATCAAAACTGTCAGACCTGAGAACAAGAGCTCGTACTGAAGCTTTATTTCTGAATTTCTCATAAAAAGATGATTTTTTATCGTGTTTTTTCACTGAATGATGTTTACACGGAGACTGCGGTATGCTGACGTGTGATTGCAGTAATTAGTCGACATCTGGATGTTCGTTTGCTCAGGATGGTTGTGTTATGAAAGTGAAGTTTTTATTTGAAATGATCCAGTGAAGTATGTGTCTTTTGTGTTTTTCTGCAGAATAAAAAGTTCGTCTGCTTCACAAGAAAACAGAAGTTTGTGCGTCATCGTGTTCTGGATCATTGACAGTGAATACCTGTTTAATTCTTCCACTGAATCTGACCTGAATTTAAAAAACCAAATCAGTTTTAAAAACGCTGACAGATCCTGACGAGTTCCTCTGAACTTCAGTTCTACGTGGTCTCTTATAACTCCTCTCAAACAGTCACAGTTCTGCTTTAATAACTTCTCAGATTCATATAAAAAAAAACTATTGTTAATGATGAACTTTCAGTTCCTCTTTGTTCTCTCTCGTCCTCGTCAAAACTTTGCTTCTTTATCAAACACATTTTTTTCTTTCTTTTTCAAAAGCACCTTTTAGTTTTTAAATTAAGATAAACTCCAAATGATTTGCCTTTTCATAAGAATGTCAATTTAAATGAGACTCATGAGTTTTTATTTAAAAGTGGGTTAATCTCTAATATATAGATTTGAGAATTATCTTTATAGTTAGAGCCCTACTGAGGCAGCAGCCGTCATATCCTAACCCTCTTTTTAGCAATAAACTTCTCTGAACAGAAAAGTTCATGTTGAAGTGTGAATGATTTCTGTCAGGATGCTCTATGAAAAAATGGGTACCACTAAGTTACACTGTTTCTACGGTGGCCCTGAAGAAAATGATTTAAAACACAAAATCAAATCAAAATGTTTTAGAAAACACAAATTCTAAAAACAAAAACAATTATAAAACTTTTTCAATATTTTTTCCAATAGGAAGAAAATGTAAAAAACATTAAACTTTAACAATATCAACATTAAATAATGTTGATATGTTCAAAATTTTCTAATTTTCATTTTTAATATTTAATTTAAAAATTGATTTCATAGTCTTGTTTTTTAAATATATTATTATTTTTTTATGCTTCCAGAATGTTTTTGTTTTTGGAATATTTGTACTTTTTCTTAATATTTTGTGTCTCTAAAATATTTTGTTTGAATTTTGTTTTTGTTTTTGGTATATTTAAAATTTTTCTTAAACTATTTGTAAATATTTTGTGTCTTGAAAATATTTTTGTTTTAATTCTTTTTCGTTTTTTAGAATATTTTTTTTTCTAAACATTTTGTCTCTAAAACCTTTGTTTTCCAAATATTTTGTCTCTAAAATAATTTTGTTTTCTAAATATTTTGTGTCTAAAATATTTTTGTTTTCTGAATATTTTTTTCTCTAAAACTTTTGTCTTCTTAATATTTTGTGTCTAAAACATTTTTGTTTTCCCAATATTTTGTGGAGTGAGTTTTCCACACGGACACAGATCCACGTTTCACCAGCAGAGGTCAGCGCTGCTCTTCAATCTGTCGGGATCCTCCAACACTAAGATCAGCTGCCAACAAACCCACCTGCTGAAGAACACAAGGACAGTCAGCCCATTCGGCTCAGCCTATTATCTCTCTGTTCGGATCCAGCCTCCTCTGACATCACCTGCTATTCCAGAAGAAAAAACACAACAGGGTAAAAAATGTTTTTATTCTTTATCTGGCCTTCGTCACTGTCCTCTCCACACCTGTGTTCAGCATCTTTGCTTTCTTCATTGTATTCGTTCTGTCTCTGCGTCTTCACCCCTCCTCCTCCTCCTCCTCCTCCTCCTCCTCCTCCTTCTCCTCCTCGCCTGATTCTGCTAATTCCTGTGCAAAGTCTCACCTCTGACCTTGGCCTTCAAACTCCGAGTTTGCAAACAGTCTCGAGACAAGAGAGGGTCACATGCTTCTGCATATGCGTACATATGACTCAGGTGAACATGCTTTGCAGAAGGCTCACACATGCACACACGCACACTAATCCTTTGGGGGTCATTTCAGGCCAGATCAGCTGCATATGTGTGTGTGTGTGGGAAAGAGGATCTTTCTGTCTTTCCCTTTCAGTCATCTCAGATGTCTGTCGGCTGCTCCAACACATCTCTCTCTGTCAAGGTCCCCGCCGCTCGGGACTACGACAAGAGAGAGAAGTGATACAAGAGAACAGTGCGAAGGCTTCATTGAAAAGGAAAGAGGTCGGGCTCGCTGGCTGTCAAAAGTCCATTCGAATTTGCAAATGAGCAAAGGAAGTGTGTTACTGTGAGAGATGAATGAGTCCGGGAGGGGGCGAGACGGCGAGCAAGTGTGTTCCTGCTGATGCTCACGTAGCCCCACAGCTGCAGAGAGACGCAGTTGCCACTTACGTCTTTGTGCCTCCCCGCAACACCAGCACCAGCGCCCCCCACTTCAGCCAACACACACGTTGTCACGCTGCTGGTCACACTCTCAGCCTCACGCCTCGAAAATCCAGAACAGATGAGAGAAAAGGGGGGAAAGAAAAGTCGTGGCTGCGGCGAGGTGGGGCAGATGCTAACAGGACTTTGCATGTGGGTCAGAATAGATCTGCTAAAGGAGGTCAGACACCCTCGAACTCCAGGAGACACATCTGAAAACTATCAGGGTCCAGGACTGTGAGCATGTTACCATATAATCTCTAATACACAACATCCCAGATTAACAGTGTTACTGTGTCTCGACAACATCGTCATCCCAGGTGTCGCCCAAAGCAGATAAGCTGTTATAAACCGTTATCGTATCTTCATGAAGTGTTCACTTATCTCTTTCTTGACCCTAAAACTTGTCAAATCTACCTCAAATTAATCAAAATACTCTGAGGGAATTGATGCTATGCTTCTGTTTTATTAAAGTGTGTGATTAGCGATTAGCTTACCTTAGCTGCCATCTGGATAGAAAAGCCATAAGGCCAGAGTGCAGTCACAGCAAAGTTCATAAATGCTGACTCAACTCAACATTCAGGCAAAGAGTTGGAGATAAAGTGAGCTCATCGCTGCCAACAGATAAAGTGCATCCACCTCTCAACTCAGCCGTGACCTTAATTATGTAACTCTTTAAACTCTTAGCTATTTAGATATCGTTAAAACAGTTCACCTTCAAGTGTACGAACAAATGAATGTGCTGAATATCCGACTTCGAGGTTTGAAACAGGCTGTTAACTTATTTAATCTTGCTACAAAAATGAGTATTTTAACATGCGTGTTAATGGGGGTTCTTTGGCTTTTGGACGCAGCCTCAAGTGGCCAATTGTGGAACTGCAGTTTTTTCACACTTCAGCGCTGTCAAATGTTTTATGCATACCTGTCAAGTTTTGGTTTGGAAAATAAGGGAAATTTTCGAGTTAAAATTTCATCGTCTGATCACAGATGACAACTCGCTAGTACGAGTTGGTGGGCACTTAGCACTTAGCTAGTCACAGAGTTCAGTTTGGAGAGGCAGAATGACGTTTTTTTATATACATATGTTATAATATGGGGGATTTACGGGAAGACGGGGCAGGAAAGGGGGTAAAATACAGTAGTTTCCAAGCCAAACAGGGATACTTGACAACTCTGGTTTTATGTGTTATGAATACTTTGAATAAATATCGTAAAAACAGGGCTGTTAGCTGACGTCTACCCTTTGCATCGTTTTCAGGCAGTTAAATTTTCTTTTTAAAAATCATCGATCATGACGCTGATGGTGTTATTTTTCCTGGAATAGTGTAAAAAAGCATCAATATGATTTTCAATCAATTACATATACATCAAAAACTCCTCACAGGAGCTTTAAATCCATGAACTCCATATGAAAATCTTCCATCCATGTGGGTCATTCAGATTATTTCGCCATGAACACGCAGCGTGAGTAATGATCCACTGTGTAATTTCCTTCCTGTGGAAATTTCCAACTTTAACGTCTCCTGTTCTTAACGTTGACGATAGAGACAGACTCATGACTAAATATTTTTTAATGCTAAAAATGCAAATTTAACAGCAAAGCAGGTGGAAAATTTTTAGTTCTGCAGGAAATAAATGATTAATTTTCATTAAGTGCACAACTATGACTTCTTTTACACATAAGTTGACCTGCTTTAGTTCTCAGCATGTATTCTCGCCAGCACATTACAGCTGGAAAAATCACTTTTTCAACTTCCAGAGGTGTTTGACCCACAATATATAACCGTATATATGATGTTTTCTCTCCTGCAGAATTTAAAGATCCATAAATTCTCTCCTTTGCTCCAAAAGTACTCTGAATTTGGTTTTAGGTTGTGGACATCTGGTTAGGGTTGCTCTGTCCTGCTCTGTGCTATAGATTTTTACACCAGAGGACACCCTGCTGGCTTTATGGGGATGCTATTATTGCAGCTGGAGTGAAGATGCATGAATACATCTGCTGGGGTATTAGAGTCGGTGGAAAATCTGTCTTCATGATGGCAAAAAGACATAATGTCTGCTGCAGCCGTGAGCGGATTCACTTAAAGACTCATCACTCCCTCATTGAGGATCACCGCTTTTGATGTCTGCAAAACCACAAACCTCATGTCAAATAATCCTGCGGTGGAGGATTTTATGAATGAATGTCTGGGTTCGTCCACCAGCGGCTGCTGTTGACTCAGAAAGAAAAAAAAAAAAAAAGAAACAGACGCGCCTGGTAACTGTTTCCACGACGCTGCTGTGTACGAGGAAGCCTGCACGTTGCCGAGGCATTGGGTTTGCATGGCAACCGGCCAAGCTGTCAGCTGCCTGCTTACTGGCACCCTGCACCCAGTGTGGGTCAAAGTCAGAGGCTGTAGCCAACTCTCTCTCTCTCTCTCTCTCTCTCTCTCTCTCTCTCTCTCTCTCTCTCTCTCGCAGACACTTTGACCACACATATATACCCTGTCATGTTCTCATTCTTTCCCCTCGACTTTGCTCAGACATTCAAACACTCATTTTGGTCTCATTCTCCGTGATCGTCACTCTCTCATCTCCTGTGCAAACAAATCCTCTCCTTCCCCGATCCCACGGGTTTACTGTGACCACATCTACCTTTGTGCAGACATGCCGTACATCTGTGTGATTTGTGTGTGGTCACCCCCTTTTCCCTCACTGTTTTTATGCCGTTCCACTGTACTCCCCGGTCTGAGGTTTCTGTGTCGCATCTCGAAAGCCTTTCTGGGCAGCAGAACAAAACCTCATCTTCCCTTTCAGCGGCTGGCGCAGAGCGGAGCCAACACAGCAGCAGGATTTGGCTCCGATCACCAGCAAGGAGAATGGTTGGAAAGGACTGGAAAGAGCAGGTGGAGTTCTTTGGCAAGTGTGTATCACCGGTATGCATGCATGTGTGTGTCTGTGTGTGTGTGAGTGTGTGGGTCACACTGATAGAAAGATTTCCAGCAGTTATCTGATCCGTTTTCACACAGCAACAGTTTGGTAGGTTACTCGATGTCATCTAAGGTTGTTGACAATGCATCTAAGTTTGGCTGAAGCTGCATTATAAGCTCTGCATGATGCTTTAGACACACAATAAGGGGTCATGTGACAGGGCTGCCAATGGTTAAAGATACGTGAACGGTCAACAATGCTTCTCGTAACCTTCAGTCTGGTCCCTGAATATACATGTGCGTGGTTTCGGAGGCTATTTTTGTTTGTGTCTATCAGCGATTTTTTTCCCCCTCTTTAATGCAGCTGGATTTATTCTGCTCGGCGACAGCCATTGTTGTCATCTCTTCTTTATCGGCATGTCAGTCTGTCTGTCAGCGAGGCCGTTTCTCGTCCGCGTCTGTCAATCTGTCACTGGTTTGTACATTACGGCTGTGATTAACTGGAGCTAACTAAAGGTGTCCTGAGAAGGAGGTCACGCTCTGCAAAATGACAGCTTTACGTAAACATACGAAATTCGCCATGATTGCATTTCAGTCCTGATAAACCACAGAGGCTAACACCCCGTCATGCTAACAGACTGTCACCTTTTGCAGATGATTATGAGTAATTCTCCTCTTATAGCATGATGAGGTCAATATTACCATTAGTTAAGGTCATATTTTCAGACGGACCGTTCTGTCCCGTCTGTCACACACACACACGTGCTCATACAGTCACTACATCTACATGCACAGTTAAAGGGATATTCCAACGTAAAATTAATTAAGGGGCATAGGGTTATTCCAACTTAAGTAACGACCACAGGATAGCAATACACAGCGGTCTGAGGAGCCATAAACAAACCTCAACCAAAACGCCATGAAGCGGGTAAATACTGTTCAGTTATGTGTCTAGATTTGCGCAAATTAAGCGAGTAGATGATTTTACTCGCGCTTGGTGTGAGCGCCCCATTAGTCTGGCAAAAAAATATAGTGTGTTTTAAATCAGATTAACATGTTTACATATATTAAAATAAACAGTTTCATTCAGCGAAATGCAATAAATTAATATTTTAAAGTGCATTTAAATGTACTGACTGACTCGCACAGTTTCCGGAGTTAGCACAGTTTGGCGCCCTCTACTGGCCTTGATTATGTCCCGCTAATGAGCTGAAGTTACCAAGCTTTTGTTCTTTCTAATGTAATCTGTGAATTAAACTGTCGAGGACGTTTACACGCACTTACTCAGTAGCTTGTTATGCTAGCGTAACACAATGTTAGCCAGGACTGTCATTGTATGCAGATGATAAACGGTTATTTTTTAATACTTTTCAAATCTATGTTCAGTATTTGGTCATTTTGAGAGCATGAAAAACAAAACCAACCAACAGACGACGATTACTACAAGACTTAGCTTGCGAGTTAGCTAAGTGGACGGTCACCAGACTGGAAACTCTGATTACAAAATGACAGCTCATTAAAAAAGGAACACAGTGAACAGACCGATCGGAACTTTTTGTTGATTGCTGAAAGCCACAAGGGGGAATGTGTAATTAAAGAGAACTAAAATACAAAATGTCCAACCACTAAGTCACTGTTTAATCCGATTGCGGGGGTTAGATTGAGAAATATTAACAGCTTCACTCGTCATTTTTTAAATGAAGAGGACAAACTCTTCCTAAAGCTGGAACACCATGTGAGGAATAAGACCGAAAATACTGCTTTCCGTTTCGTTGATACTGCGTCTTTATAACCATAATATTGACTTTATGACTTTATTACACAAGCTGCCATTAAACAAACATCCTGATGATCCCGCTCTGTTGGAGACGTCCCAAACTGTCATGGTGCCTGTTTACATACTCTCTCTTGTTGACCCACTTCTGCGAATGTGGTTGTGTCTCTGCTCTTATGTGCGAACCTCCTGTCAGGTAGGTGGGTCACAGCTTAGGAAGACCGCCCTCCCTCCCTTCACCTCTCTTTTTTTAAATCCGTGTCGTTCGGCTCGCCGTTGGCTGGAAAAGATCAAACAGCACATGTCGGGCTGACCTTCAGCCCGGCGTCTCTGCAGCCCGCTGCGTATATCTCAGCAGGCATAGTGCGTCTAAACATTAACTCTGAGACCTGGCACAGTTTAGTCTAATGAACCGAGCGCATGAGTGTGTGTGGAGTGTGTACATTAGTGTGTTGGCGAAATCTCCTGTTGTGTAAGACGATATAAAGACGTAGAAGAGAGGTCTTGGGTGTTAATGTTTGGAGAGTAAAAACACAAACGCCTTAAATCTGTGTCATAATCATTCAGGTCCAGAGTGCAACAACCCGACCAGAGTCCTTCTGGCTCATCCTGGGCCCGTTTCCACCTGCGGCCCACCTGCTCCCATCCTCGCTGGGCCTCGCCGCCGCCGTCTCGAGACATTTCGCAGCAGTCTTGGAGCTGACATGCGAGCAGCTGATCTTTCAGTCCATTATGAGCACAGTCGAGTCTTTGTGCGTGCAGAAGAAAAGATCTGCTTGTCAGAGCCGTGACGTGAAAGTCCCCTCCACTGTGTCACATTGAGAGGTTTTTGGGCCAAGTCATAGCTATGTGTGAACGCTGTCACGTACGGCGTTGTAAATGGCGAAGGATGAAACTATATCCGACAGGTACGTTATCAGAGCGGTGTTATCTTTCTGGCTGGCACATTCGTCTGTGAGTGTTTCTCAGCAGCCAGTCCACAGATGGATAATTTACAAGATTAAAGGCCTTATCAAGGTCATTGCACTCTGATACACTGTCATTTCTGCACTGATATGCAACCTCAGGATAAAACAACATCATTAGAGCGGCTTATGCAAGAAATGGAAACACCTTGAACTTTGTGATTGAAATTAAAGCTTCCTAACGTCGATAAAACATTAAAGGTATTGTGTTTTTTTTAACCAAATCTGCAGGGATTCATCATGGATTAATTTATTTTAAACCACAATATCTACAGTAGTGTAAAAATACAGAAATCAGCATGACAAACACCCCTGTGTGAATGTGACTCAGTGTGAGAGTGGGTCATCTCTTATCAGACAGGTGGGAGTTTGATTTACAGACTCTTCACAGGAGCTTTAAAGGGATATTCCAGCGTAAAATTAAGTTAGGGTCAAACACACACAGAGTTAGACACCCCCTCAAGACCTCTTGCGTCTCTAGTTATACCAACTTTAGTAACGGCCGCGGGATAGCAATACAGAGAGACACGCGCTCAACCAAAACGCCACTCTATAGCCACAAATAATGTTCAGAACAGCACCTAACTTCATCAACAGAGACTAAACACAACTCACCTACTCTCTTCCAGCAGCCGCTTGTTGATAGCGAGACCTCAGGCCAGTCCATTATGGACTACAGCGGGGTTTCGCAGTTTAAGGAAGAACATTTATGATCATTTCTTCATGGAAATACAATCAGACCGAGACGCTAAGAAAGAAGAAGCATCAAGGAAAGCACAAGTAGACTGAAGAACAGTTTCCTTCCACGGGCTGTAAGACTTTAAAATAAGTCTATGAAATGAACTTTTTATGGTGTCATTACCTTGTGTACTGACTCTGGCTCTTTTAATTTGTTTTTAAACTTTTAGAAAAGTATAGCACTGTTGCTTATTTATTGTTTTTATTCTATGAAGCACCCCAACCTAAGCTTTTCACAGTGCAATGTACTTGTACATAAATCTTGTGATGATAAACATCTTGAATCTTGAAGAACTACCGCGTCTGCAGTGCAAAATGATTAATATGGTGATTATTACTTTGAGGAAATGATAAAGAGATGATCGGCTGTGACCCTATATGTCCTGTTGATGAAGGTAGGTGCTGTTCTAAGCATTATTTGTGGCGTTTTGGTTGCGCGAGTGGCTCTCTGTATTGCTATTGTGTGGTCGTTACTAAAGTTGGTATAACTAGAGAAGCAAGCGGTCGGTGTTATGGACAGTAATTCGTTTTGAGTGTTTTCTTTATGTTTATTGTTTTCTGTGGTAAAGTAGCAGTTTAGTTCGGCGATGACGTCACTTCCTGCGCAAACCGGAAGTTGTCGCAGATCGGGACTCGCGCGAACGGGCAGCCGACAGGGCGTTTACGGACTGTTTTCCTCATTATTCTCCGTGGTTTCACAAGTCTGTTAAGACGCATCGTCTGTGAGTATGTGTTTATATGGTTTACATTGATGTTAAGAGTGAATTATTTGGCGATTTATGTCTGAAATTCATGTCAATTTTGTAATGTTTTGTATTGCAGTTTCACACTGGTTCAGTAAAAAGTCAAACAAGTCCCGGCTTCAACTGAATTTATTGAATCACGTGTTTAACTGTCTGGATAACCGCTGGTGAGACCAGTACAGTCGGCAACATTCATCTCTAAACGGGGTGTCGATAAAGTAATGATCATAAATGTTCTTCCCTGAGCTGCGTCACCCCGCTGTAGTCCGTAATGGACTGGCCTGAGGTCTCGCTACAAACAAGCGTCTGCTGGAAGAGAGTAGGTGAGTTGTGTTTAGTCTGTTTGCTAAAGAAATTAGTCAAAGTTAAAAAGATGTTTGGTGGCTAGTACTATGTCTGTGACCCTATATGTCCTGTTGATGAAGTTAGGTGCTGTTCTGAGCATTATTTGTGGCTAAAGAGTGGTGTTTTGGTTGAGCGTGTGGCTCTCTGTATTGCTATCCTGCGGTTGTTACTAAAGTTGGTATAACTAGAGAAGCAAGCGGTCGACAACATTCATCTCTGGACTTAATTTTATGCTGGAATATCCCTTTAACAGACAGGTTAGTAGTTTGATTCCCGGACTCTTCACAGGAGCTTTAATCCCACACGACTGTGGAGATGCATCCTTTTTTTTCCTTTCATCACTCCACTTTCAGATTTTATTTACAGTCATATGACCTCCTCAGTTATTGCAATTGCCCCATGACCACTAGGGGGCGATAAAGGATTACCTGACCCATGCCAGAGGGGGGATTTAATCCTTAATATCTCAGGTGCTTTCCCTTCTGAACCTGCAGAACTCCTGACTGAGTGACCCAAGCCTTTCTGAATGACCGGCACTCGTTTTCAAATCAATTATAGCTGACCTCATGCCGGACGCTCGAAGATCCTGAACCACGTCTGAAACTGGATCAGGGACTTTTTTTTTTTGTCCTCTTGTCAAATCTGTGATTGTAAAAGTGACCATGAGTGTGAGGAGGTGTGTGTGTGTTTCTTTCTCCCCTCAAAGTGTTTCTGAGTTTAGGTCACTTCAGGTCAAACTCACAAATGGGAGACGAGCAGCAGAGGATGAAAATGAAAGGCGAAGGTTTCAGAGGACAGGATAATCAGATCATGATCTCCCTCCTTGAAGTCCATGGATCACCTGCTCTAATCCCCTGACCTTGGTGCACTTCTCGGAGACCTTTTCCTCCGCCTCAGTCTGGCAGCAGAAACATTTCTTTCTTTAAGGAAATCTCTGATAAGCTCTAATCTCTCACCTTACTGTTTTATACCACCCAGCGGTCCGTTCTCGCCCCCTCCGGCACTTTGAAGTCCCTGAAAAGCGACCATTGTCGATTCGGGAGCAGGGCGGGAAAAGAAAAGGCGGCTGATCTGCAGCTCGTGTGAATGATATGGAAATTTGTGACATGGGAATTTGAGTTTGAGAGCGCCACGAAAAGAGAAACGTGTGACTTTCATGGAGGAGATTTGTGGCGGCCTGAATGGAAATATTGTTGTGGGGGGATTTATTGTGGGAATCAAAAAAAGGAAAAAAAGAAAGAGTGGAGCTGAAAAGGAGAATGAGATGATGGATTTCTTTATTTTATCTGATGCTGAGCTTCCTGCTGTTATGGTCTGTGCACAGAAAACACACACACACACACACACACACATAAACACACACACACAAGTCTGAGCGTGTACATTCAGACCTTAAAGCTTTAGTGTTTTCAGCACCTATGGAAAAAAAAACAGGCGCATAAAAGTCACAAGACCACCTTCGTAATTAGCCGGTGTCAAATATTTGACTTTGTCATCACAACCACCTGTCCCCTCACTCCCTCACCCACTCCCCCCCCCCCCCTCTCTCTCATTAGCTTGTCCTGCGTCAACTTATATCCCAGGAGACGTCAGTTTTGTTTTATTGAAAACAGCGTCATAGGTTTCTAAAAATAATAAAACATAACAGACTTTCTCAGGGGGTAGAGCGATAAAGTCCGGGCCGGGTTCCTGGAAATGATGCAGTTCAGCAAACTTTATCAAGATGAAGACGTTTAAAAAAGATCTAATAAATAACGAAGGAGGGGAGACGCAAAAATAACGGAAAATGAGAAGAGAGCGGGACGGCCAACAGCTGTTTCTGAAAGTGGGACATCGATGAAGACGGACGAGGAAGAAAGATCAGGATCCAAAACAAAAATGTGATGTCTTGTAAAGTTAAAGCTCCTGTGAGGATCAGTTAAAGTTGGAGTCATTAAAACCAACATGCAAAGATCAGCAAACAGATGCACAGCTTCATCCACAGAGGGCGCCAAAGTCAACAAAAAACAGAAGTTCCTCACAGGAGCTTTAGAGAGAGAACTGAAGGTTATCCAGCTCTCATGTAGTATTTAGAAAATTCTTAATTAAAGCCTGTAAAGATTTAATTTAACTATACCAGGCCCTTCACATGCAATCTGTTTACATGACACTCGAGAAAACCGAATTATCGCCTTATTCTGATTAAGACCGGACAACTGAAGTGCATGTAAACACAAACTCCGATTGGAGTCGGACAACACAGATTAAGACACCAAGATAACGTGATTGGAATTCGAATTTCTCTACCATGTAACCAGCATAGTCGGAGTATGATCGGACAATGCATGTGCGCCACACCCCCATAACCCCGAAACATAAACACCAAAGAAGAAGAGTAGTGTGCAGAAAAAGTAGCGCGTCCATCATGTCGGACAAAAACAACGCTGTACGATGCTCCATCTTCTTGTTTCTCCAAAATGCCCAGCAGCAGTTGTAGACACTTCTGACATCTGACACCGACCTGAAACAGCGCCACTGAAAAGACCCATATCGCTCCCTAGTTTTAGGGAGGAGTACATGTCAATCATTCGATCTTCTCAGCTGCATGTATGAGAAGCCCAATTTGGCGAAAAACCGAATTATGAGTTTAGTCCAATTAAAAGGTGCATGTAAACATACTGACGGGTGAGAGCTTTCTACACACTTGAAACGATTATAAAACCAGGCAGGTGTGCAATCAGCTGAAACCAGAATCTCACACATGCACCAAATTCCTGAAAGCCTTATTCAGGCGGGCTGCATGTGCACGGAGTCCCTCAAGTTCAAAAAAGTGCAAATTCTAAACATGTGCATAAAATTATCTTGCAGGACAAAGTTAGTATCTTGCACACAGACACATTTGATCTGTCAGTTTAGATATGAAAGTGCAAATTATTGAGATTAGGGTGACCATATTCTGAATCCCCAAAAACGGACACGACTACACAGGGGCGAAGTTACGAAGTCGCACAGTTAATTTTGAGTTTTTTGGGTCAGATGAGTGTCTTTATGTGTTTCTAACTCACTAAA